TTGCCCGCCTCCAACCATACCTCACCCCAAATGCAGCTGAAACCTCATGCATGTGTTTGTCACCACCCGCTTGGATTACCCCAACCCACTCCTTGCCGGTCTCCCCAGCTCACTATTCAACAACAACAACAAGATTCCATTTATAGAGTGCCTTTCACGTCGGGAGGACATCCCAAGGCGCTGTACAGTTGGGTCAGGACCCGAGCAAGGGGGAAATGGTCAGGGTGCAGGGAAGGGAGGGAGCGAGGAGGGGGTAGAGAAAAGATCCAGCTCATTCAGATCTCTGCCGCCTGCATACTGACCCGACCAAACTCCATCCCCACATCTCACCAGTTCTGGCCCAGGCTTCACTGGCTCCCCATCACTAAACGGATCGACTTCAAGATCCTCACACTCGTGTTCAAATCCCTTCACTCTCTGGCAACTTCCGACCTCTCCGACCTCCTCAACAACAACAAAATTACATCTGTATAGCGCTTTTCACATCGGGAGGCGCTGGACAGAGTACAGCATTTAAGACCCAAGCTGGGGTCGGGAGGGGAAGGGGGGGTGGCTGATGGCATGGTCGAGGAGGAGGGTCTTGAGGCGGGACTTGAAGGAGGCTAAGGAGGGGGGTGAGGCGGAGTGACTGAGGGATGGAATTCCAGAGGTTGGGGGCAGAGTGGCTGAAAGCTCTCCCACCAATGGTGGGGCGGGTGGGTCTGGGGACGTGGAGCAGGCCAGAGCGGCTGAGTAGAGGGAACGGGCGGGTTGGTAGGGAGTCTGGAGATCGCAGAGGTAGGATGGAGCGTGGCCATGGAGGGCTTTGTATGTCAGAACCAGGATCTTGAACTGGATCCTCTGAAGGATAGGGAACCAATGGAGTCGGGCGAGAGTGGGGGAGATGGGGTCACAGAGTTTGGTGCGGGAGAGGACACGGGCTGCAGAGTTCTGGATTATCTGCAGCCTGTGGAGTGAGGGAAGGCAGAGCGGGTCATGGCTTGAATGTGGGGGAGAAAAGATAGTTGAGGTTCCTGACTGGCTGGTGAGTTGCAGTGTGCAACCATGGAGGTTGATGCTGCCAGAGCCTGAGGTGCAGAGGCGCTGACGCGAGCCAATCCTCATTCCCTCCTCACCCAGCATCTCCGCTCAACCGGCACCGGCCTCCTACTCGTCCCTCACACCCTCTGCCCCACCATCTGAGGTCGCACTTTCAGCCACTATAGCCCGAAACTCTGGAACACGCAGCCTTAATCCCTCCGCCTTGCCCTCTCTCTCCCCAATTTGAAGTCCCGCCTTAAAACCTTCCTTTTCGACCGTGGAGTCACCTCTCCCACCCCCTCCCCCCGGCTCAGAGTCAGGCTCTCCCACTATTAAGTGCTCTGAGACGCAACCCAGCATGGAGGGCACTATATAAGTGCAAGTTGTTGTTGTTGTATCCATTCAAATAAAATCTGGATAAATGCACATAAGCTTTGAAGCCTTGGATTTGATATGAAAATGCTTCAACGCCCTCCATGGTCTTGCTCCCCCCAACCTCTGCGATCTCCTAAACCCCCAACTACCTGTCCGCTCCCTCCGTTCAGCGGGCTCCGGCCTGCTTTACGTCCCCCATCTCGCTCGCCCCACCCTGGCCTCCACCCTCCTCGATCCCGACCCCCAGCTCAGGTCTGAAACACTGACTGTCCAGCGCCTTGGAACATCCTCCCGACCTGCAAGGCACTATACAAATGTAATTTTGTTGCTGTTGTTGATATAGCGTCTTGTTAGGCTATTGAGAGTCTCTAAGCGCTTCACGGAACATAAAGTGGATTGACTATGTATTTTGCGGGCGAAAGTTTCTGAGCCATACAGACCCAGGCCTCAGGTCTGAGCCCTGGCTGATGACGAGCTCGCTGGTTTCGCATGTGAGTGTTGGTGGCAAGGTTACAATCAGCACTGGACTGGAGAAAGCGGGAAAGAGATAAATACATGCACCTCCTTCCCTGCTCAGGATCACTTTTCAGTGGCCTGTGCTAAAACCTGCACAGGAGGGATGACAAACAGACTTAACTGTGGTGCTCACAGCCTTTGTATCTCCCAAACGTCTACTGAACACTCACTATAATGATAACTGAGAGCTGAAAGTTATGTGGATATTTAGAAAAGCACGATATACATTCTAAGATGAAAGGACATTTCCAAGCGATGAATTTGAGGAAGAAGCCTGTAGGAAGCTATGAATCAGTTTGAAGACTTGCCTGTTCCTGTACTCTGAGTATCATAGACATAGCTTCCGCGTCATTCGGATCATTTGCAAGACGTTTCTGAGCTGCCGCTCTCTCATTCATCGTTGCCGAGATATCCACAGACTACATCGAATACAAAAGACTAACGTTACCACACGGGAGAATTTAAAGCAGTGTTTTAAGGTCACGGTTATATTTAAATGTACGAGTCTCACCTGAGTACAGACATCTGTAAAGACATCGTCGGTGCCCTCCTCGTTGTCTTTCTCCACAGGAACCCACTCACCATAAGCATTCTGCACTTCTTTCTTCCTGTGTTGTGAACCAGAGGACACGGGGAATTCCTTAGTCAGAGCCACCTGGGTTTTTGGCACTAGTTTCACTGTGGCACTCTGGTGATAAGAAAACAGTCCACATTCACCCAAACGAAATCTCAAAGCAGCACATTCGAAATGTTCCCTTCACACTACCAAAAGCTCAACCATTCTCCTCTAAAACAAGATAGTGTTACGGAGACTATGTTGTTAGCTGTGTCTCAGGAGGATGATCTGCTAGGTCGAGCACAGTCTTGTCAAAACATTTCACGTTCTGGAGAACCATCCAGCGTTACGGATGATAGCAGTGGAGGCTTCCACGATCCCGACTCCATTGCTCTCCACGAGGGAGATGGTGTTACGGTGGGTGGAGAAATGTTTACTATCCGTAGGGAACATTTAAGTTGCTGTTTGTGGGACATTGCCGTGCTCAAATTGGCTGCTGTGTTCGTCTACAAAATAGTCACTGCACTTCACAGTAAAATCCTGCGAAGCACTTTGAGACGTTCTTCTGAAGCATAAAACTCTAAATCAAAGGCAATGATTAATATTATTATAATATAAAGTTGTTTTTTAATCCCCAAAATAAAAACAATGGTACTTTTCAGGGTTTATTTTTGGTGTCAATAAATGGAAGAAAATCCAGAGAAAATTGATACAACTCAAGTTCCCCGATTAAACTGGTAAGAATATGCCACTGATTTACATTTTCTGCCCGTGCCAAAGGTGGATAGACACCACAACAGTTTCACAGCACAGTTCCCAACAGATTTCTCCACTCTCAGATGAGCTACAAATGCAAAAGTAATTCACAACCCAAGCGATTCTGAAACCAACACATGTGAGTGTTAAGGAATTCCCTTGTTCCTGGGGGAGGGAGTTTTCTAGAGGGAAAAATAAATCTTTACTGATCGACTTTCAGTGAAAGAGAATCTGTATATTTATAGTCAACAACAATTGCCTTTAGAAATGCCAAACTATCCAACAGTCCATAATAAACATGAATTGTATATGTTAATCGGATATATGTTTGTTCACCATTCAAAAAAAATGAAGTCACAAAACATTGTACAGGGGTGTTCACTTAACACATGGCGATTCTTAAAAGTTCGTACCTCTTCGTATTTATAAATGAGCAGCATTTGAAAATGAATGAGCAATAAAACAGAATAGTTTGCAACAAATTATGCGTGCGTGAGAACAAACATCCAAACTATAATATTTGGTTTTATTTTAGATTTCCAGTAAGTTAACCAGATTTTTAAAATATATATATGTGTGTATATATATATATAACCTGCAAGTTACACAAGATCCAATCAACGCCACATAACTTTTCCCAATAGGAATATAGTCCCACTATAGATTACCTTTTGAAACAAGCACCAACTGATTCATTTGCCTTCAAAACATAACATTGAACAAAAGCGGAATTTGTACTGGAAAAAAAAAGGGAGTATGTATTCACAAACCTTCAGAGGCAGAAGCCTGAATTCTTTCCTACATTAGTCTTAAAGCCAACATCTAAAAATTTAAGATTGGAAAAGATTTTGGAAATCTTTTATTAAATTTTTGTCTCAATCTGAAAGATGTTCTTACCCCCCAAAAAAACACATGGAGAAATGGTTTTAAAACTAAGATCGAATATAAGAATGTTCTAAAATTCAGCACAATGGTGGATTTTAAGACGAAGGCTCATAGCCTAAGACCTACAGTATTTAAGCATTTCGTGATTCAAACTCAGTCTGACCAGTTAACTTTCAATCTTCAAATGGATATCTGCAATTTAAAACCATTCATCCCCAACTAGACAAACTCATATAATGAACCTCACGAGACGCAAGAACTTCCTGGGCAGAATATTCTTCACACAGGAAGGAATAATTACATGAACTTTCTGGTCCTAGTCCTCAAGATGAAAAGCAAAATGAGCTTCAGGATTCTTCCAGAAACTTGGTTGAATTGGATTGAAGAAGAAATACAGTAAATTCCAGATAACTTGACTTGGGCTTTAACTTGGCACTACCTCTTACATCATCATGCTATCAATATCCCGACCTCATTTATTCATGTACGTGTCTAACTCGCCACTCCGGATAACTCATCACTGAGCACTTTTCTCTTGGAGTGAGGAGTTATCGGTTTACTGTATCTTTAAGTTGTCCCGCCACTCAACTTGGAACTCGTGGGTAATGTTTATCGATGATGGAGAAACATAAGAGAAGAGCTCAGTGTTCCATTACAGCAAATTGGGTTAGAAAAAAATTTAAGAAATAAAAATGTTTCAAAAGTTACTGGATTTTAAAACAAAAATTCTGAAGCACTTTCAGAAGCTCTCATATCATTTTCAAATCCATAACTTGCTTGAAAAACGAGTCACACGCAACGCACACCCCAAATAAGGCAGCAAAATAATTTTCGGAAAAATTGGGAGACTCAACCATTGGAGTAAGAATCCGAAAAGAAATTACCAAGTCAATTTGTTTTTAAAACGTCAAATACTTTATTATATTTACTGTTGAGAATTCTGTCTCCCTCCAACTCACATGGTGAAGCGATATATAGCATGCAAAGCAAATACAAAAAGCAGGTTTGAAAAGCTCTTTATGCTTCACTGGTGGCTCTTGTGGATACGATAAACACACCGCAATAATGCAACACTGGGTCATAACAGATCAGAACGTTTTGAGACCCACTCCTTATTCTGTCCTTTATTAGATTCTCTCCTGAATTAGCCGATTTCAGCCAGTGTGGCAGAAGGGGTGAGTTTCTCTCCTGACCACTACCCAGAAACTCTATTAAAACTGCACACACGCACACACAACATCAATGTCGGGTAAGGAAATCAACTACACTGTTTCCAGACACTCGTGTGGAAGGATGGGCTCTCTAGCAAGGTACAGAGAACTGCTAACAACAGCGCAACTGTACCCGTGTAGGAGTCGCCAACTTCTGGAAGTGAGGGGTGGAGGGGAGGGGGTTAAAGACGAATTAGAACAAAATTTCAAAGAAAAACTGCTCCCTCCTATGACAGAAATATTTGACAAAAGTAAAAGGAGGGGGAGTGAAGAAATACAAGCTACAGAATTTAATGGTCTTGAGGGGAGGAAAATTATAGGCAAAGAAATGGTGAAAGTAAGCGGTGAAATACATCACCTGCTGTAAGAACTGAACCCTCAGACCTCAGGAGGTCGCCAGGTTCAATCCCAGCATTCATTTATTTGATCTCAGCTAGGATAGCAGTGTAGCAGGTCTGAAACTCCTGATCACTGCCCAACCAACCCTGCAAATCCAGCTCGGTGGACATTGGGTTGGACTACAATGACAATGATCAAACAGTCTGCCGACACTCACTGTCTGCCCTCAAAACATGACAAATGGGCACTGCTAGTCTAGGCAACAATATCCTGACATGAATCAGTACCTTCAAGGTATAGCAAGGAGTTGAGGGGGTTGGAGGGGGCTGGGCAGGAGGAGAATTGAGAAATGTAAGCACAGAATGTCAGCGGAATAATTTTATTACCAGAGGACACATCAGATGAGGAACTTCTGAAATGACGATATACATAAAATTTAAAATCAGTGATGTCAAACAATAGCTGAAAATGTTTTACATGTTGATGAGTATATTTCAAATGAAAAACTACCCCTAGTAGCAAAGGGGGGGGAAAAAAAAAAGCACACGCACACACTTGCAAACTACAGAGCAGAGTATGTACTGGTCCTGGCTTGAGCAGCACAGAGAAGTCTTTAGTATAATGAAAATGCCTCTTCTGTTTTACTCTTGTGAGCTGGATGGCGATGCCAAAGTCTGCATCAGTTAGAGGACCACTACAGTTTGCGACAAGCGGCTGAAAACTACACGTTTCCTCATTATGAAGCACGAGAGAGCAATAACTTCCAACTGCTGTGGTGTAGGAGCTACTAGTATGGTCGACATCCTGGTTTAAGTGAGAAGTGATGAATAAACATTTGAAGAAGGGCTTGCTTTTTTTGGATGCTTTTTTCAACCTTGAGGGAAATGGCTGAAGTGTTAGATCCACTCCTTCCTCAAAACATAAAACTGCATCGTGCTTTCAGAAAGAAGAAGCAAATAAAGACTGTCCGGTTGCTTCAAGTAGACTTCTCTGAAAAATGCACAGCCCAGTATCAAAATGCTCACTGGAAACCAGAGCTGGATCAATCTTCACTGCTGTAGACATAAGACAGCAACTGAAAAGGTTTCTGGTGTGGGTATCTGGATTATGGTTTAAGTACTGGATTCTGGGGGGGTGGTAGAAAAACATATTTAGAAACAATTTTGATTCAAGACAATAAGTTTACTGTGGGTAGATAAGAGTACATGGAGCTGCTCAGGAGACACATGATTACATTGCCACATGACTTCGTGGGTCGTGTCAATTTTTGAAAATATATTTGTGACCAGTTCTAAGAGACAGCAAATTATATATATATATATATATCCCATAACACAAGACTTATAAAACCACACATTTTTTTCTCTTAAAAAATTCTTAATGCATTCTTACTGCTTACTTTGTTTTGTACTAAAAACCCTAATTTGCCTCCATTTATTTTGAATGTATGGCAAGTTGTGGCATGTCTATTAAGACAGGCGTGATCGAGTGAAGTAGAATAAAATACAACATACATGTGGTGCAAAATTTGGCTTGGAAACAATGTCCAACTGAACTGAAGATTTTTCTTTCTGTAAACTTTCCTGTAAAGATTGCTGCGCACTGCAAATACATTTTGTGTTGGTCAGCCAGGTGTCTGACACGTGCGGAAACTCATCACCATGCTTAAGAGTCAAACTGGGAATTCCACAAATGTTGACCACCATGTCTGAAATGGAATGCACACTCTCTCCCTGGAGGGATGCAACCATTTCACCTAATTCTGGGGGTACTAGAGGCAGGTTGGCAACAGACAAGGCTTGGGGACTCCAGAATGTGCAATACTGTAGGAGTTTAACCAGCAATCTAGAAAGCTTGCTATTGAGAATATTTTCCGGCAAGCTTCCTACTACTTGTCCCACCAAGGCCACCCTGCCCATTAGGGCTTTGGCTCGCAGAGTCAACAGGAGATGAGGGGGAAGAATTCCTGCTCTCAAAGTATATAAATATTGGACGGACCCTTCTCTAAAAATAAAATTTAAAACACCGCTAAAATAAAACCTGGACGTCTCAGTTCCAAACTGGAAAATGACTGATATTATTCACTTGAAATTTCGTTATTTCATTTACTTTTTTGGGGGGGAACTGATTGGAATGTTTTGTCATCAAAGTAGAAGTGGATAGTGTTAAGAGAAATTATCATTTCCTTCTGATCATTTCAGTCCGAAACACTGATTTTCCAGTGCCTTGGGACGTCCTCCCGACGTGAAAGGCACTATAGAAATGTGCTCATATCACATTAGCATGAATCACTTCCACATTAGATATAAGAAAAATCTGATGCAAGGCAAAGCTCTCCTCCATCTGGTCCAAACTATCATTCTCAGAAAGCCTCCACCCAATGCCAGTCTTATTCATACAGGGTCCATCAGTGCCAAACTGTAACCAGTTGACTTCTGGATACCAGGAGCTGAAGTGAGATGACCCAATGCAGTTTCACTTAGGATTTTCCCAACCAACAGAGGATGAAGGATCCTTTCAGTCAAATTTGATTCAATTTACACGTTTCAAAGGCAATAGGGCAGCTTTCAAACCCACAGGTACATACAAGTATATACAAGGCAGAAATGGGGAACATTTAGGATATCATGAGAATTAAATGGCAGCCTGGCACAAAACCTTTGCAGTTTAAAACAAGGTGAGTTAGAAAGGTTTAATTAGAAAAACAAGATGGGTGGGACAACTGAAAAATGATTTTAAAAGTGTTTTAAGGAACTGTTGATGAGGTTCCAATCAAGATTTATTTCAGCTCAATTAAAACAGATTAAAGAATAGCAAAGGACAAGGTGGTTAGGTAAGGATGCAAAGAAAATCATTGAGAGAAGCAGAACATTTTTAAAACATACATGAAACTTGTAGCTTAAAATAAAAATCTCATACTAACCAATACTAGCCAATACTATCAGGGAAAGAGATCTAGAAAGCCAGGAGTGCACGGCTATAGGAACATAAAAGGGTAAAAAATAAATGAATAAATGGGTAAAAAAAAGGGTAAAAAAAGGAATTTAAGGGGGAAAAAAATCTTTACAAAAATGGTAATGGATTTGAAGAATATATTACACTGGATGAAATGACCATAAATAAGATTAAAAGACAAATCGCCGGTTTTCAGCCAAAGGGAACTGGGGTATAAGAAGTTTGGCAGGTTAGGTTGACAGTAATCGCAAAGGGACAACAGCTTTTTTATGTCCTAAACATATTATTTGCAATACTCAGTTCCTTATCTGGGTTTGTATAAACCATTGTATAATACGGCCAATTTTGCAAGGTAAAATTTATATTTTCTCATCTTTTAAAAATCTAAATTTTTCAATGTCTGAAAAATGCTCAAATTCAAATATTGAATTCCAAGTGGTATACACTTGATGTTTGAACACCCAACTGGTAGCCTTGAGCTGTCCCTTGATGTTTTCCTATAATGTCAACTTACAAAGGCTGGCAGAAATAATCAAACAAGAACAGGTTTAAAATAAGATCCCCTCGTATCTATACAGACAATCCACGGCAGACAGTTAATATTATTTACAATATGTGCTTCCATTACTCAATGAAAGTCAGTATTCTACAGCACTGGACCCCTTAATAAAGATTAGCCCAGTAGGTAATGTTTCTAAACTAAAGATAAAATTACTAAAAGTGTGAGGACACATTTTTAAAAAAAAACTATTTTACACTGAAATTTCTGCACTTCCAAACACAGTAATTTTCACCAATGTATGTCTGCACTGAGGTGTATCACAGAATATGCGTTTTCTGTTCTTAAACTTTTACATTTAGTTGCACCAAGGCCCATTTTTCAACGTGAAACAGTATTGAAACTTCTGAATGAAGTTTCAGCAATTTGTCAAGTTTCTAGCTCTGAAAAAAATACTTCTTTGCAATGCTTTCCTAACACTTGTAACATTGACATTTCTTCAAAATAGGTGTGGTAAATAGGTGTGGTAAATTCACATTTCTTACATTTTGATTGCAAATAGTGAGTGAGCAGTAAACTTGTCCCCAGGGAGATGGTGGAAGCAGAAAATGTCCATTTGTTTCAAGAGCAAATTAGATAGATTTCTGCTAGACAATTATATCTGGGGTATACAGTAAATAGTTTGGGACACGACATGTCAAGCAACTGCCAAGATGTTGGAAGGCAAACTAGATGGACCTTGGTCTTCTTTCGCCAGCAAATTCTTTAAAAACTTTTAAATGTTATTGGTAAAAATGAGTGTGTGTATTTTGCACCAAGATTCTGACACGAATCTTACTGTGCAACTAGTCTCAAGCATCTGATAGCTCATATTTCGTACATACTCAACGTGACTTGCAAAACTGCATTGCTACTTACATTTATGCTGAAATAAATGGGTTTGGGTTCATTGAGTTTAAACGGTTGGTTGATGAAAGGTCCGTCCTCTTCATCAGAAACATGAGGCTTGTTACTCGACTCATTCTCATCGTCTTTGCTTTCAACAATTTTCTTGCATTTCTGAGGGTGAAAATAGACTAATAATTTGCAGGCAATTTACAGGAAGACGTGTAGAAACATTCAAAAAGGAAACAAAATTATTTATAAAATCAGCTGGGAAATGGATTGATATCCCCCAAAGTAAATTGCCCTACAACTCGCAAGTGAGGGAGCTACAAGTTAGGATCCATGCCACCCTACCTCGATTTGTTCTGTTTATACTAAACATTATCTTAAATCAAATTTAATATTAAGCTTGAAAAAATGTTAAAAATACACTATATTTATGGATCGTCAAATTGATATAAACTTCACAATGCTACCAGTTTTACATTGTGTTATTTCCCTCTAAGAAACTCATTATCATGGTTGAAAGGTAGCAGATTCTGGGGATTGTCTTTTTTTAAACTAGCATTAGTTTGTACATAAAGGATTCCCAAGCACTTCCTCTAATGGGGGGGATTGAGCTCCTTATCATGTTACAAAAACAGAAGTCGCTGGGAACACTCAGCAGGTCAGGCAGCATCTATGGAGAAAGTGAGTCAACGTTTCGGGTCCACGACCTTTCGGCAGAATTCAATCCTTATCACGTTGTTGGGATATCCCAAAGCGCTTCACGGGATTTTTACTGTACAGTGTGGCGACTATATCTGTGAGTAAACGCAACAGCAATTTACACACAAGAATGTCCAACAAACAGCTATGAGTGAGTGACTAACTTTATATGGGAAGACAGTTGGCCAGGATACAGGGAGAAACCTTCTTCACTATTTGAATTGTGCAGTGGATCTGAAATAGACAGTTGGGACTTTGGTTTAACACCCCACTAAAGTGAAGCACTGCCAGCACTGAGGCACGCCCCCAACTAAAAGATTGCCTTCAAATGGCAGCCTGGTCTGAGTTCAAAGTCTCAACCTGCGGCTTGAACCCAAGACTTTCTGACTCAGAGGCAAGAAGACTGATACCAACTGAGCAGCCTGAAATTTGCAATCTTCTGATCACAGACAATGAGACATAGATTTGTGTCACTTTGACTGAGATCCCAATAAGGTGCTGGGAACACTGAGCAGAAATAAACAAGGCCACTAATACAAACTGAGCAGACGGGTGAAGGTCTTGGGAGCAACTTGCTCCAAGCCACAGGTAGTGTGCTATGTGGATGGAGGCAGTAAGTAATTCAGAGAAATCATAGAATCAAGAAGGAGGCCATTCAGCCCATCGTGTCGGTGCCAGCTCTTTGAAAAGAGCTACCCAAATCAATTCTACTGCCCCACTCTCTTCCCATAGTCCTGCAAACCTTATCCTCCCCAATTATAACCTTAAAAAAAATGACATGGGTAAGAATATGTTCTTACCTCTGTGAGTTCTTGTATTGATGAGCAAACTGATTTTTGGGTGATTTTTTCTATTTTTGTCACAAGGGGCAAAATAAGAGGTTTCATATTTGGAGGTAAATTGATACAAGCTTTGGCACACATGGCTGCAGCATTGGCTTTTGCTATCTCTAGCAACTGTGCTTTATCTGAAAGAAACAAATCCTGAGAGTCAGCAACACAGTTCTATAATACAAACAAAATTACTTTCAAATGGCCTACATATAATTCATCAATAATAATCCTTGCATTTGATATAGCACCTTATCGCGTTTTCGAGGCATCTCAAAGCGCTTCACAGAAAATACTATCAAGTGAAGTATATTTTGTGAGCAAAACCCGAAATATGCTTGCAGTCGATTTGTTTTCCATTTTCACTTTCTCCCTCAAAATTAGCACCAATTTATGTTTATTATAATCTTCTACAATTGCTTATCTAAACCAATTGGTTACGACAGTTAATGAACAGAACGTTCCCAATGGCACAAACTTCATAGTGTTCTAAGTAGGTTCCAGGTTGAAACAAGCCAACATAGCTTCAACACATGCCTGGCAGCTTGGGCCAAACTGAAGAGGCTGTAAAAGATACATTGGTTTAGTCCAAGGTGGTCCAATGGTAAAATGTCATCCTACCCGCTACCCATCATTTCATCTGGTCCACCCGCTCTCTCCACAACCCATAAATGTTATGTCATGTTCCTGGAAGGGAAACAAAGGTATTGTGGCCCGCAGATGTTTCTCAAACTAGGGCGTTTGGCCTTCAGCAGCTAACAGGGTGGTGAAGCGGCTGGATTGGGTTTACTTGATCCAAACGTTCACACTGGTGCGAAGGGTGAATAATGACACTGGGTCAAAAGCACAGTATTAGGATGTGAATAATCTGGACCTGGGATTGTGCGCGGGGTGGGGGGGGGGATTTTTATGGAAAAGACTTGACACTAGACAGCCAATGTGGAACATATTCTGATTCCCCCTCACCCCACACACACACTGACAATAGCATAAAAATTATTTCCTCTTCCAAGTAAACAAAAACACATCTTACTATTTTCTGCGAGGGATGTTTAGGACTGAGGAACATTTCTTAGAAACAATAAGTGTCTTTACCCAGATCTGTGAGGCGCTCAGGCGTCCTGCTGTTGTTCCTCCTTACAGGAGATCTGGATCTTCTCCGCCAATCGGGTGACCTGCGTGTCCTCACAAACTTACTGAAGTATCCTCTGGAAGTCGATGGACACCATCTCCTGTCATTGGACTTTGATCTTGGTCTTGGTGATTGAGATCGTTTGCCTCTGGATTTGGACCTCCTTGGAGATCTTGAACGAGTCCCTTTCCTGTGCTTTGAACGCGAACTCGACCTGGGAGGTGATTTTGTCCTGGAACGTCGTTTGCTCCTTGATGCCGAGTGTGACCTCGATTTTGATCGCTTCTCGTTCCTCACTGCGGATCGTGACTTTGATTGTGATCTACGTCTGTGTGATCGGGGCTCGGATGACCTCGATCTGGAATGCTTCCTTTTTGACTTGGGAGAAGTCTCGGTGTGTTTTCTCTTTTCCCGTGAGGTGGACTTTGATCTCTGTCGTGATCGCGAGTGCTTCCTCCTGGAGTCTGATCGCCCTGATGTACGATGTCTGCTGCTTGACCTTGCGCTTGTTCTCCTCGAGGGAGAACGCTGAGAGTGGGAATGCGATGGGGTGGACCTTTTCTTCGATCTCGAGCGAGATCTTGAGCGGCTCCTTTTTGTTCTCTTTCTTTCGGCTCTCTCGCTTTTACTTTTGTTTTCGATGGCGTGGGTAGATTTGGACGGTGCATTGTCTGAAACTTTGCTCAAATCCTTTGATTTAGATTGTGGTTTGTCTTCACTCACAGCCGCTGAAGACTCTAATCCAGGGACATTTCCAACAGTCAGACATTGTGCAGACACAATACTGACTGCAGCAGTGTTCTCTCTTGGCCGTACCTCTTTGTCACAATTGTCCTGTGATAATGGTTTACTTTCAGCTGTAGAGCGTTCTTTGCTGGTGTTCATGCTTACAACTGAATCAACATCAGCTGCTGTTTCTTCTATAATTTCCTTCTTTATCTCAGTGTTGTTCTTCAATTTCTCTAATTTCTCCTGTGAGTTCTCCAATAACATCTCCACTGGTGCCTCTATTAACTTCTGTGGTGGGGTCTCCACCAATTTCTCTGGTGGGGTCTCCACTAACTTCTCCTGTAGGGTCTCCTCCAACCTCTCTGGCAGCGTCTCCATTAACTTCTCCGCTGGTGCCTCCAGTAACCTCTCTAGTAGGGTGTCCGCTAACGTCTCCTCTAACCTCTCTGGTGGGGTCTCCACTGGTGTCTCCTCCAACTTCTCCGCTGGAGTATCCACTAACTTCTCCGCTGGTGCCTCCGCTAATCTCTGTGGTGAAGTCTCCTCCAATTTCCCTAGTGGGGTCTCCACTAACTTCTCAAGTGTCTTCTCCAACCTCTCCTCCAACTTCTCCGCTGAGGTCTCCTGTAACTTCACCGCTGGGGCCTCCACTAACCTCTGTGGTAGGGTCTCCATTAACATCTCCATTAACTTCCCTGGTGGGGTCTCCACTAACATTTCTGGTGGGGTCTCCACTACGATCTCCTCCAACCTCTCTGGTGGGATATCCACTAACTTCACCACTGGTGCCTCCGATAACCTCTCTAGCGGGGTCTCCACTAACATCTCTGCTAATGCCTCTGGTGGGGCCTCCAGTAATGTCTCTGGTGGGCTCTTAGCTAACATCTCCACTAACGTCTCTGGTGGGCTCTCCATTAACATCTCCACTAACGTTTCTGGTGGGGCCTCCACTAACGTTTCTGGTGGGGCCTCCAGTAATGTTTCTGGTGGGGCCTCCAGTAACTTCTCTGGTGGGGCCTCCAGTAACGTCTCTGGTGGGGCCTCCAGTAACGTCTCTGGTGGGGCCTCCAATAACGTCTCTGGTGGGGCCTCCAGTAACGTCTCTGGTGGGGCCTCCAGTAACGTCTCTGGTGGGGCCTCCAGTAACGTCTCTGGTGGGGCCTCCAGTAACGTCTCTGGTGGGGCCTCCAGTAACGTCTCTGGTGGGGCCTCCAGTAACGTCTCTGGTGGGGCCTCCAGTAACGTCTCTGGTGGGGCCTCCAGTAACGTCTCTGGTGGGGCCTCCAGTAACGTCTCTGGTGGGGCCTCCAGTAACGTCTCTGGTGGGGCCTCCAGTAACGTCTCTGGTGGGGCCTCCAGTAACGTCTCTGGTGGGGCTTCCAGTAACGTCTCTGGTGCAGCCTCCAGTAACGTCTCTGGTGCAGCCTCCAGTAACGTCTCTGGTGGGGTCTCCAGTAACGTCTCTGGTGGGGTCTCCAGTAACGTCTCTGGTGGGGCCTCCAGTAACGTCTCTGGTGGGGCCTCCAGTAACGTCCCTGGTGGGGCCTCCAGTAACGTCTCCGGTGAGCTCTCCACTAACATCTCCACTGACGTCTCTGGTGGGCTCTCCACTAACATCTCCACTAACGTCTCTGGTGGGCTCTCCACTAACATCTCCACTAACGTCTCTGGTGGGGCCTCAAGTAACGTCTCTGGTGGGCTCTCCACTAACATCTCCGTTAATGTCTCTGGTGGGCTTTCCACTAAATTCTCCGTTGGTGCCTCCGCCAACCTCTCTGGTGAAGTCGCCACTAAAGTCACCTGTGGGGTCTCCTCCAACCTCTCTGGTGAGGTCTCACCTGGTGTCTCCTCCAACTTCTCCACTGGAGTGTCCACTAATGTCTCCGATGGTGCCTCCACTAACCTCTGTGGTGGGGTCTTCACCAATTTCTCTAGTGGGTTCTCCACTAACGTCTCCACTAATTTCTCCTGTGGGATCTCCTTCAACCTCCCATGTGGGGTCTTCGTCAACCTCTCTGGTGATAACTCCACTAACTTTTCGACTAGTGCCTCTGGTGGAGGCTTCTCTGGTGAAGAGTGAGCTTTCTGACTCTGGCTTTCCTTTTTGCTGTTAACCTCATTGTTTAAAGGTGACTTTGATCGGGATCTTGAAGGAGACCTCGATTTTGAACGTGAACCAGATCTCGATTTTAAACCTGAACGGGTTCCTGAGCGAGGTCTTGAGGAGTCCCTGTGTTTTTCCTTTTTCTTCTTCTTCTTTTTACTTTTGTGCTTGTGGTGATGCTTGTGCTTGTGTTTCTTGCTTTTCTTTCTGGCAGTTGCACTTTCCCCTTTGTCATCTGAAGATGAGCATTTTATTTGCTCTGCTTCCACGTCAATGTCCATCGCCAGATTCTCTTTATTATCTGAAGTAGGTTAAAAACATAACATTTTAGACAAATGTTAAAAACTACAAGAATCACGTTAACTTGGGCAAGGTACTAAAGGACAGCCAGCTCCTATATATCCCCTAGTAGAGGGGGTGGGGTAATACACATCTTGAGGAGGAAAAATGGTAGAAAAAAAGAACCTGAAGGAAGGGCCAAGGAAAAGAGTATTCATTTATGTATATTTTTGAAAGCGACTAATTCACTAAAGTTCTGGAATGATTCATTAAAAGGTGTATATTTGCACACCTATTTTTAAAAATCCCCATGTGTTTCACCTCAAACGGCGTAGAAGACAGCAGAGAAAAATGGGAATACAAATAAAATTCACACGCACCAGGATTACCATTTTGCTGTTCTTCTGAAAACACAGGCATTACTTCATCTATCTGATTAACAATTGATTCTTCCTGTGTATCCCCAGTTGTGGAAGTCACTTCTTCTGGAACCTTCCCCTCCACTACAGTGTTTCCTTCACCATTTGTTTGGTTGACTATGGTCCCACTAAAAGAAAAGGTGAGAAACTGCTATTAATAATAATAATCCTTGCGTTTGATATAGCGCCTAATCACGTCCTCAAGACGTCTCAAAGCGCTTCACAGAATATACTGTTAAGTGAATTGACTGTGTATTGTGTGGGTGAAACGCGGCAGCCAATTGCACACAGCAGTATCCCACAAACAATCGTAGATTGAGCGACCAAATTAATATTGTCTTTAAAGGGATTATTACCGCCGGAAAAGTGATCGGCCAATCGACGAACAACCAGGTTCCTCTACGTAACAAAGCCGTGTAGAGTAAGGAAACTTACAATTTTCGCCCTATCCGGGAATCTAACCCGGGTCTTCTCGCTAGATCAGGAGGCGAGTGCTATACCCAATACACTAAAGGCTCCACTTTGAGCACACTATGGTGATAGCTTTAAATTATCTTGGTCATAGAGAGAAGTAGATCTTAGTGTAATCTGGTATTCCACAGTTGCTTAAACTGGTGGTACACAAACAAATAGTGTACTGCCATACTCTGTATTCATAATATCCTATTCTATACATTTAATAACACTGGTTTGAACCAAATGAAAAGCTTAGGTTTATCAGATGGATCTACAGCAGCTGAGACCAGAGAGAGGCAAATTAGTTCAGAGGCAAATTAGTTCTCCGATAAGATACAGGATTGTGGACTCCAAAACTATAATAACAAAATGTTTAATAAGAGGTTTCAACATGTATCAGAGAAAGGAAGTATTTTCAATCAGTCAGAAACCTATATCCTACAAGTAAATCTGTTTTCCTAGCTACCTTTTTATTAAAGAACCAACTCAAAATTCCCCTCTGAAAATTAAATAAGAACTCTCGCATTGTCACATTGTTGAGACGTCTCAAAGCCCTTCACAGAATATATTATGAAGTTGAATGACTTTGTATTTTGCATGCGAAACGCAGCAATCCCATTATCCCTGGAAAGCAATCCGACAATCGACTAACAACCAGGGTCCTACTCACTGCTAGGTAAACAGAGGCATATGGAGTAGGGAAAAATTTCCTACAGTTTTACTCTGCCAAGGATTCAAAGCCAGGTCTTCTCGCTTGTGAGGCGAGCGTGCTAACCACTACACTACAGGACTCCAATGTTACCTGCTTTGGGAAGTTTGTGAATCCAACAAGTGCATCCAAATCTTATCCTTGGATGAATTAACATGAGCCACTCATACAATTCACACAGGGGAGCAAGCACATGATGCTGCCATGTGTGTAGACATTGGTATAAAATAAAACTCCTCGTCACACTAAGCTGTTCTTATGTGGTGTGAGCAAGAATTGTTGGAGTGCCGGAAATAAGTGTGGTACAGGAAGGTAGGGCGGCCTGCTCTCCAACACAGTTTCTTTTTTGGCATCCGGGGGAGGAAAGGAAAGCATCTGGATCAGTTCCAACTTAATCCTGAGGTCGGGCACCAGTTAAAACTAAACAGAACCGCTCGGGCCCTCACCTCACACTGTTCGGCCCGGAGCAAGGAAATCGCAGCAGGCCCTAGCCCGAGTAAGTCATTTAGACAAGCGAGGGTTTGATTCCTCGCCATAGGCAAACTATATACATTCACACAAATATATATTTTTCCCCTCAGCTCCAGTGTCGAGCGAACACACTGAACTGAACAAACAGCAAAGTCCTCCACCTCGCCTAGACTTTCTTTCGCTCTCTTTTTAAAAAACAAAACAAGTCACTTCCTACAACAGGTCTGCAACGACCACAATAGGCCTGAAGTTGGACTAGGTCACATATATATATTTATATACATGCACACACACACACACACGTATAAACCAAACAAACGTCTCTCGGTGCTATCTAAAAGCAAATTATACAAATTACTCCGGTTTATTTGCTCAGAAATGCAGTGCTTGGTTGGGTTTAAGAGATTAAGCGGGTTAGGTCAGCTAAGAGCTCAGGAAATTATTACCGTGTCTCCAACGCGAGCTGGTGTGGTGGGGGAGGGAGGGAGAGCGAGAGAAAGGTTTTAAAAATGAAGCTCGCCGTCTCACTGTTTCCGCGGTGAGAGAGATAGGCGGGGGGGGGGGGAGCAAACTATATGTTCACAATTTTTTGTCCCAATTTCAGTTACTGAAGGTTTCAAATAAAACAAATGGTGACTGCTGTGTTTTGTTCCATATATGTATATACACACAGCATGCAAATGTATATCTATATATAGTGTATATACATGTTCAGTATATATATATAAAACTTATATAGTGTTTATATCAACACAGTGTATATAAAACCACTACATATAAAATTGTTATATATAGTGTATATATCTAAAAAAGTGTATGTAAATGTACAGTATATATAACTGTCGTATGTTTATATACGTGTGTGCGCACTATCTCTGTACATAATGTAAATATATAACACTGTTGTGTGTATAATGTACATCACACACACATTGCGCGCTGACTGCTTTCCTGGCCGCCGCCGCCGCACATTGCCGAGCTGACATTTTGTATAGATATAAAGAGAGAGAAGGAAACAGAGCCCAATCTCTCTCTCTCTCTCTGTCACTCTCTCCCTCCGTGTCGCGCTCTCTGGCACGAAGGCCGCTCTTCCCCACTCTCCCTCCCTCCCTCCCCCCACCATCTCTCTCTCCCTCCCCACCGCCAGCAGCAGCCATTTCACCGGCTATGACGCCCCCCCCCCCTCACAAACACACACAAAACAACACCATTTCCTTCTCCTATCCCTCCCTCCCTTCCTCCCGCCATTACACAGCTTTCTTTTTTCACCTTCCCTCCCTCCCCCTCCTACCTCTGCAGCTTCTCGTCTTCGATCTCCTTGATCTTCCTGACCACGAACGAGCGGAAAATCTCCTCGATGTTGGTCGCCATGGTTCTCGGGGGGGGGGGGGGAGGGATTACCCATAACCCACCAGCACCGGGGGGGGCGCGCGGGGGTGGGGGAGGGTATCACCCATAACCCACCAGCACCGGGGGGGGGGGGGGATTACCCATAACCCACCAGCACCGTGGGGAGAGGGGGAGGGGAGTTACCCACAATACACCAGCACCGGGTGGGTGGGGGCAGAGGGGGAGGGGAGCTACCCACAATACACCAGCACGGGGGGAGGGGGAGGGATTACCCATAACCCACCAGCACCGGGGGGGGCGCGGGGGCGGGAGAGAGAGGGCAGTTACCCACAATCCACCAGCCCTCAGTGGGGGAGGAGAGGTACTGCGCCTGCGCTGACTCACAGCTCTGGATCCACTGAGTCTGCGCAGTCTACACAACAGCAGCCCGGCCCCTCCCCCCGGCCACTCCCCCCGGCCCCTCCCCCCCGGCCCCTGAGCCAGTCCAGTCCTGGGGCTTCCTACCCCACATCCGCGCCATGTCCCGCTCTGCCTTCCCCACCTCCGCAACATCACCGGCTCCGCCACTGTCTCCCACCGCAGCCCCCGAGACCCTCACACACACCTCCACCACAACCTGCGCCAACGTGGTCCCCCCNATCTCCTCCCTCCACGGGCTGCCGGTCATCCAGAACTCCGCAGCTCGTGTCCTCTCCCGCACCGGCTCCGCGACCCCATCACCGCCATCCTCGCCCGACTCCACTGGCTTCCCATCACACAGAGGATACTGGTCCTCACCTTCAAAACCCTCCATGGTCTTGCTCCCCCCGACCTCTGTCACCTCCTAACCCCCCCTACCATCCTTCACGTCTCCCGCCTCTCTCGCCCCACCATTGGGGGGGCCTTCTGCCACTCTGCCCCCACCCTCTGGCACTCCATCCCGCAGTCCCTCCACCTCACCCCCTGCCTCACCTCCTTCAAGACCCATCTCAAGACCCTCCTCTTCGAGTGTGCTTTCGATCTCCCGCTTCCTCCCGCGCTGCCTAATCCCGACCCACAGCTCAGGTCCGAAACTCTGACTGTCCTGTCCAGCGCCTTGGGATATCCTCCCGATGTGAAAGGCGCTACACATGTGTAATTTAGTTGTTTGTTGTTGTTATATAGTGCCCTCCATGCAGCGTAGCATCTCAGCGCTTAAAAGTGGAAGAGCCTTACTTACTGCTAGCTAAACAGGCGTGCGTGTGGAGTAAGGAAACTTGCCCAACGTTTCGCTGTGCAATCAAATCCCGGTACTCTCGCTTACGAGGCGAATGCTCTAACCAATATGCTACAGGACTACACAGCAAAGCTGCACAGCAAAGTATCTATCTGAGAACGCAGCAGGTTAGGCAGCATCCATGGAGAGGAAAATGAGCTAACCTTTCAGGTCGTTAATCTTTCGTTAGAACTGGAGGATGTTGGAAGGGAGCAGATTATAAGGACAAGCAGAGAAGGGTGTGGAAGACAAAGGAAACATTTAGGTGGAGGGCAAAAGATGATGAGATCAGAGGTATTGATAATGGAAGATTATAGAAAGAAAAGATGCGTCTAAGACCCAGAGGATGTGTGAATGGTGTGAATAGAGGGGGAGGACCTCTTCTCTAACCCTTTCGCTATCAACTGAACCATCCTAACACACTATTTTCACAACTGAAGAATTGAGCGAGACACCGTACCAGCAGACTGCCAGTATCACTGGACTGTTCCCAGCCCCTTCTGAAGAGAAAAAATTAAAACAAATTGGTACAATGCAATAAACTTGATTCCTTTAATGTGAGAAATAATTCCCGATCAATTTATTTCTCGACGGTTCAGAATTAAAACTAGTTTCTCTGAAATGTGGATGCCTTGAAGAATCCTAATGAATGCAATGACCTGCAATAACAAAAAAAATGCTTGCCTGTTTCATTTTCTCCAAAATTTTGCCTGGAGTTTTATTCTATGTAAAAATGTGTTAATAAATCAGAATGTATTGAAAAAAATTCTAGTTCCATGAAGCAGTTATGACTTTCATACACTATGTGGGCATCATACAGATCGCTTTAGTTTGAGGAACAATAAACATGTAACAATAGTAATTATTACATTCTAATTTGATCGGAGAGGAAGGAGGGAGCATTAAGGAGGGGACTACTCATTCGGTTTATAATAATCCTTGCATTTGATATAGCGCCTTATCACATCTTCCAAGACCCCTCACAGAAAATACTGTAAAGTGACTTGACTGTATTGTGGAAACGTGGCAGACAATTGTGCACAGCAGTGTTCCACAAACAGTCATATGTAACCTAATCTACAAATTTAAATGTAGATTAAGTTACATATGAGTCAGGTGAGACTTTTCACAATACGGGGTTACAATTTACAATATTCACAAAACTGATGGGTTTACAAAATTTGTGGCCAGCAAATCCCAAATTGGCAAAGTCTAAAACAAAGCAGCCAGTTGGTGAAACACCATTTCCCACCAATATTTTCGCTCCCAGCCTTTTAGCAAACTTTTCCCACTTGGGATTTGCAAGAATTTCGATAAACTTTTTTGACGAATCCAGTTTATGAATACTGAAAATCCCACCGTGTTGTTGCCACAAAGCCCGAAAAAATGCGAGTACGGTCAGGTGTAAAATATTCTTTGTCTCAAGCTTATTTTATCTTTTTTTAAAAATACAAAGGTTTGCCACATAATTTCAACTACAATTCTGCAGGTTCCAGCAGATTTTGCCTTCGTCCCCTAAACGTACAGCCCCACTGGCCAGCAGATGGAGGGCAGCAGGGTATGCCTTGTGCTCTACTGCCTTCACTCTTTCGGATAGCGTTTCTTCCGTGTCTCCCACTTTTACTGGGACCACCTTCTGTACAAGAATGGCTCCAGCATCAACATCCTCCTACAACCCCAAAAAAAAATTATTAGACACAAGAAAGATTAAAAAACACATCAAGCTATTTATTAATTCTTCCCAAAGACCAATGGAAAAAGCGGGCACAGCTACCATGCAATCCATGGTCAAATAGCCTGCCAGCTCTGGGCTCCTGCTTATCACTTGTCCCCTCCACCCCACCATTGGCAGCCGTGCTTCAGCCACTCCACCTCAAAGTTTTTTAACTCTCTCCCTCAATCATCCGCCTTGCCCCCTTCTTCTCTTTCGGATTACAACTGAAGAGTTTCCTCCTCGACCATTCTAACAGTCACCTCCTCCTGGCTGGCTTGGCGTCAGACTCTGCCATTGTTAAGCGCTCCGAGACGCTCCTCCACATGAAGAGCACTATATAAATGTAAGTTGTTTTGTTATTATCTGCCTCAGGAAACCATTGAAAAGAAATGGCCCAAAGTAACCGGATTATTAGCACAATTGGATTTGTGTGAAGGTTGAACACTTGACCAAGGTTCTGGTCTAAAACACCCAGTTTATTGTAACCCACAGCAAAGGCAACTCTCAATGGCACTGTACACAGAGGGCCAATAGCAATAAGGATAAACTCAACAACAACTTGCATTTATATAGAGCCTCTCACAAAGGGGAGCCTGGCAGAGTACTTGTCAGTGGAGGAGCACGACGCTGAGCCGGGGAGTCACAACCTGAAGATGGGGAAGCAGGGGACGAGGTGGAGGGATAGAGGGAGAGTGTTCCAGAGTTTTGGGGTGTAACGGCTGAAAACGCGGCCATCAATGATGGAACGGAGGGCACGAGGGACATGCAGGAGGCCATAGCTAGTCGAGCAGAGGCAGCGGGTTGGGGGTGAGCAGGTCAGAGAGGTAAGGAGCTGCCAGGGCATGAAGGGATTTCAAAGTGAGTGAGGAGCCTGAAATCGATCCATTCAGCGTTAGGGAGCCAGCGGAGCCTGGGTAGAACTGGTGTGATAAGGATACGGAGTTTAGTGCGGGTGAGTAGGCGGGCAGCAGAGTTTTCGATCAGCGGATCCTGTGCATGGTGGAGCTGGGGTGACCATCAAAGAGGAATTTGAGAAGTCGAGTCGGGAGGTGACGAACGCACCGACGAGTGTTTCGGCTGCGTCTGGGGTAAGGTAGTCGGAGCGGACTTGGTGACGGAGGAAAGCGGTCCTGATGAGGGGAAGGAAGGACAATCTGACGCCCATATTGTGCCCAACACAACCCATTGGTAAAAGCCTAAAGGATGTCCTGATTGGGGAAGAAAGGACAATCTGACACCCATGTTGTGCCCAACACAACCCATTGATAAAAAGCCTAAAGGACCTTGAAGTGAAAAGTACTTACAGCTACAAAATGCACAGTGCAACCGGACACTTGAACTCCAGCTTGCAGCACTTGCTTGTGTGCATTGACTCCTTTAAAAGAAGGCAACAGGGATGGATGGACATTCAGCAATTTTCCTAGAAAGAAAATAAACTCAACAGTTAAAGGCAAGACCATCCAACACAAGTCCACTTTCTTTATCAATAGCTCACAGGAACATGGGAACAGGAGTAGGCCATTCAGCCCTCAACTGTTCCGCCATTCTGTGTTCTCTCCCACACCAGGCTCTGAGACCCACCGCCCTCAACCGGCTCCACTGGCTCCCTATCCCCCAGAGGACACAGTTCAAAATCCTCATCCTCACTTTCAAGGCCCTCCATGGCCTTGTCCCTCCCTACCTCTACGACATTCTGACTCCATATCAATCTGTTGGCTCCCTCCGCTCCAGTCTGCTCTACGTCCCCCATCCGACCGGTCCCACTATCGGAAGCCGGGACTTCACCCTTCCTGCCCCCGTCCTGTAGATTTTCATCCCACATTCCCTTAGCTTCGCCCCCTCCATTGCCTCCTTCAAATCATGTCTTAAAACCCTCATATTCGACTGAGCCTTTGGTCACCCTCCTACCCGCCCAGATCCCAACCTCCAGCTTGGGCGTAAATCCAATTTTCTAGGGCCTTGGGATGTCCTCACGACGTGAAAGGTGCTGTGTAAATGTAATTTTATATTGTATTAGATCATGGCTGCCTGTACCTCAACTCCAATTACCCACCTTTGCCCCACAGACCTTTCTCTTTGACCATGCCTTCAGCTCCCCTCTCGACTCTCTACCCCCTCCTCGCTCCCTCTCCTCACCCTGACCATTTCCCCCCTGCTCGGGTCCTGACCCAACTGTCCAGTGCCTTGGGACATCCTCCCGACGTGAAAGGCGCTCTATAAATGGAATCTTGTTGTTGTTGCTCATTGCTCCTGTAGTCAGGAGTTAACCACACAATGTACACAAACTGGGCATCCCATAGTCATTGCAATTAAAAGGACCTCCTAACTTGATCTGTGATTACTGGGGCCCAGTTCAGCGCCAGTAAAATATGATTCATGTCTTTCTCTCCTCCCTGCCCTCTCCCACCATAGAATGTTGTTAAAATAAATGATCCGATATTCAATTTGAAATCCATCTAGATCCACAACCCTCCAAGGTCGAAAGTGACCCTGTCACAAAATTAGTTGTGAATTAAAATAGGTTGAGTGTATCCCTAAGTAAAAGAAATCTTTTTGGTTTCTAAGAGCAATTTTTGGTCACCTGCATGTCTGACACATGACCCATCACCATGCTTGAGAATATTCATATACCACTCACACGTGGAAACTTTCCTGTATCTGAAATGGAATGTGTACACTCCCACTGGAGGGATGCACTCTTACCTAATTCTGCAGAGTAATTGGCACAGGTTTGTGAAAGCCAAGACTTGGGACCCCAGGGTAAGGGTTGGGGGTACTGGTGGAGTTTAACCTTCTAAAAGCACATAGATTGCCATTTAGAGTGTTTTTCTGGTAAGCTACCCCACTGCTTATCCAGCAAGCACCACCCTACCATTCGGGCCTTGGCTTGCAGGGTTAAATCGCAACTGAGTGGAAAGAATCGCTACTAGTGATCGATTGATTTACTCATCTATGAATCTAAGTGACAATTAAGTGTTTTGAGACATTGACAACGTGGTGTCTCAAATGCAAAAAAAAGTCAAATCAAGGACTGTTATTATAAAATGGAATATTCAGGTGTGTATACTTTCATAGTCTATAAATTAGTTTGCACGATTACAAAACTAATTAGTAAATGTAATTATCCCACAACAACAACTTGCACCCTCCACGTAGGGCAGTATCTCAGAACGCTTAACAGTGGCAGAGTCTGAGTCCGAGCCAGTGGGGGAGGTGGCCGTAAGGACGGTCGAAGAGGAAGGTTTTCAGACAGGACTTGAAAAAGGGGAGAGGGGTGGGCAAGGCAGAGGGATTGAGGGAGAGTGTTCCAGAGTTTCGGGGCGTAGTGGCTGAAGGTACGACCTCCGATGGTGGGGGGGGGGAGGGTGCGAGGGACGAGCAGGAGGCCGGTGCCAGTCGAGCGGAGTCACCAAGTGGTGGATTGGGGAGTAAGGTCAGAGAGGTCGGGAGGTGCCAGAGAGTGAAGGGATTTGAACAAATGCTTCTTTAGGCTCGTGAAGAAGTTTTTATTATAAATCTACCTTAAGCCCCACCCCCTCACCCCTCCAAATACTGTATGTAAATTTTTTTTACAAATTCTAGCAACCAGGCAAAATTTATTAAATGGTCTTCCAGAGGCCATGGTTGCATTGCAAGAGATACATAAAGGTGCTTCCATCTTCTCCTGCTTTCAATATCTACAGGGATTTCAAACACTTGGTTAAAAACACCACTCCGCTTTGCTCATGTTGCCAAAGAAACGGAATGCCCAGGCCAATGAAAGTAAACTCCGCTGATATTTACCGTTCCATTTCTTGACAAAAGGACCAGAAAGGATCCTCATAAACCCTGCCAGACAGATCAGTTCCACCGAGAACTCCTCCAGTACCTTATCCATAGTGCTGTCAAATTCGGAACGGCTTCCATACAGTTTATGGTCAATCACCTGCAGTTGTCACAGGAAATATAATGTCATCATGTCACAGGAAATATAACCCCCTGCTTGCCCATCAAGGACCAGCCTACCCATTTGGTTTATAATAATCCTTGCATTTGATATAGTCTCATCAAGTTTCTTAATATTAATCTACATGGACAACATGGTCAAAACTGTTTTCATAGGTTTTCCCAGATATTCATCTCAAGCTGCTTACATAAGTAAACTGTCATAAGAACATAAGAATTTGCTGGCGAAAGAAGACCAAAGTCCATCTAGTTTGCCATCCACCATCCTGGCAGTCGCTTGACATGTCGTGTCCCAAACTATATACTGTATCTCCAGATATTATTATTTAGCAGAAATCCATCTAATTTGTTCTTGAACAAACAACATTTTTTGCTTCCACTGTCTCCCTCGGGAGCCTGTTCTATAAGTTTACTACTCTCTCACTGAAGCAATGTTTCCACAGATATGTTCTGAAATTTGTTCAAGTGCTTAGTCTCTCCTCTACTTCATGGCTCAACACAAAGTTACTCACCAGATGTATCAAATAAATATAATAATAATAATCCTTGCATTTGATATGGTACCTTACCTCATCTTCAAAGCGCTTCACAGAATATACTTGAAAGTGAATTGATTGTATATTTTGTGGGTGAAACTCAGCAGCCAATTGCGCACAGCAGCGTACCAGAAACAGTCGTGTGTTGAGTGACCATATTATTGTTTTTGGAAGGGATTATTACACCTGGAAAAGTGATCCGCCGATCGACTGACAACTGGGTTCCTACTTATTGCTAGGTAAACAGAAGCGTGTGGAGTAAGGAAACTTGCCCAAAGTCTCTCGCTGCTGGGAATCAAACCCAGATTTCTCGCTTGCGAGGCGAGTACTCTAACCGCTGAGCTACAGGACTCACAGAACAGTATTTCAGTTCTCTCTAAATCTTGTTGCAGCATTGGACTCACCCTTGTAGCAATGCCAGCCAGGGAAGCTTTCTTCAGTCCCTCAACACCAGCTTTGTTTGAGATAACAATGACGATCTCTGCACGACTAATAGGATCCTTTGTGTATTCAATCAGGGCTTGAAGGTTCGTCCCTTTGAATGAAAAGAAAATTTACTAAAATATTAGTACATCCGTTCAAACCGTACCACTTCATTCTGTGATTTGGCAAATACTTCTAAATACCGGAATTCCACGCGACACACTCCCATTTACCGTCAGCAGGAGCCTCCTCCTGTTCCACCTCCAACAATAACCCTTGCATTTCACATGCAGCCCTTATCACATCAGCCAGACGTCTCAAAGCACTTCGCAAGTAAACCATTTCCACTTGAGGTCACAGGAACTCACCTGTCCCAGAGATGAGGACGCCAACTCGCATTTTCTTGGTGCGACAGTGATCCTGTGGGGAGACATCACCCATGGCATTGCACGAAGGCTGCTTGTGCAAACACTGCGTTTGCATCAGATTTCTGACAGTTACCTTTTCAAAGCCTTTGGGAAAGGAATAAGTGTAGAGAAAGAGGACTGAATTAGATGAGGCAACAAGTGTAGTGGCTGTGTATTTTGTGGGCGAAACGCAGCAGCCAATCAGTGTGTGTCCCACAAACAGTTGTGGATCGAGTGACCAAATCATTATAATTTTTTGGGGGGTGGAGGGATTACTACCCCCAGAAAGTGATCCACCAATCGACTAACAACCGGGTTCCTACTTATCGCTGAGTAAACAGAGGCGTGTGGGATAAGGAAACTTGCCGAAGTTTCTTGCAATAATACTTTGATTTGATGTAGCCCCTATAAAGTCAAACATCTCAAATCACTTTACAGTAACCGCCATAAACAAGAACCTGCATTTACACAGTGGCCTTCACATGGGGCAGTGTCTCAAGAGCGTTTACGTGTTGTCACTGTGCATTTCTAGGCAACCACGATAGCCAATTTGTATAGAGCAATGTTCCACAAACAGCCAGGATGATTAATGTATATGGAAAATCATTGGCCAGGATACAGAAGCTTTCTTCTCTTCTGACTAGTATTAAGGCTCCTCTAGGGGCCACTTGAACAGGCAAGACAGGATCCTGTTTTAACATCACATCTGAAGGACTTCCCATTTCAACACTGCAGCATTTCCCCAACACTGCTTGCATCTGATATAGCGCCTTATCACGTCGTTGTGACATCTCAAAAGTGCTTCACAGAATATATTGTAAAGCGTGCACGCACGCACGCATACGTGTGCACACTGGACGATAAGTAACCTGGTTTATATTGCATGACATTTCCAATGATCCAAGCCTCCTCATGGTGTTGTACACATTGCAACACATCTTGCGCTTTCTCCTTGTCCACCACCAGCACGGCTCCGATCCCACAGTTAAACGTGCGTGCCATCTCGTCTTCGGAGAGATTACCTTCTTTCTGTAGCCACGAAAATATTTCCGGAATCTTCCAACACGACCCATCTTTGAAAGTTGAAAGCAGTTAGCAGGGCAATCGCTGAAGCGAGATTTCAAGGCATTAAAGTCAGTACATTTCTTCTCTCTTGCCCCAATGATCGTGCTCTAATTCTACACATCCCTCAGATTCAGGAAATTATTTTGCAGACGTGGGGGAGAAAATGCATGAGTTTTCAAGATAACGAAACGACACTCGGTACGCGAAAGGTTCGACTGCACAAAACTGCTTTTATTTTGGTCATGGTTTTTTCATCTCTGGGACCCGGGTTTAAGATTTTTAAAATAAATAATAATCTCTGAATTTGATACAGCGTCTCATCACGTCTTCGAGACGTCTCAAAGGGCTTCACGATATGGGGTCAATTGACTATGTTTTGTGGGTGAAATGCCGCAGCCAATTGGGCACAGAATACATAAATAAACCTTTGTTTCTCCCCTCCCCCCCACTTCCCACAAACACATCCAGGTTACTTTGGTACCAATGTTCCAGTACTTTGTATAAGCACACACTCGTTCTCACCCAATTCTACACCAAGATTTCCTGGTAGAGCTCTGGGAATATTCTCTAACAGCCCTCCTCCGGTGATGTGAGCGTAGGCTCTCACATGTCCCGAGCGAAGGATAGGCAGCAAAGCTTTGACATAGATTCTGGTCGGCGTCAGAAGCAATTCCCCTAGAGTGAGAGACCGCAATAGAGAGAAAGAGAGGGAGACAGAAGAAAAAGACAAGTGAGATCTTTACGGGCTTAAATTCCAACATCTTTTTTGAGGTTCTAAAGAGACAACTTTTTTTAAAAAAAACATCCAGGACACATTTCATTACATAGAGGGAACTGTTATCAGGAAGGATGATCGAGGCCAGGGCTTTCATTACAATAAATTTAACAATTCCGGTATATTTCTTCTGAAATATGCAATAAAAATACTCCTTGCATTTGATATACAACAACTTATAACAATATAAATAAATAATGCTTCGATTTGATATAGCGCCGTATCATCTTCGAGACATCTCAAAGCGCTTCACAGGATACACTGTAAAGTGAATTAATTGTATATCTTGCAGTCGAACCTCGGCAGACAATTGCGCAAAGCAGCGTCCCACACACAGTCGTGGATTGAGTGACCAATTCATATATAAACTTGCAGTTATATAGCGCCCTTCATGCAGGGAAGAGTCCCGGAGTGCTTGCAGTGGCATAGTCTGACCAGGATATAGCGCCTTCCTGTCATCGAGACCTCTCACAGTGCTTCACAGGGTTTTATTCTGAAGTGTAGTGCCTGCGTACTTGTAAGCAAACCTGGCAGGCAAATTGCACACAGCAATGTCCAACAAACAGCCAAGATGTGAGGGACCAATTTTATTTGAGTGTTGGCCAGGTCAAGCTCTGAAGTAGAACTTTGAAAATCAAAACCATGTCATAAAACTTTTAAACCTTACCAAGTGTCTGTGTAGTTGGTCCGCAAGGCGCTGGAGATGAACACTGCAAAGAGGATTTCTCCAGAATCCTCCGCACAAGGCTGAAGCCATTGCTGTGGAGACCAGATGACGCGACGCCAATGATAACGTCACCAGCACAGATCGCCTCCAGTTGTGGGAACATCTGCCCGCGTTCCACTGCACCGACGGCAAAGCCAGCCAGATCGTAGTCTCCTGGAGCGTACAGCCCAGGCATCTCGGCAGTCTCTCCCCCTGGGGGAAGAGAGAGGACGAATGAGGGAAGAAGCACAACACTAATCTATTCTACAATCTCATCGACAGGGTGACCAAAAAGTCATGATAACAATTACAATCGCTATTAACAAGTCTTAAAAGAAAATGTTTTTTTGTAGATAATAGCGTAGATATCATGACCTTTTGGTCACACTGTATATGCTGATCTCCAACGTAAAAGTGACTAATTAATTTTAGGTTCTGTCTGCCTTGGACATCAGGTGGATGTAAAGAAACAGTAGGGTGGTTCCCATTTCAAAGAAACATCCTGGTTATCCTGATTTATATTCCGCCTCTTTATCCAAATTGAATTTGTTTTTTCATTTTATTTCATCATTATTCATAGAATGTGGCTAATACAGATTAGCTGCTGCACTTCCCTATACAGTATGACATTCTCTTAATTGCTAAATCAATTACAATGTGCAAAGCACTTCCAAAGTAGATTTTAACATGAGAGTAAATCCTTTCGCCGGATCACGCGGAATCCGTACATGGAAAATTGCCTCAAAAGTGCTTTGAGGCGTAGTGACTGTTATAGAGGCACGAGATCCCATTCATTCTCATCATGGCGTCCAGCAAACTTTTTTTAAAACAAAATGAACAAATTGGCATCATTTATTCGGTCATAATGTGACATTTACAGTAACAATTAGTCCAAGCAGGGATAAATTGCAGCTCAGTGGTAAGCGAGAGGACTTGGGTTCAATTCCCAGGCAGAATGGAACCTCAGGCAAGTTTCCTTACTCCACACACCAACAACAAGAATACATTTGTATAGCGCCTTTCACATTGGGAGGACGTCCCAAGGCGATGGACAGTTTACAGCATTTCAGACCAGCAGTAAGTAGGAACCCGATTGTTAATTGATTGGCGGATCGCTTTTCCAGAGATAATAATCCCTCAAGAAAAAAAATAATAATCCACGACTGTTTGTGGGACACTGCTGTGTGCAATTGGCTGCCATGTTTTGCCCACAAAATTCACTTCAGAGTATACTTAGTGAAGGACTTTGAGACGTCTCAAAGACGCGATAAGGCACTGTATCAAATGCAAGGATATTATTCGAATAAACTAAGTCTTCCTACCTAGCAATGCACATCCTGCCATCTTACAGGCCTCGGCAATGCCACCAATTACCACATGGGCCACATCCACGTCTAGCTTTCCGCAGGCGAAGTAGTCCAGGAGGAAGAGCGGTTCGGCCCCTTGCGCCAGGATATCGTTGACGCACATTGCCACCAGGTCTTGGCCCAATGTGCTATGGTTATTGCACATTTGAGCAATCTGTCCATATCATTCAGGTTGGGGGAGGGGGGGGGAATAAAAAGAGGGAGTGAACAGAATGAATTAATCACATTCTACCACACATGTTGGAATTCTATCCATCGTTGTGAGATATTTTTATTATTATTGTTATATACCTTCAGTTTGGTTCCAACTCCGTCAGATCCAGAGACAAGAATGGGGTCAGAATATCCAGCTGCCTTCAAGTCGAACAAACCTGCGAATCCTCCGAGCTCAGCATTGCACCCTAGGTTTTTTTTTAAAATAAAAAAATGTGAAGCCCAATCTGTACTATAATAATACAATAATACTTCCATTTGATATAGCGCCTTATCACATCTTCGAGACGTCTCAAAGCGCTTCACAGAATATACTGTGAAGTGAATTAACTGTATATTTTGTGTGCGAAATGCGGCAGCCAATTGAGCACAGTAATGTCCTACAAACAGTCGTGGACTGAGTAACCAAATTATTATTATTTTTTAAAAACTGGATTAGATGCACCTATTTCAATATCCATTTCAGGCAGAAGTGGACCATTGGTGCATCTAGTCCAATAAATAATAACCCATTCATTTCAGGAACTTGTCCTGTTCTATTTCAGTTTTTTTTTACAATAAATGGTCACTCAATCCACAACTGTTTGTGGGTCACTACCGTGCGCAATTGGCTGCCATGTTTCGCCCGCCCACAAAATATACAGTCAATTCACTTTATTTTTTGAAGCACTTTGAAATGTCTCGAAGACATGATAAGGCACTATATCAAATGCAAGGATTATTACTAAAACCCTTGTTCCACCACCTGTGCCAGAACATTTGTCCCTCACCCCATTAGCCGCAAAAAAGTCTCCACTCCCCCACATCCTCCCCATTTACTTCTGTTGTCCTTACATCTACTAAAGATTTATTTGAATGATACATTTCTTCCCCCGCCTCACCCACACCCCAAGGTCGGTACATTTAAACAAGAGGCATGCAAACAGTCACAACATTATCAAGGTCGGTACCATTACAAACAGACCAAGAATTGCTTCCCATTCATTTGATTTTCTCTCCTCGCTATAACTGTCGCTAAAAGTTATCATTAGAGAGTCCCCATGCTCGCCTGCTAAACCCCCTCTCCAGCCACCAGCCCCCAGCCCGCTGAGACGGTGTTATTATTGAAGATGCTCAAGTACAACAACGACAACTATTTACATAGCTCCCTTCACAAGTGGTAGCATCCCAGAGCACTTGATAGTGGAGAAAGTGTGGAGGGAGGGGGCAAGGCGGAGGGATTGAGGGAGGGAGTTCCAGAGCTTCAGGGCACAGTGGCTGAAAGCGCAGCCACCGATGTTGGAGCGGAGAGGACGAGGGACAAAGAGAAGGCCGGAGCCAGCCGAGCAGAGGCAGCAGGTAATGGAGTCTGGGTGGGGGAGGTAAGCAAATTGGAGAGGTAGGGAACACCTAAATGGAGTTCACAGGACATTATAGTAAATCTGAAGCGCTCTGAGATGCTACCCTGTGTCGAGGGCGCAAGTTGTTGTTGTTGTGGTAATACTTGGGCTCCCATTGACTAAATGGTAGCTCACCAGGTCTGCGGGTAGAAGCAGCGAGTGGTTTAATTGAATGGACAAGAGCATTCCCAGCTGCAATATCTACTCCACTGTCTTTATACGTCAGGCTTCTGCTGGGGGAAAGTGTGGTGGGAAGGACAGGGGAACACATAGATATTTGTAAAGTTAGAGCACACACAATCAATGGAACATCATTCTATAAATCCAACCAAAGTACACCTCAAACATTTAAACAGCTTGAAGTTTTACGACCACTTAGTTACGTTTTGTTAGTTGTTAAAAAAAACACCTGGCTATGTTTGACCACCCTTCAGGCATTGCTGCACGGATAAGTTTATCAGTCAATCTTACTAACGAGATAGCTTACCAGGGGCGAGACAGTCCCACTGGCTGTCTGGACTTTCAATTAGACACAACCGAGCAGAAAGGTAGCATAATAATACTTGCACTTGAAATAGCACCTTATCACGCCATTGAGACATCTCAAAGCGCTTGTAGTGGTTGGGTGTTTTGTGGGCCAACCCTGCAGCCAATTGCACACAGTGATGTTCCACAAACAGTCGTGGATTGAGTGACTCATTTATTATTACTATTGTATCAGGTGTCCTCGGGTCAGGCCTACCCCCCACCCCCGGGCCAGGCGCTCCATCTCTTTCTCAACTATAGTTTTATAGATTCATAGAATGTTACGGCACAGAAGGAGGCCATTCGGCCCATCGAGTCTGTGCGGCTCTTTGATAGAGTAAGTCACTTTCACTAACCCCAATCACCAGCTTTCTTCCCATAACCCTGCAACCCGTCTTCCCCAGATACCTGTCCAGTTCTCTCTTAAAAGCTGTAGTTAGCTTCAGAAATTTAACAACACTTAAATGAAACAAGGTTGAGCCTTTTTCCTACACAGGTCCCAGTAGCTGTAAGCTATTAATTAATTAATTAATTAATAATACAAAATTACATTTGTAAAGCGCCTTTCACGTCGGGAGGAGTCCCAAAGAGCTGTACAGTCAGGAATTAGGCCCTGAATGGGGTGGGGGGAGTTGGGGTAAGGGAGAGTGGAAGGGAGGGTAAGAGGGTGGCCGAAGGCACGGTAGAAGAGGAGGTTCTTGAGGCATGCCTTGAAGGAGCCAAGGGAGGGAGTGAGGTGAATCAAATGTGGGATGGAGTTCCAGAGGGTGGGGGCAGAGAGGCTGAAGGCCCGACCGTCGATGGTGGGCCGCTGGGCAGAACATCGAGCAGGCCAAAGCCTGTTGAGCAAAGGGAGTATCAATAAGGGGTCAGCAGGTCAGAGAGGTGTCAGGGGGCAATGTCATGGAGGGCCTTGAAAGTGAGGATGAGAATTTTCAACTCTATCTTCTGAGGGATGGGGAGTCAGGGAAGTCGGGCGAGGGTGGGTGTGAAGGGGTTATGGAGCCTGGTGTGGGAGAGGACACGAGCTGCAGAGTTCTGGAGGATCTGCAGCTTGTGGAGGGAAGTGTTGGGAAGGCCGACAAGTAGGGCTTTGGCATAGTCAATCCTGGTTGTAATGAAAGCATGTATGCATTTATCACGTCGTTGAGACTCCTTAAAGCACTTTATAGAATTGACTGTATTTTGCGGGCAAAAACACAGCAGCCAATTGCGTACAGTCATGTCCCACAAACAGTCACGGATTGAGTGACCAAATTATTATTATCAATTATTTGGAGGGATTATCATTCCCCCAAAAGTGATCCGCCAATCAACTAACAACCGGATTCTTACTTACTGCTAGGTAAACAGGACATGTGGAAAAAGGAAACTTGCCTAAGGTTATTCACTCAAAGCATCCAGATAAGGTCTGTTGAGTATGGGGATTAAGGCCTATTTTCACCCACAAAACATACAGTCAATTCACTTTGCAGTATATTCTGCAAAGCGTTTTGAGACGTCTAGAAGGTGCTACATCAAATACATGGATTATTAGCGGAGTATAAATTCTACTTGGGTCTCGATTCTCAAAAGAACTTGCAGAAAACGAGATTCGCCATTAAGACTATTCAAGAATTTGGCAAAGTCTGGATGCTCCAGAATACTAAGCATATCGGGAAAACTTAAACCCAAGTGGAATTTATACCCCATTGCAGAAATGGAGGACAGGGCAGCTTTGTTCTGTACCTGACCTGGGAGGGCTTGATGCAGACACTTGGAACCCTTGATGCTATAAAGGGAAAATGTTCCTTTCTCTTCTTACCCCCCACCACCCCACTCCACTAACATTTCTCACCATGATGCGGAGAAAGAGACAAAGAGGGAAAAAACAGTTTTATAATTAATATAAGCATTTTAACGAATTTTATATTACATTAACTATGTTTCACCATCAGTGACTGTGCTTCAAGCCACTACATCCCGAAGCTCTGAAACACTCTTCCTCTATCCCTCCGCCTTGTCCCCACCTTCCCCATCTTCAGGTCATGCCTGAAGACCTTCCTCTTCGACCATGCCTATGATCACCTCCCCCTCGGCTCGGTATTGTGCTCCGCCACTGTCAAGCGCTTTGGGCTGCTGCCCTGCGTAAGTGAGGGGTGCTATATAAATGCAAGTTGTTGTTATATTGTTAAAGATCAAATTTCATTTCGTTCTAAAAAAATGCTAAGCTACAATTTACAATCAAGGAATGCTTGATTTGCCTGTAAACACAAACCTGGACTGTTTTAGGAATGCAATGGCTCGATGTGCAATATCCTTTCTGGACACAGCTCCCTGGAACTGAATGATCGCTGCCCCTGAATTGGCTTGTTCAACTGCACAGATCAAATCCTTATCCACAGCAGTCACTGCAAGGACCCGACCACCGCTCGTCACCACCTTTCCGCCCTTCAGAGCAGTGCCCGCATGAAAGACTTGCAGACCCGCATCCTTAGCCACAGACACACCTGCAAAACAGAAACTAACTTGAGCTCAAATAACCCAAAGGGCAAACGACTCGAGTTGCACGTTTCAGGTAAATGGATTAAGAGAAATCAAGAGAAAGAATACATAGAGAAAATGTGGACCACTTTCCCCCTCAATCCCTCCGCCTCGACCCCTCCCTCCCCACTTTTGAATCCCGCCTAAAGACCTTCCTTTTCGATCGTGCCTTTTCGACCTTCCTTTTTGATCATGCCTCCCCCCTCCCTCTCCCCCTGGCTCGGGGTCAGACCCCGACACTGTCAAGCACTCCAGGATGCTATCCCGCGTGAAGGGCGCTGTGTAAATGCAAGTTATTGTTGTCCAAAACATAGCTCTCCTAAACATCATGCACATTACCATGCCTTTAGAGCAAGCATCTTTGTATATATATCATACACACACATCAGGTCACTGCATTCATGCAGAATGAGTGCAGTTCCCAGTGATCTCAAACATGTGTGCGTTCCTTTTTTCTATGCACACTGTGTGACTGCAGACAAAGTGTGGTGCTAGTTTACTGATCCTAAATATATTCTTGCAATTGATATTGTGCCTTATCAAGTCTTCGTGACGTCTCAAAGCGCTTCACAGAATACACTGCAATGTGAAATGACTGTATATTTAGTGGGCGAAATGCAGCAGTCAATTTGCACAGCAGCGTCCCACAAACAGTCATGGATTGAGTGACCAAATTGCTATTATTATTATTTTTTGAAGGGTTTATTACCCTCAACAAAGCAATTCGGCAATCGACTAACAACTGGTTTCTACTTACTGCTAGGTAAACAGAAGCGTGTGGAGTAAGGAAACTTGTCTAAAGTTTCGCCCTGCCCGGGAATCAAACCCAGGTCCTCTCGCTTGCGAGGCGAGCGCTCTAACCACTGAGCTACAGGACCGCACAAAGCAGACTTTAGTTTTTTTTCACAATTACATTTTCTTTGTATCTCTTCAAAGCCTCTTGTGGAGTCCTGTAGCTCAGTGGTTAGAGCACTCGCTTTGCAAGCGAGAGACCTGAGTTCAATTCCAGGCAGAGGGCGAAACCTTGGGCAAGTTTCCTTACTCCACACAGAGCCTAATAATAATCCCTCCAAAAACCAAAAACAATAATAAATTGGTCATTTTCAATCTACGACTGTTTGTGGGACATTGCTGTGCGCAATTGGCTGCCGCGTTCGCCCACAAATATACAGTCAATTCACTTTACAGTGTGTTCTATGAAGCACTTTGGGACGTCCTCCCGACGTGAAAAGCTCTATATCAAATACAAGGATTATTATTATTATTATTGTAAAGCTTAAGCCAGCCTTTACTGTAGTGCGTACAGGATGAGTAGCTCTCTTATTTTGCTCAGATACTGGGAGGTATTACCTGTGATCTCCTGGTCCTTTGCATAGTTGCCTGGGTATCCACCGCTGGCCAGAACCACAGTCACAGCCACACTAGTATCCAGCCATGAGGGTATGGCATTGGCAAGATTGCCATCCACAGTCGCTTTCACTACTTCATACAAATCACTCCGTAACAAGGGAAGAATGACCTGAAATACACACAACACATTAATAAGGGAGAAAGAAGCACAGTGAAGCTGCACAGTATACAATACAATTTAAATTTGTAAAGTTAAACCCCCGGCTTACTGGCGCCAGGTATCCGGAATTTGGATCTATCCGGACTTGCAACTTGCATTTGCAGTTATATAGCATGGCTCACACAGGGTAACATCCCAGAGCAATTGTCAGCGGCAGAGCACAATACCGAGTCGGGGGGGAGGCACGGTTAAAAAGGAAGGTCTTCAGGTACAACCTAAAAATAGGGAAGGAAGAGGCAAGACGGAGGGATAGAGGGAGTATTCTAGAGCTTCGGGCCATAGTGGCTGACTGTTTGGGTTTTGAGCTGCCCCGAAACCCCCAATTTTTATTTTATTTTTAATTCCAAGGGCCTTGATGTACGTTAACTTTTCAAAGTGCTGGTACCAGCATTGTAATTACTTAGCCAGAAACTCACGCTTACCAGACCAGATCTCTCCCCACCTCTCCCATTAGTCCGGCTAGCCGGGGTCTAACTGTATGGCTCTTTTCATGTTGGATGTCCTCTAAAAGAGCTTAGAGGGGACGAGGGACAAACAGAAGTCGGAGTTGGTCGAGTGGAGGCAGCGGGTGGTGGAGTGGGCGGGGTAAGAAAATCGGGTAGGTAGGGAGGTGCGAGGGCATGAAGGGTTTTGAAAACAAGTGAGAGGATCTTAGGCACGTTGATCATTGATTGATGCAAAATGAAGAACTACATTACCTGACATTCTGGATCACCAAAACGACAATTGAATTCCAACACCTTAGGCCCGTCTCGGGTTAGCATCAGCCCAGCATACAGTACCCCTGGGCAGAACAACAACAATATCTGAACTGCTTCAAAAAGAACTCCATCTAAACTCTTCAAAATTAAGCCTTTATTTCAGAATCTGCCAAATTCTGGAGACTAAAATGCTACACAAATAGATTAAACCTCGGTGGAATTTCTCCGCACTGGTAATATAAAGGCGATTAGTTACAAGCTGGTATCTCACATATATGATATTCTAATCTACTCCAGTTTTAGCAAAACCCTAGTTTATATAATGCAACAGTGCTCACCAACATATGGAGTTCCCTCTTGTCTCATCCCATCTATTGACTTCTGAAGCACATTCTCTTTGATCTTTTGAAGGACATCTTTAGAAACCTGAAGGATACAAAACAAAACTTACTGTATAAAAAGCATATATCAACCCTCCTAGAGTCCAGTTTATATGAACCCAATTATATTTCAACAATAATACACATTTATAAGCGCCCTTACATGCAGGGTAGGGTCCCAGAGCACTTGAAAGTGGTGGAGTCTGACTCCAAGCCAGGGGGAGAGGGAGGTGCCCTTATGTATGATCAAAAAGTAAAGTGTTTAGGCTGAATTTGAAGGTGGGGAGGGAGGAGCAAGGTGGAGGGATTGAGGGAGTAAGTTCTAGAGTTTCGGAGCATAGTAGCTGAAGGCACGGCCACCAATAGTGGAGTGGAGTGGAGGGGGTGAGAGGCAAACAGGAGGCCGAAGCCGGCCGAGAGGAGGCAGCAGGTGGTGGGGTGGGGGGGGGAATAAGCAAATCGAATAGATATGGAGGTGCGATGGCCTAAAGGGATTTTCTTCCACATTCAGCAGGGATTGTGGCATTCGAGTCTCAGCGGATCAACTCGTGCCCAGGTAATTCAGACAGCCTAGATTTGTTACTGTTAATAAGGTGTTACATGAACTTCAGTAAAATCGCAAAACAAGAAAGAACTTGTTTCATGATGCGATAATCGCCTGATCATGTCAAAAGCTTTCAAAGCACTTTACACACCTAATGCAGATGATAGGCCTGAAATTCTACCTAGTTTTAGTCTGCAAAACCATTTAATCGTAAAATTTAAGATTACACAGAATTGTGGATAATTCTTATATTCAGTATTAATTTGGAAGCCTTGATGGGCATTTTATAAAAGGAGACAGGTTCCACATTAAGGCTGAATTGAAGAATTTTCCATACTTCTGTGTGATCTTGAATTTTAAGACAAAATGGTTTTACAAACAAAGACTTGAAGATTCAGCTAAAATAATAATAATAATCCTTACATTTGATTGAATAATAATAATCCTTACATTTGATACAGTGAAGCGTTTCACATAATATATACTATGAGATGAATTGACGGTATATAATCGACACACGGCAGCCATTTGCACACAGCAGAGCAGTGTCCCATAAACAGTCGTGGATTGAGTGACCAATTTATTATTGCAATTTTTTTTAAGGGATTATTATTCCCGGAAAAGCGATCCGCCAATTGACTAACAACCGGGTTCCTACTTACTGCTGGGTAAACAGAGGCGCGTGGAGTAAGGAAACTTACCCAACGTTATGGTCTGCCAGGAATCGAACACAGGTCATTTCACTTGGTACTGCAAGTGCTCTAACCACTGAGCTACAGGACTCCATACCTTATTGCGTTGTGAGACATCTCAAAGTGTTTCACAGAATATATTGTCAAATGAATTGACTGTATATTTTGTTGGCAAAAAATGTTCTGACAAGAGAGATTTGCATCAGCATTTCTGCTACATTAAGAAAGTGTTATATTTCTGTGGATCAGAGAAGGACTCGTTTACATACAGTAGAACTCCAGTACCTGAGGAGCTGGACAGTAAGCACCCATTCCACCAGTGTTTGGCCCCTGGTCTCCATCCAGCAAGCGTTTGTGGTCTTGAGCAGGTGGCATACAGGCAACTGTAATCCCATCAGTGAAGCACAGGCACTGCACAGCAAAGACAAATTATTTCTTTAGCAATATGGAGGCCATTGTGGACAAGATAATAATTATAATCCTTGCATTTGATACAGAGCCTTATCACATCTTCAAGATGTCTCAAAGGACTTCACAGAATATACTATAAAGTGAATTGACTGTATATTTTATAGGCAAAACGCGGCAGCCAATTGCACACAGCAGTGTCCCACAAACAGTTGTTAAGACAAGTGTGTGTGTGGATTGACAGTCATGGATTGAATGACCAATTTATTTATTTTATTTAATATTTTTTTGAAGGGATTTATTACCCCTGAAAAATCGATCCTCCAATCGACTAACAACCGGGTTCCTACTTACTGCTAGGTTACAGAGGCATGTGGAATAAGGAAACTAGCCTAATGTATTGCCCTGCCAGGAATCGAACACAGGCTCTCTCACTTGCGAAGCGAGTGCTCTAACCACTAAGCTACAGGACTTCCAAGATATGTGCATTGAGAGATTCAAAGCCATTCAGAAACTCCACGATATTCTATTGTTCCAAGTTCCCAAATCGAACATGTTGGATCACTTTAATGGAACACTCCATAGATACTGTGTCAAGGTTCTTGTATTTAAATACTATACCACAAAAATAAATACACAATATTGATATCGCTATTTCCTTTAGTCAGGTGTTTTTAATAAAAACACGAATATATTATGCAACACTTTTTAACCTTTAATGTAGAAGTTAGAGGGTTCTGCAAGACACACGTACACTAATCATAGCTGAAGGAGATTCAAGTCAGTTCACAAGCATCTCCAATCTAGGATTATAATAATAATTTGACATAGTGCCTAATCACATCTTCGACACCTTCACAGCGCTTCACATAATACATTGTAAAGTGGATTTTGTGAGCGAAACGCGGCAGCCAATTGCAAACAGCAACGTCCCACAAACAGTCGTGGATTGAGTGACCAAATTATTCTTCATTGAATCATAGAATTTTACAGTATAGAAGGAGGCCATTCGACCCATCGTGCCTGTGCTGGCTCTCTGAAAAGAACTATCCAATTCAATCCCATTACGCCGCTCTCTCTCCACAGCCCTGCAAACTCATCCTCCCCAAATAAATATCTACTTCGCTCTTAAAAGTTGTTATCGAATCGACTTCCACTCTTTTAGGCAATGAATTCCAGATATTATTTATAAATATTATTTATTTTTGAAGGGATTATTACCCCCGAAAAACCGATCTGCCAAACGACTTAACAACTGGGTTCCCACTTTCTGCTAAGTAAACAAGCGGGTGGAGTAAAGAAACTTGACCAACGTTTCACTCTGCCGGAAATCAAACCCAGGTCCTCTCGTTTGCGAGGCGAGTGCTCTAACCACTGAGCTACAGGACTCCACATTGAGGAGCTCATGCGCTACTCAGAAAGGGATCTAACCAAATTAAGACTGCTACTGAATATGCTACTAAACGGCAAAACTGTCTGCAATGCAGATTTATTTATAAAATTTATATTAAGGGAAAGTAAGGAAACAGGACAAACAGTAAATCCTTTATAACCTATAACCAAAGTTTCTTTTTTAAAAAATGATGGTGATCTACCCAGATGTTTACATAAAAAAAGTATAAAAACACATTTTGTGTAGGTAAACCAAGGTGGGAGGACTACAAAAGGTATGTCTAAAAAAATACAGATGGCAACAAAACAATAAGGAGCTGCAACAACCCTGGAACTTCCCTTACCGAGATTTCTTCTCCCTCCAGTAGTTCTTCCACGACTATAGTTTCTCCAGCAGCCCCGAAGGCCTTATCCTTTTCAAGAGAATTAGAATAATTAATAAAAATAATAATTCTTACATTTGGTATAACACTTTGTCTGAAGGGCATCCCAAAGCGCTTCACAGGATATACTGTAAATTGCAACGACTGTGTTTTGTGGATGAACACAGCAGCCAATTTGCAAACAGCCATGAAGCGAGTGACCCAACTTACTTGGGGGACTGTTGGCCGCGAGAGAGAAATTCCCTTGTCTTTTCAAATTGTGCTATGGGATCTTTAACGTCCCCTGAACAGGCAGACGGGACCTCGGTTTAACGCCTTATCAGGAGGATGGCACCTCCAACAAGGTGTAGCACAACCCCAGCACTGACTAGAAGTGTCAGCTTAAACTATATGAATTTCCTGCCCTGATACAAGTCTTGAATCCACAAGTCTTCTCACTCAGAAGCAAGAGTGCCAGGCTGACACATTTAAACACATTAAGTTTCTTGCACTGCAAGTTTCTTTCCTTCAAATCCCATCTAACGACCTTCCTCTTCGACTGTGCTTTCGGCCACCCTCCCACCCCCACGCCCCGTACCCTCCGCCCCTCCTGACCCCAACTCCCAACTCGAGTCCAAAGACCCCTGGTTGTCCAGCGCCCTGGGGGTTCTTTCCAACACAAAGGGCGCTATACAAGTGTAATTTGTTGTTGTAAGAAGTTACTGCATATTGCGTTCCACTTCATTGGTCGAAAGCCAGGATAAACCTTTTCCTCCTGCCAATGTATAAATTATTGGTGAGATTGTACTTAAATATTCTGTACAGTTCTGGTCGCCGCAGTACAAAAACGATAGTGGAGAAATTGAGGGCAACCAAAATGATTGAGGAAGTGGAGGGCCTGGATTATGAGGAATGACTAAGTAAATTGGGTATGTTCATGCTGGAAAAGAGAAGATTGAGAGGAGACATGGTTTGCTGTCTTTCAGATTCTAAAGGGGCAAAACAATCTAGATCATGTTGGGCTGCTTCAACTTATCCAGAATAGTAAAACCCGAGGACATGGCCTGCGATTGAAGGGTATAAATTCAGAATTAATCTACGCAAACACTATTTCAGTGAGCGAATGGTGAACCTGTGGAACAGGCTCCCGAGGGAGACGGTTGAAGCAGGAAGTGTTGATTAGATAGTTTTCTTTTAGGAAATAACATTACAGGATATAGCACATAGGGAGTTTGGGACATAGTGCATGATCTAGATGGACCTTGATCTTTTTTCATCTAGCATTTCTTATGTTCTTATGACACATTACATTTACACAGCGCCTTTCTTGCTGGGAGGACACTCCAAGGCGCTGGACAGTCAGGAATTTTGACCCGAGCTGGTGGCTGGGGTCAGGAGGGTGTAGGAAAGTCACCAAAGGCACGGTTGAATGGGAGGGTCTTGCGACGTGCCTTGAAGGAAGCAAGAACAGAGTGAGTCGAAGGGACTGCAGGATGCAGTTCCAAAGAGTGGGGTCAAAGAGGCTGAAGGCCCGACCGCCGATGGTGGGGCAGGCCAGGCAGGGGATCACGTCTCAGTCGCTGTAAGGATAATTCCCTTACCCTGGAGCATTCCTTTAATTGACAGAACACCATGTACATTTACAAAACGCTATGGAAACATACCTGCAGGATGTCTTGAACTGCTTTGCATGCCTCCGCTTTGTCAGCAGCAACAATAACCCCTTTACCAGCTGCTAAACCACTCGCTTTTACTACCAATGCGGAGAAGTCAGCACTAAAAAAAAGAAAGCGTATTATTATTTCTCTCCACAAACAACAGCTTAGGCCACCAAACCAATCCTCTTGGGACAATGAGGCCAGACAGATGCACAAAAACATAAGTGAATTGGAATCAAATCCCAGCCAACTGACCCATTCTGTGCAAATTTATTATACTGGGACACCAAACCAAGTAGTTTTCTGAGGTAGCCGAACTACTCCACCTCTGTTCAGTGACTGTTTATGCAGATACACAGCAGTCATTTTGCACAGCAAGTTCCCACAAATAGCCATAATAATAATAAAAATCCCTGATTTTGACATAGCACTTTTCACGTCTTCTCGACGTCTCAAAGCGCTTCACAGAATAGACTGTAAAGTGAATTGACCGTACATATTTTGTGGGCAAAACGTGGCAGCCAATTGCACACAGCAGTGTCCTATAAACAGTCGTGGATTGAAAATGACCAATTTATTATTGTTTTTTGGAGGGATTATTATTCGGTGTGTGGAGTAAGGAAACTTGCCCAAGGTTTCGCCCTGTCTGAAATTGAACCCAGGTGTCTCGCCAATGAGCTACAGGACTCCAAGTACTGCATAAAGTTGGTTAATTTGCAAGAGAATTTGTCAATTATGTCGTGGGTATTACAACAATAACAAATTATATTTGTATAGCGCCCTTCACATCAGAAAGACATCCCAGGGCACTGGACAGTAAGAGGTTTTTGGACCCGTGCTGGGAGTTGGGGTCAGGAGGGAAGGGGTGGGAGGGTGGCCGAAGGCACGGTCGAAGTGGAAGGTCTTTAGATGGGACTTAAAAGGAGGTGAGAGGGGGTAAGGCGGAGGGATTACGGGATAAGTTCCAGAGTATGGGGGGGCAGAGATGCTGAATGCCCGACCACCAATGGTGGAGCGGGAAGTGCAGGGGATCTGAAGCAGGCCGGTGTCCACCAAGGGGAGGGAGCGGACAGGCTGATGTTGGGTTAGGAGGTCAGATAGGTGGGAGGAGCAAGACCATGGAGGGCCTTGAAGGTGAGAACCTTCAAAGAATGTATTAAGCTTCAATGGACCTGCCGTGAGATTCTCTGACCTCTGGATGAAGCTGCAGGCTTCCTGCGGGTTAGTAAAAGCTTTCCATCTGGCAGTGGGGATACTGTGACGATCCATGAAGTCTTTGGCAAACTGTTTACTTGCTTCCAGCTGTGCTGCCTTTGCCGAAGGACCAAAACATTTCACTCCAGCAGCCGTCAGGTCATCCACGATCCCTGAGGGAAAGTGAGAACATCTGGAGTCAGTAACCAAACGCGTGTTTTTTNCAAGATAGAATCATAGAATTATAAAGCACAGAAGGAGGCAATTTGGCCCATTGTGCCCGTGCTGGCTCTTTGAAAGAGCTGTCCAAGTTAATCCTACTCCCCCGGCTCTCCCTAGAGCCTTGCAAATTTGTCCTCTCCAAGTATCTATTCATTTCTCTCTTAAAAGTTATTATCGAATCTGCTTCTACCACCTTTCAGACAATGCATTCCAGATTCCAATAACTCGCTGTGTGAAAATATTTCTCCTCACCTTCCCTCTGATTCTTTTGCCAACTATCTTAAATCTGTGTCCTCTGGTTACCGACCCACCCACCAGTGGAAACAGTTTCTCCCTGTTCATCCTATCGAAATTTTGATTTAAATTTAACGAGTTTCCCTGTGTCTATTTATCGATGCAACATGGCTGATCTGTACCTCAACTCCCAATTTAATAAAAAAAAGTTTAAGTTCCAACCATAAACTTGAATAAATATTTTTTCGATAATAAAAACACTGCTTTGGTTATCGGGATTTATTGGGTCAGTTTGCAGAGAATCTCGGGATTTAATTACCTGCAGCGAGGGGAGCCTCTGGACCCACCACCACCAAACCAATGTTGTGATCTTTGCAGTACTGGGCAAGAATGGCATGATTGCTGACAGAGACGGCTGAAAGAGAGAACAATGGTGAGATGTTACACCAAAGCGACAACTTTCAGAGGACATTACTGCACAAAATAATAATAATAATAATAATCCTTGCATTTGATATAGCGCTTTTCACGTCGGGAGGACGTCCCAAAGCGCTTCACAGAACATACTGTAAAGTGAATTGACTGCCACAAAAGATCTCTTGCACTTAACATTTCAATAAGTTTTATTGTCTTCAAACAATACACAGCCAGTGCACTTTACAATTTATCCTGTGAAGCCACAAGGAGGTCTTTCCACCAATAGAATCTATGCTGGTTTAAGGAAGTGCAGTGAAACATTCCCATGAAGTAGCCACTGAACCTATTTTCCGTACATGGAGTCCTGCAGTTCAATGTTTAGAGCGCTTGCCTCACAAGGAAGTGGACCTGGGTTTGATTCCCGGGTGGGTCGAAACGTTACCTTCTCCACACGCCTCTGTTTACTTAGCAGGAAGTAGGAACCTGGTTGCTCGTCAATTTCAGATCGCTTTTCCAGGGGTAATAAACCCTTCAAAAAAATAATAATTTGGTCACTCAATCCACGACTGTTTGTGGGACGCTGCTGTGCACAATTGGCTGCCGCGTTTCTCCCACAAAATATACAGTCAATTCACTTTACAATATATTCTGCAAAGCCCTTTGAGACTTCTCAAAGACGTAATAAGGCGCTGTATCAAATGCAAGGATGATTATTATGATTATTATTAACACATGGCAAAGTTAAAGCTATTGGGGGGGGTCTTTTCCTACTCCACCTTCCAAACCAGATGTCCTCCTTTAAGGAGATGAATCACAACTTAAACAATTCCTTTGATCTTTTACACAGGCTTCATGAATTTACTGAATGACAAACCAATTCAAATGGGTCCCTCTTCACCAACCCGCACTGCGGTAATAAACCATCAGTTGTCAATGTGCTGGAAATTTAATCTCGGTAGTCATCAATAGTACTCATTTATTTGATATATAAAGACCATGCAAAAATAACTGACAAAAAAGACAACATTTGACTATTCTCCGGGCTGATGAAGATAAATCAGAGATAGTGTGGAAACGAAATTTGTGGAAAAAAATGTTTAGTTCATAACCTATTCTAAAAGAATCCCAACACAATTGAAGAGTTAAATTATTTTGAAGGGTAAAAGTATCAATTAACTTTTTACAAATTTTTTTGCTGTATCGACAAATCCAGTTTATCATTAATCCCCTTTGTGAATTCACTGCGATCATTTCATAATAATAATAATCCTTGCATTTGATATAGAGCCTTATTGTGTCGTCGAGATATCTCAAAGTGCTTCACAGGATATACTGTAAAATTAATCGACTGTATTTTGTGGGCATAACACTGCAGTGTCCTACAAACAGTCATGGATTGAGTGACCAATTTTTTTTAGGGGATTATTACCCCTGGAAAAGCGATCCACCAATCGACTAGCAACCGGGTTCCTACTTACTGCTTGGTAAACAGAGGCGTGTGGAGTAAGGAAATTTGCCAAACATTTTGCCCCGGCCTGGGAATCGAACCCAGGTCCTCTCGCTTGCGAGTCGAGTGCTCCAACCAATATGCTACAGGACTCCATAAAGGCTTTAGTGCAACGACAATTGAAAACACCCACTGAGCACAGAACTCAAAATACTATCATTATTATGTCTGTATTCCTTTTATGGAGGAGAAAAAAAAGCAAGTAATAATCAAGCAACCATCTGGGTCAAAAAAACAGCCTTTTTTTAAAACGATTATTAAAATTATCAAAAAGAATCCCAACCACTTGGAGAGTTGAATTATTTTGAAGGGAAAAAGTATCAATTAACTTTTTTTTAAAAAAACTTAAGGATGACCTTACCCGAATTGGAGATTTTGCCAATTCCTGCCGTCCCCGCATTGCCCGGCGCAACCAGTACCTGCAGAACATGTGGGGACTGAGCCAGCTTCCAGGCCAGGGTATGCTCCCGCCCTCCACTGCCAATTACGAGCACTCGTTCCGCCATGGTTCTGCACTGTAACACAACCATACCGGTTATCATTTCAACATCAACCCTGCTATAATCCCAGCCACTGTCTGCACGTGATTCCTTCCCCCCGCATAGATAGCCCTTAAGAACTACTTGCCATGATTTATCTTTCTTTAACTGCATATAGAATTTGCTTTTGGTGCGAGTTTCTAAGGTCAAAACAATTATCCGATAAGCAAACGAGCACAGCCTTTAGTACATCCATCGGTGTCTAATGCAAACCACACCACAAACTAACAGGATCGTTATGAATCCAGCTCACATCCAAATGAACAAGCCTCTCTCAGGCTCAACACCGCAGCTCTTCCCTCAGATTTTCGTGGATTCAAAATGTTCCGCAATAAAGTCAAGAGATATTTCTCAACAGGCTGTCTGGGTGCAGAGCACGAGAGTAAGGGAAGGTGAAAGGCCTTCAGACAAGTTAATTAGAAATTGAGCTCAGTGACACTAGATCTCATATCTGACCTTTCAAACAAATTCTCCAGATAAATCGGCGGGCTGACTGCAGGCACAGAGTGAAATGGAACGAGGTCTTGAGGAAGATTCTTTCAAACGCTCAGAGACACCAGGATCCTTCCAACTGTCGGCAATAAAAATTAAAATAATTATTCCAAGTTGCCAGAAGTAGGTGGTCTCATCCAGAAAACTGCAAATCTTTTCTTGCACAAAAACTAAGGAAGCACAGAAGGACAATTATCTGATTCAGTCCAGAAATAAGGCGGGCAGAACCGCATGATCTGCTCATGAGTTCCATTACTGATTATAAAAAGTTTTTCATTCACAGGATATGTTGATTCCTAACAATTTACACACCCACACAGCAAATTTTAGCAACATGCTAAAAATTTTAGAGAATTAATGCCATGTCCTTGTAACCCCTTGTCAAATTGTAAAAAAATTCTGGGTCTAACTGCAGATTTTTAGGACACCACATTTTTCAGGCAATGGTAGAGTGACACAGTATGTTAATAATATCCTTACATTTCAAATAGCCCCTTATCACGTCTTCGCGACATCTCAAATCGCTTCACAGAATATACTGAAAAGTGAATTGACTGTATATCTTGTGGGGAAAACGCGGCAGCCAATTGCGCACAGCAGCGTCCCCACAAACTGTCAGGGATTGAAGTGACCAATTTATTGTTATTTTTTAATGAAGAAATGTTGCGATCGTAGTATGAAGTGATAGGTTGGCTAAGTGTCTTTGAGCAAGATGCTCCATCCATGCTCCCGGTGATAAACGGGATGGCACATTGGAGATGGAATAGATTATGTCATGAGGGAAGCAACATCAACAACATGTTAAATTTACACAGCGCCTTTCACATCGGGAGGACTTCTCAACAGGGATGTTAGAGATAGCAGGTGGCCAAATGCGTGGTCGAAGAGAAGGGTCTTGAGACATAAGCGATGGACACAAATAAATAAAAAATCCTCGCATTTGCTTATAGCGCCTGCCACTTCAATAGAACTACTCAAAGTGCTTCACATGATGCACATATAACGCAATTGGCTGCCACGTTTCACCCACAAAATACACAGTCAATTCACTTTACAGTATATTCTGTGAAAGTGCTTTGAGACGTCTCGAAGACGTGATAAGAACCCATCCATATCAAACACAGGGGTTATTATTATTACTATTGTAGAGCGGTTGTGTATTTTGCAGGCATATTCAGCACCCAATTTTTATGCAGAGCAATATCCCACAAGACTTCAGCCATAAAGTGACTGACCAAGTTTATTTGGGGGAATTGTTGGTCAGGTCACTGGGAGAGAGAAACTCCCTTCTCTTTTACAAATAATCCCATGGGACCTTTCATGTCCACCTGAATAGACAGGGACTTGGTTTCACATCACATCCAAAGGACATCACCTCTGACAATGCAGCATTTCACCACAACCGTATTCCTGTGTCTACCTAAGGGATGAGTTTCAAGTCTGACAAAGAGTTGAACCCACGACTCAAAAGATTAAGCAATGCTACTAACTGAGGAGAGCCGGGCTTGATAACAGACTTGCGATTACAGCAGTAGATTCATTATAGATTAACTAACAATAATAATCCTTGCATTTGATATAGCGCTTTTCACATCTTCGAGACGTCTCAAAGCGCTTCATCAGATAAGACTGTAAAGTAAACTGACTGTACATTTGTGGGCGAAACCCGGCAGCCAATTGCGCACAGCAGCGTCCCCACAAACAGCCGGGGATCGAAAATGACCCGATTTATTATTGTTTTATTCATCGATGGCAAACCTTCATCAGGACTGCTTCAAAAGCCGCCCGAGTAAAAGCCCATTTGTCCTACAGCTTTCATCCCAGTCAAGGAGATATTCCTTTTCGAGCGCCACCGACAAAACCTACCAACCATTTGTTTGCATCGACGCCAAACAGCACAAGGTTTTCCACGCGCTCGTCAGCAACAGGACACCGCGAGACAGGCCATGGATCACAGTCCTGCAGGTGTTGGGGTGAAGCCTCGGGGCAGCCTCTGCCCTTCAGAAACCCACCGGCACAGCGCGTGTGGCACAGGGCGGTGGGTTACAACTTCGGAGGCCCCCAGTGATACTCACTCCACCACCACCCGCACACCGCAGGGGTACAGACTCCTACAGAGGGGGAGGGGAGGGGGGGCACAGGAGGGGCTTTAACTCTTTGCAAAGTGCACCTTGTGAGGGAGTGAGGGAGGGAGTGATTGAGGGAGGGAGTGAGTGATTGAGGGAGTGAGGGAGGGAGTGAGTGAGGGAGTGATTGAGGGAGTGAGTGAGTGAGGGAGTGAGGGAGGGAGTGAGTGAGTGAGGGAGTGAGGGAGTGAGGGAGTGAGTGAGGGAGGGAGGGAGTGAGGGAGTGAGTGAGGAGTGAGTGAGTGATTGAGGGAGTGAGTGAGGGAGTGAGTGAGTGAGTGAGGGAGTGAGTGAGTGAGTGAGTGAGGGAGGGAGGAAGGGAGTGATTGAGGGAGTGAGTGAGGGAGTGCAGCGGACGCACGTGTGAGAGCCGCTGAAGCAGCGCAGACCCACCGGCCCCGGAAGTCGGTGCACACACACAACTCCTCCATTTCAAGTGTTATTTGTTTTACAACACACACACAAAACACTGACTGAGAACGTTTCTACCTTATTTTCGGGTGGATGCCGACCGGCGGGGAGGGGGCAGGGGGGGAGGGGCACAGAGGGGGGAGGGGGCACAGAGGGGGGGGAGGGGCACAGAGGGGGGGGGAGGGGAGGGGCACAGAGGGGGGAGGGCAGAGAGGGGGAGGGGGGAGGGAGGGGCAGAGGAGGGGAGGGGCACAGAGGGGGGGAGGGGCACAGAGGAGGGGGGAGGGGGCAGAGAGGGGGAGGGGCACAGAGAGGGGGGGAGGGGCAGAGAGGGGGGAGGGGAGGGGCACAGAGGGGGGGAGGGGCAGAGAGGGGGGGGGGGAGGGAGGGGGGGAGGGGCACAGAGGGGGAGGGACAGAGGGGGAGGGCACAGAGGGGGGGGAGGGGCACAGAGGGGGGAGGGGCACAGAGGGGGGGAGGGGCACAGAGGGGGGGAGGGGCAGAGGAGGGGGGAGGGGCCAGAGAGGGGGAGGGGCACAGAGGGGGGAGGGGCACAGAGGGGGAGGGGCACAGAGGGGGGGAGGGGCACAGAGGGGGAGGGGCACAGAGGAGGGGGAGGGGGAGGGGCACAGAGGGGGGAGGGGCACAGAGGGGGAGGGGCACAGAGGGGGGGAGGGGCACAGAGGGGGAGGGCACAGAGGGGGGAGGGCAGAGAGGGGGGAGGGGCAGAGAGGGGGGGGGGCAGAGAGGGGGGAGGGGCAGAGAGGGGGGGAGGGGCACAGAGAGGGGGGAGGGGCACAGAGGGGGGGAGGGGCACAGAGGGGGGAGGGCAGAGAGGGGCCGGGGGGGGGGGGGGGGGAGGGGCACAGAGAGGGGGGGAGGGGCACAGAGGGGGGAGGGGCACAGAGAGGGGGAGGGGCACAGAGGGGGGAGGGGCACAGAGGGGGGAGGGGCACAGAGGGGGAGGGGCAGAGAGAGGGGGAGGGGAGGGGCAGAGAGGGGGGGAGGGGCAGAGAGGGGGGGGAGGGGCACAGAGGGGGGAGGGGCACAGAGGGGGGAGGGGCACAGAGGGGGGGGAGGGGCACAGAGGGGGGAGGGCACAGAGGGGGGAGGGGCAGAGAGGGGGGGAGGGGCACAGAGGGGGGGGGCAGAGAGGGGAGGGGAGGGGCACAGAGGGGGGAGGGGCAGAGAGGGGGGGAGGGGCAGAGAGGGGGAGGGGAGGGGGCACAGAGGGGGAGGGGCAGAGAGGGGGGGAGGGGCAGAGAGGGGAGGGGAGGGGCACAGAGGGGGAGGGCAGAGAGGGGGGGAGGGGCAGAGAGGGGGAGGGGCAGAGAGGGGAGGGAGGGGCACAGAGGGGGAGGGGCACAGAGGGGGGAGGGGCAGAGAGGGGGGGGGGAGGGGAGGGGCAGAGGGGGAGGGGCACAGAGGGGGGAGGGGCACAGAGGGGGGAGGGCACAGAGGGGGGAGGGGCACAGAGGGGGGAGGGGCACAGAGGGGGGAGGGGCACAGAGGGGGGGAGGGGCACAGAGGGGGGGAGAGGGGGGGGGCAGAGAGAGGGGGAGGGGAGGGGCAGAGAGAGGGGGGGAGGGGCAGAGAGGGGGGGAGGGGCACAGAGGGGGGAGGGGCACAGAGGGGGGAGGGACACAGAGGGGGGGAGGGGCACAGAGGGGGGAGGGGCACAGAGGGGGGAGGGGCACAGAGGGGGGAGGGGCACAGAGGGGGGAGGGGCACAGAGGGGGGGAGGGGCACAGAGGGGGGAGGGGCAGAGAGAGGGGGGAGGGGCAGAGAGGGGGGGAGGGGCACAGAGGGGGGAGGGGCACAGAGGGGGGAGGGGCACAGAGGGGGGAGGGGCACAGAGGGGGGAGGGGCACAGAGGGGGGAGGGGCACAGAGGGGGGAGGGGCACAGAGGGGGGAGGGGCAGAGAGAGGGGGGAGGGGAGGGGCAGAGAGAGGGGGGAGGGGCAGAGAGGGGGGGAGGGGCACAGAGGGGGGAGGGGCACATAGAGGGGGGGAAGGGGCCCCCTCTCTGCCGCCCCTCCCCCCCCTCTCTGTGCCCCTCCAGTTGTGGGGTCTGTCGTTTCCCCCTCTCTGTGCTGTAAGGCTGTGATGCTCTGTGGAGATGGGGCAGTGTTTAAAGTCGGGGGTTGAACAAGACGGAGATGTTCAGCTGCAAACATTGTGTGGAGCTCTGGAGCTCAGCGGCTACAACAGCAACAACAACAAAATTGCATTTACACAGCGCCTTTCACGTCGGAAGGACGTCCCGAGGCGCTGGACAGTTGGGTCGGGACCCGAGCAGTGGGGGAAAGGGTCAGGGGGAGGGGAGGGGAGGGAGGGAGCGAGGAGGGGGTAGAGAGTCGAGAGGGGAGGGAAGGGAGGGAGCGAGGAGGGGGAAATGGTCAGGGTGAGGGGAGGGAAGGGAGGGAGCGAGGAGGGGGTAGAGAGTCGAGAGTGGAGCTGAAGGTACGGTCAACGAGAAAGGTCTTGAGACCGGCCTTGAAGGAGGAAAGGGAGGAAGTGGCGAAGGCACTGGGGATGGAGTTCCAGAGCCTGGGGGCTGAGAGGCTGAAGGCCCGACCACCGATGGTAGGGCGGTTGGGGCGGGGGTTGTGGAGCAGACCGGAGCCGGAGGAACGGAGGGTACGGGCAGGTAGGTGGGGGGCTAGTAGGTCAGAGAGGTAGGAGGGAGCGAGGCCGTGAATGGCCTTGTAGGTGAGGATGAGGATCTTGAATTCGATCCTCTGGGGATGGGGAGCCAGTGGAGGCGAGCGAGGGGGAGGGTGAGGGCGAGGGTGGGAGTGAGGATGAGGGCGAGGGGGAGGGTGAGGGCGAGGGTGGGAGTGATGTGGTCGCGGTGTCTGGTGCGGGACAGTACACGAGCTGCAGAGTTCTGGATGACCTGCAGTGTGGAGGGAGGTGGCGGGAAGGCCGCGAGGAGAGAGTTCCCATAGTCCAGCCTTGAGGTGACAAAGGCGTGGACCAGGGTTTCAGCAGCGTGAGGGGTGAGGTAGTGCCGTAGTTTGGCGATGTTCCGGAGGTGATGGAAGGCGGTGCCAGTTGTGGTGCGGATGTGAGGGAGAAAGGACAGCTCAGGGTCGATCAAAACACCGAGGTTCCTGACTGGCTTTGAGAGGTGGAGAGTGCGGCCTTGGATGCTGATGGTGTCAGCGCCTGAGGTGCGGAGGCGCTGACGTGAGCCAATCAGGAGGGCCTCGGTTTTTCGCACGTTGAGCTGAAGAAAGTTGTCTCTCGTCCAGGACTCGATGTCGGACAGACAGCTGTCAGGACATCGGGGGTCGTGGAGTTGAGAGTAGAGGAGGAAAGGTAGAGTTGGGTGTCATCCGCATACATGTGGGAGTTAACCCCATGTCTGCGGATGATGTCACCACAGGGGGAGCATATAGAGGGTGAAGAGGAGGGGACCGAGGACAGAGCCCTGAGGGACACCACATGAGACAGTTCGAGGGGTGGAGGAAAAGCACTCGCAAGTGAGAGGATCTGGGTTTGATTTCCGGCAGGGAGAGATGTTGGGCAAAGATTTGAGTTAAAACTCCACACATCTGTTTACCTAGCAGTAAACCTATCGGTTAGTTGTTAAACCGATTGACGGATTGCTTTTCCAGGGATAATAATCCCTTAAAAAAAATAATAATTTGGTCACTCAATCCACGATTGTTTCTGGGATACTCCCGCGTATCGCTCACAAAATATACCGTCAATTCACTTGGCAGTATGTTCTGTGGAGCGCTTTGAGACGTCTCGAAGAAGTAATACGCTTGTATCAATTGCCAGGATTATTATTATTATTTCTCAGGAAGTTTGTAATTTTAATTTAGAAACATACCTTGGCTGTTGGGTTATTCAAACCTTTATACTGATTAATGATCAACAACTTCAAAATAGCTTTACGTCTGTTTCCACTAACTGCAGTGTTGCCTCTTTTATTTGAAGCATCACTGTAACTTCATCATGTTTTTAACAATTCTGTGTGTGCAGTTACTCTGGTTACTTAGTTTAAGGGAAAAGAAAATGATTTAAAAGGGAGAAAAGTGGGAGAAGGAAGAGGAGAGCTCTTCTTAAGACTTGCATAATGACTGAGTTTTAAAAAAAGTCCTTAAATTAAGACACGACCGTGAAAAAAAGGCAAGCAAAAAAAATGTAAATAAGTTTAAACTTATGCACAAGAATTCTCTCTGGAACCACTTGAGCGCACTGTGTCCTTGAGTTTTCATTTAAAATAACTGTCAGTTGCTCAGGTGAACTACAGCTCCCAGAAACCATGTTACATAACAATAAAGATGGATTCTAACTGAAGGAGATAACACGGGCGACCTCCACATTAATGTTAGTGAATTGAGTTTCCAGGCAGACCCCACCTCTTTTTTTCATGCCACTGAACATCTTTTAAGTTAACATCTTTATGTAGCTAAATTTTGGACAAGCTATTTACTTATTAGATCTGAAAGGCAGATTGGCTGCAAAATGGAACCTCCCTCCTTTTAGATATATTTTTTCTCTCCGTGTATTGTTGATCAATACTTTGGCCTCCAAATAATTTTATTCCATTCAACTCTATACACACACACAGAAAAAAATCCACATGAAGTGGTTGCCTTTGTTGCTGTCAATCAATGGAGGGTGGTGCCACCAGTACTGGGACAAGTTGGTTGCAGCAAAGAGGAGATGGGTGCAAACTCGTGGTCAAAGCATCAGGTTTGCCTCGAGGTTCGCAACAAAACAAAAGCTCAGAGACAGCTACTGCTTGCTCCAATTAGAGGAAGAAGACTGTGGCCCTGAGCAGGTGAAAGAAGCCTATCTCAAACTCGCAAAGTTGTACCATCCAGATAGTGGTTCTATCACAGTAGATCCCAAGAAGTTTGTGCGGGTGAAAGAAGCCTACAAGGCGGTTCTCCGAGATTTAGCTGAGAAAAGAAACGTGCAAGCCGATAGAAACAAGGATGACGATGAAGAGGAGAGATTCAAGCATATTGTTCCTCAACACAGGCACTATCTTAACTTTGAAGGTGTTGGCAGTGGAACTCCAAGTCAAAGAGAGAAGCAGTATAGGAAATTCAGAGTCAACCGTGCAAATGACCAGGTGCTGGAGTACAGGAAACGCAGACTGGAGAGTCAGGATCCAGAAAACACTATGATGGTGAAAGATATGCAGCGTAGCAAGAAAATTAAGATTACCCAAGCAGTGGACCGACTAGTTGAAGATCTCATCCAAGAATCGCTTGCCAAAGGTGACTTTGATAACCTGAGTGGTAAAGGGAAGCCACTGCAGAAATTTTCACAGTACCCATACCTTGACCCGATGACCCACAATCTAAACCGGATTCTCATAGACAATGGGTACCAACCAGAATGGATTGTGTTTCAGAAGGAAATCAAGGAAACCATTGAGCAGCTCAGGAATGATATGATGGATTATAGGAAAAAACTTGGTGAGCCTCTTACCCCACACAGGCAGGAACTGTGGACATCCAACTTTAAACAATTTAAGAGCGACGTTAAGAAACTTAATAAGACGGTGGACAAATTCAACCTAGTTGTCCCTCTTCTGACCAGACAAATGCTGCACTTCAATCCAGACAAGGAGCTCACTATTGTATTGAAGAAATATGATGCACTGATGGAGATCAAGAAGACTGAACGGGTACCAATTGAGGAAGGTGGAACTGTTGGACTGCCAAAACTCTTTGACTGGATCAAGCAGTTTCTGAAATAAGGAAATGAATGGCAATGGCTGCTGATAACCAGAAGTGATTGTCCTTGTTATAACCTGAAAATGCTTGTGTATTTAGAGGTTCCCATTACTCAGACTAGCCAAAATGAACATTGAACAAGTCTATGTCCACCAGCTTGTTGGGACATTCCTCCCCCCCCCCCACCACCCCACCACCATTTCACATTTAATTTACCTGTTGGTAAAAATTCCTTTGAGTTACAATATACGGTGATTTTCCCCCCCACACAATATAGAGGGAAGACTAATCAGATTAAGTTGCATTTTTTGTGGGGATTGGTGTGCAACAAAGAATTATTCCTAAATTTGAGCTTACTATTTGATTGGGCTGAAGGATTTTTTTTAAATAGCCCGACAAATGTGATCTTACTTTAATGTAAATGTAGAAATTGGTATTGTTTATAATACAACCTGTATAGGAGTGGTGGATATGATTCATACATGCACAGGCATGAAAGTGAAGACATGTTTTAGATTTTAGATTTTCTGTGAAGATATGTTTTAATTATCGAATTTATTGCAACATATTTAAATCACTAAATAAAATGTAAATCAAGTTCATTTCCAACAGCTTGCTTTTTTTTCTTTCTCTCCCCTTCAAGAAAGGGGCGTTAGGTTATTTATTTCCACTCTCCCTTACTTTCCTCCTGATCTACTCGACGATTAGTGGTTAGAGCACTCACCTCACAAGCCAGAGATCAATTCCCGGGCAAGGCAAAACGTTGGGCAAGTTTCCTTACTCCGCGCGCCTGTTTACCTGTTGTTCAATTGGCGGATCGCTTTTCCGGTAATAATCCCTTCAAAAAATAATAATTTGGTCTCTCAATTCATGACTGTTTGCGGGACACTGCTGTGCGTAATTGGCTGCCGCATTTCGCACCCCAAAATATCACAGTCAATTTATTTTACAGTATGTTCTGTGAAGTGCTTCGAGTCATCTCGACTAGAATTATACAGCACAGAAGAGGCCTCAGCCCATCGTATCTATGCCGGCTCTTTGAAGAGCTATCCAAAGTGATCGCACTCCCCCGTGCTCTCCCCAAAGACCTGCAACCTTGTCCTCCCCAAATAATTAGCTACTCTCTTAAAAGTTGTTATTGAATCGGTTTCCACCACCCTTTCAGGCAATGCATTCCAGATCCAAACAATCACTGTGTGAAAAAATACAGGGTAGAGAGAGCCCAGATTGGGAATCCAATTTGAAATCCTGATTTATGGTGTGATGATAAGAAGTGGTTGTTTGAAACCATGATTGTAACATCACTTCTTTCACAGTGGGTTTCTCTTCAAACAAAATTAGTAAAGCTTGTCATGAAACACTCTTTACCAGGGTGGCATTGCCCTATTGCATGGTTTCCTTAGCTGCACTAATATTTTGATTTTTTGTTAATACTTTTTTATTAAATTTGTTGAGAAATAGCAAAATAAATGAATGCAAAGTTATTCATCTACAAGTCTCAACAGAAAAATTATAACAAACATTGACCTACCAGCTGCCTGTTCTGGGATAGAATGTAACTTGATTCTACTTGTTCCTCATTCCTGAAAATAGTTATTCTGCCTCTATGTTAAAACTCTTCACACTTTGTACCTCTAAACTTTCCAAGCTGGCCTCCTCGTTTTCCACTCCAGTGTGTATCCAGCCCTCATTCTCTTCCGTTCCAAGTTCCTTGAGCCATTTATCTTGTCTTTGCCGGGTGCCACCGGCTACCTATCCCTAGCAGGTTGACTTTCAAGATCTTCATTATAATCTTCCAATGAATCCATTGACTTTGGCCCAATATGTGACCACTGGCGGTCCTACTCACTCAGCTGTCACCTCTTTCCTTCCCTCTCACCCTCCCACCCCTTTCCAACCCCCTCACCGACCCTCCCCTTTCCTCCCCCCTTGCTCCCCATCACTTTCCTCCCCTCAGCCATCCCTTTCATTCCATCTCTTTCCCTCGTTTTGCCCACAAAATATAGTCAATTCACTTTACAGTATTCTGCAAAGCCATTGAGATGTCTCAACCATGTGATAAGACACTATATCAAATGCAAGGATTATATTATTATGTCTCCTTCCTCCCCCCACCGGCCCGTCCAACCGCTCCTCTACCACCTACCCCTTTCCTCTCTATGTAGTGACTTTGACTTGCTCCATGTTTTACACTCCAAGTTGGTGGGTGAGCTTTGAACTACTTTGCCTCCCTCTACCCTGGAACTCTCTCCCTAGATCTCTCTGCCACACCCTCATCCAACAATATCTTTTTAAAAATTCTTGACCGGGCCAACCATTGCCCACACCACCCACCCCCAAATCAACTGTCACAAGAACATAAGAATTTGCTCAGCGAAAGAAGACCAAGGTCCATCCAGTCCGCCTTCCACGATCCTGTCATTCGCATAACATGTCGTGTCCCAAACTACACACTCTATCCCGAGATGTTATTTCCTAACAGAAATCGATCTAATTTATTCTTGAAACAAATGACATTTTCTGCTTCCACCGTCTGTCTCTCCCTCGAGAGCCTGTTCCACATGTTTACTACTCGCTCAGTGAAGTAGTGTCTCCGCAGTTTGTTCTGAATTTACCCCCTCAATCACAGGCCGTGTCCTCTGGTTCTACTGTTCAGCACAAGATAAAACAGCTTACAAGGTACCTTACCATCTATTCTGTGAAGCGCTTTCAGACGTCTTGAAGACGTAGTGAGGCGCGATATCAAATGCAAGGATTATTACTAATATTATTATTACACGGTGTACTCCACACAGAAGCCTCTGTTTGCCCAGCAGTAAGCAGGAACCCGGTTGCTAAGTCGGTTGGCCGATGGCTTTTCCGGGCGTAATAATCCCTTCAAAATAAATAATAATAAATTGGGTCACTCAATCCACGGCGGTTTGTGGGGGCGCCGCTGGGCGCGATCGGCTGCCGCGTTTCGCCCGCAAAGTAGACAGTCGCTACACTTCACAGGGAGTCCTGTGAAGCGCTTCGAGACGTCTCGAAGACGTGATCGGGCGCCGGGGTCAAATGCGAGGATTATTATTATATTATTGAATCCCTTCACAGCATCAGCGTTGAGCGCGAGAAAGGGCGCGCGGGTCGGGTGCAGGTTGTCTGACAGTTATTTGGAGGTCTGACCGAGCGAGCGCGATGTGACCCCTCTTGCCCCACGAGGCTCTCCTTGTTTGTCGGGCGAGGTGAGCGGGAAGTGGGGCGTTTCCCGCCAACACGTCGCCTCGGCCAAGCGATTGGTCGGTCCCGATTAGCAATCGGTCTCTCTATTGGTTCGTGAGGCTGTCACTCAAGAGCGAGGGCACGGTCAAGATGGGCGGAGGGAGTGGGCGTATCCCACCGCCAACCCGTCGCCACGGCCACGTCAGCGATTGGTCCGTCCCGATCCGACCACGTGTCTCCCTATTGGTGAGCGAGGCTGTCACTCACAGGCGAGGGGGCGGTTGGCTGTCAGGTCAAGATGGGCGGAGGCTGAGGCGTCGCGACAGGACGGGAGGAACGAGGAGGCCGGTAAGTGTGTGTCCGACCCAATAACACACACACAGCCACCAGCTTCCGTCTTATTGTGGTGGGTTTATATATATGTATATATTTGTTTATATATATATGTGTGTGTGTGTGTAACCCCCCCCCAACCACGGCCTGTGGGTTGGTTGCCAGGGGCGACGCCGGTCGTGAGGGGAGTATGGCCGCTGCTGCGCCCCCTCCCTGCGTCCTGGGGTTCAGCTTTGATCCTTACGATGATCTTATTTCCTCTCTGTCTTACTCTCTTTCTCCCCCACCCCTCTCTATTTCTCCCCCCCTCCTCCTCTCTCTCCCCTCTCTTTGTCCCTCCCTCTTCCCCCCTCTTTCTTTCTCCCCCTCACCCCCTCCCTACTCTTCCCCCTTCGCTCCTCTACCCCCTCCTCTCTCCTTCCTCCTATCTGCCCTTCCCCTTCTCTCTTTCTTCCACCGTCTCTCTTCCCCCCTCTCTCCATCCTACCCTCGCTCTTCTCCCCTCCTTCGCTCGCTCTTTACTCCTCTCTCTTTCTCTCTCTTTCCCCCCTTCTCGCTCTCTTTCTCTATCTCCCCCTCTACAGAATGGCCAGGGTGATTGAATGCGATGCTCTATAAGACTGAATTAATTTTATTAATCTTGTCTGCTCAGCCTTTTAAAGGAGAGCCAGTGGAAGTTAAGACTGACTTGTGATTTCTGCTGCTGATGATAATAATTATTGTTATGTTTTGACGTAGCACCATATCGTGTCGAAACGCCTCCGAAACGCTCTACAAGTAATTTGCTGTCCAGAGCAGTGGCTGTATTTTGTAGGCAAATGTGGTGGCTGGTTTGTGCAGCAGTTCCCTGAACGACAGTGAAGTGAATGACCCAATTAATCTGGGGAGTTGTTGGCCGAGCACGAGGAGAAACACCCTTCTCATTTTGGATTACGGGTTGTAGGATCTTGAACGTTCACCTTAGAGCAGGCAAACAGGTCGTTGACTTAATGTCTCATCACAAAAGATGGCGTCTTTAACAATAAGGTGCTTCTCCGAACACTACAGTGTGGTTGGAATTGATCTCAAGTCCACATTCAGTTTGTCTTGTGCTCTGGCATGCTCAATCTCTGCCTTACGCACTCTGGTACTCTCTTCCTATTAGCTGCTGTTTATCACGCCTCAGCTAAGTGCGACATACCTGCATTTAAAAAAAACTAAACTGAACTTGGGAAAAAAAATTCTCCAGGTTTTCAGCTCAGCCTGACGCAGTGACAATGGGACTCTCACCGCCGAGTCAGAAAATTATAGGTTCAAGGCCCAAGTTGGGACTTGGAATCACATAGTCTAAGATGACACCGCAAAGCAGTACTGGGGGGATGATGTTGCATTGTTGGAGATACCATTCTTCAGATGAGACATTAAACAAGCTCCCGTCTACTCGTTCAGCTGGACATGAAAGATCCAATGGTACTATTTGAAAAGCGAAATGTCCTGGCCAACAAATCCTCCAAATTAAATCGACTAATCCACGACTGTTTGTTGGTCACTGCTGTGCGGAATTAGCTGCCGTGTTTCGCCCACAAAATATACAGTCAATTCACTTTACAGTATATTCTGTGAAGCACTGTCAGACGTCTCGACGATGTGATAAGGCGGTATGCCAAATGCAAGGATTATTATTAATATTTAGCTATAAAACCATTAAAGTCACAGAGCAGCTTTGAGATTTATCTTCTAATGCTTCTACTAATTGCTTTCTTACACTTCATATTCTGCAAAGTATGAATCATAAATTTATTACCCTGCAGTGTAGTAAATTAATGAAAGAGCAGCTTGCATATGTAGCAACGTTCACACTTGATGACAAAACTCTTTGATGAGATGGTGTAGGTCACTAAAAGCAATGGGAGAGAGGGTTTGAGGTAAATTTCAGAGATTGAGGGCATAGTGGCTGAAAGCTCTTAGCCAGTTGTGGAGTGGGACATGCAGGGGAACCAAACAACAAATTATATTTGTATAGCACCTTTCTCATCGAGAAGATATCCCAGCTGAGCAAAGAAGGCAGATAGAGGAGTGGAATGTGAACACATCAAAGAGGTAGGGAGGTGTCAGGGCATGATGAAATTTGAAAGCGAGAGTGAGGGTCTTGAAATCGATCTGTTCTGCAACAGGGAGCCAGTGGAGTCTGGCAAGAAATGGGGTGATTAGAGTGCGGAGCCTGGTGTGGGCGAGGACGTGGACAGTAGAATTTTGAATCACTTGGACCTTGTTCATAGTGAAGCTGGGGTGACCAGCGAGGAGTGCATTGCAAAATGAGGGCGGGAGATGACGAAAGCATGAACGAGAATTTCAGAAGTGTTTGAAATAAGATGATAATAATGATAAAATGACCTTGGTTTCACACTGCCTTCCTGCTAAACTTAAAATCCATCTTTTGTCTATATGAAGCTGTATCTGAGGACATCCGATAATAATTTGACGATTTTGATCTCTTTTTGGCCCTTTGAACTGGATAATCTATCTAGTCAGTTCGCTGATACCTATTTTGGTTCTGAGACCCACCTCAGCAAATAACTAAAATGCATTGTGTGAATTGTGTTCTATTTTGTCCACCCTTAGTGCTGGTTGTACCAGTGTAGTGTTAAGTGAATGCGAGCAGAGTTCAGAAAGCAACAGTGAATATATTCTTTCTCCTCGGTGGCATTGTGTGCCATGAGACCGGGGACCATTTTGGAATTATAACTATAAATCAAAACATGAAGCTGAATGTCTGCATCAAACGTCCATGTATTAAGTCAAAAGGTGCAATTGCCTCATCTCTCGCCTGTTTTTATATCTGAGTTGCTTTCCTTTGCTTTGATTTTTCTCCACTTTTCACTCACCATCACGCCACCATTATATGAGGGAAAAGACAAAAGATAGCACTGCAATTTTCCTTTGCAATTAACAATTGTGAGAAGGAGAGAATGTCTTTTTTTCTCTCTTTATATATACTGACTTGAGTGTGATCCTCGCTATAAATGAATCAGTTTGATGAGGTAGGATTCTTTAGATACGGATGTCACATTTATCAAATGAGTCGAGTGCTTATAATGTGAAACAGTCACTCGATCAATCTGGACTTGATCCAGATCAAGGTTTAAATGGAAAGACACCGTACTTAAACCCTTCATAATGAAACAGTCTGTCTTCATCATTGCATACTGGAAGCCTCTAACATTTTGATTGTCCTGTCCCGTTCCATTGCTGAGGACCACAAATCCACAAACTTTACAGTATCAAATTATCTTACAGTTTAAAATAATCTTATATTGTAAAATCACCAGAATTTTGAAAAATCTTCTTTTCGGAGCTGCCTTAAGCGCTCCGAGACGTTGCCCTGCGTGAAGGACACTATATAACTGAAAGTTGTCACTGTTTGTAAGAATGAATTGAAGCCATTTTCGAAATTCTGCATACACTCACTCTGCAGTGTATATTGCAATATCTGTGTGTAATAGGTATAAAATCCTGTTAATTAAAACCTCTGCCGCCCGGATACTGATCCGCGCAAAACTCATTACCCTCTACTGGCTTCCAATCACCGAACTGATCGATTTCAAGATCCTCTCAGTCTTTTTCAAATTCCTTCATACCCTCGCACCTCCCCACCTATCCGACCTGCTTACTCCCCATTCCATCACCTGTTGCTCCGCTCGCTGACTCCGGCTTCCTGTTTGTTCCTTGTACCCTCTGGTCCACGATCAGTGGCCGTGCCTTCAGCCACTATGCCCCAAAACTCTGGAACTTTCTCCTTCAATCTCTCTGTGTGGCCCTTTCTGTCCCCACCTTCAAAACCCACCTAAAGACCTTCCTTTTTGATCGTGCTTACAGTCACCTTCCTCTCCCTGTGGCTCAGTGTCAGACTCTGGCACTTTTTTAAAAAAAATCCACTCCCTCGAATAGAAAGTGTTTGAGATTTTTGGCTATTGTGGCTGCATGCTAGAATTTCAGGAAGCATTTCATTTAACCAGAATGATTGGAGTTTGAATAATAATAATAATAATAATCCTTGCATTTGACATAGCACCTTATCACGTCGTTGAGACATCTCAAAGCGCTTCACAGAATGTGTATGACTGTGTATCTTGTGTATTGAAAATAATTGTTAGCTTTGTATTGAAGCATGGTGGTATGCAGCTTCTCACTAATTATCACTGTGTAGAAGAGCAATGTTTTTGTTAAATTATCCACTGCAAAAAGGAATGTCTTTGTTCATAGTTCGACTGGCAGCTCAGGTGAATGTTAAAAATCCTGTGATGCAACTCAAAAAAGGAAGGGGGTTTCTTCCAACAAATCTCCAGATAAATTTATTTCCTGACTTTGCTGTGTTAAAGTTTGGTTTGGTAGCAGGTGGAGCTGAGAAAGGCAGGGGGTGATGGGCTCTGAGGGTATTATTATTATTATTAAAACAAAACAGGAGGTTCTGAATAGGCTCCATGGGTTAGCGTGTGCAACTGAAAAGGCCAATACATGCAGCACCTGAGGTAATGTGATCAAGTGGAGAACAACAACAACAAAATTACGTTTGTGTAGCACCTTTCACGTCGGGAGAACGTCCAAAGGCACTGGACAGCCATTGTTTCGTAGCCGAACTGGGGGTCAGGATCAGGGAGAGTGGGGGCAGGAGGAAAAGGAGGGTAATCCAAGGCACGGTCGGAGAGGAGAGTCTTGATTTGAGTCTTGAAGGAGGCAAGGGAGGGGGCGAGGTGAGGACTGCGGAATGGAGTTCCAGAAGGTGGGGGCAGAGTGGCAGAAGGCCCACCCTCCACTGGTGGGGCAGGCGAGGTGGGGGACGTGAAGCAGGCCAGAGCCCACTGAGCAGAGAAAGCGGGTAGTTTGGTAGGAGGTTAGGAAGTGGCAGAGGTAGGGGGGAGCAAGGCCACTGAGGACTTTGAAGGTAAGGACCAGGAGCTTGAACTGTACCCTCTGTATGATGGAAAGCCAGTGGAGTCAGGCGAGGATGGGGGGTGATAGGATCACCTTTGTTCAGGTTCATACTCGATGACTGTATTACACAAGATCAGCATCTACGTTTTCTAAACAAGTGTTTTGGTCATAGGATGTGTGTGCGTGTTTGATGGAAGAGGGTGGGAGAAATCAGTGCAATAAAAATTGTCAGCACCAGTTGATTTATAAAGAAAATTACAGCACAGAAACAGGCCATTTGGGCCCAACTTTATATTGCAGTGGGTTTTAAACGCTAACTCTCGATTTCAAAATTTGATGGAGTAGGTTACAGCAACAGGAACCAAAGCCACACCTGAAAGGAGCATTCTAAAAATTCCTGACAGTCAACATGTTTGCTTTCAGCGAAACAACGTCATTTGAGGGCTGAAGACTTCCTTGAGCCACAGAAATACCAGCGGCTTTGAAATGGCAGGATTCCTGGACAATTTTCGTTGGCCAGAATGTATCGATTGGGGAGAAAGAAGAAATACGATTGCTGCTGTAGTCGCAGGCGTTTTTGTAAGTGTCGAAAATGAGTTTTTATCAGAACCATAGAAATCTACAGCATTTCTCTCCTAACGTGTGAGGCATTAATGTGAGGATGATCATGTATTATACTGTGTTTACATTACCTCTCCTTGATGACTTCATAGTCATAGTACAGTACAGAAGGAAGCCATTCGACCTATTGTGCCTGTGCTGGCTCTTTGAAAGAGCTATTTAATTAGTCCCATTACCCCGCTTTTGCTCTGTGGCCTTGCAATTTTTTACTTTTCAAACATATACAATTCCCTTTTGAAAGTTATTACTGAAATAATAAACTTGGCTGAAATCAGGCGTTTGTGTGTGGACAATCATGGGCACAAATCTGAGCCTAAGAACACATCTTCTTTGATAAGACCATAGTTGAAAGACAGAATTGTTTTGTTTTATTCTCTCCCTCATCCCTACAAAGCTGTCATTTGCTGTAAATCTCCCTTTTGTATCTGTTAGAATGATTTGAAAAGACAGCCTTCTCATTACAATCATTGCCATTTCAATGTTTACAGTGTAATGAGATTTAAATGATATTCCTATGGAATATGCAGGGAACCCATATTCTTTTGTTGCAATTAATTTATCATTTTATCAATATTCTTCATCTCTTGTCAATAATTTTCTTGCCTCTTAATGGTAAAGTAAATGATTTTTTATGTTGTATAGAATTGCATCTTTTAACCTTTCTCCTTAAGATCTTATTTTATTTTGTCAAACCCTTTGTTTTTATTAAGAATTGTTATTAAGAGTATAGGAGGTAACTATTGGTAAAGAGCATATTGGTCTGTATTGGTCACTGATGCTACAAAGATTCTACAGAGAAACTATTTCCTCTGGTGGGGAAATTCAGAACAAAGGGTCATCATCTTAAAATTAGAGCGAGGCTATTTAGGAGTGAAATCAGGAAGCAGTTTTTCACGCAAAGGATAGTGGAAATTTGGAACTCTTCAACCCACCCGGCCGAGGATGCTGGTTCAGTGTTTTGAACGGATATGGGGCAAGGGCAGTTAGTGGTATTTGAGGTACAGATCAGCCTTGATCTACAAGAATGGCAGAACAGCCGCAAGGGTTGGAATGGCATTGTTCCTATGCCTGTAAAATTTTCTCCTTTATGATAAATTGCTGGATTCCTCTAAGGAATCATCTAAATCTCAATTTGAGGCAGCTGTACGGTTAAGAGGTGCCTCAAAAGGCACATTTACACATCTCTAGGCAACATTTCTCAGCACTTCCTCTGGAGGCAGTACAAAAGTTGGCTGTTTTTCTTATCAATGCAGAAATTATAAGACGAACATCACTGAAGCCTGAATATAAAATGAAATACTCAGAAGATGAAGTGGGCGGGGGGTGCTGGAGGACGCAGACTGTGTTGAATGAGATAGCTTTTTAGAGAATATTGCACAGCTATTTGTGCTCTGCAGAATGGGAAGCTTTGTAAAGTAGATTTTGCAGTTGTTGCTTCCTGAATGTTCACATTAGTACACCAATTCTTGTAACTGAACACAGTACATTACACTACAGAGTCAGCTGATTATTTTTATTTCCGGCTCCCTCTCTTAGATGTAACTCAACCCACAGAGACGGTAAAGGAATGGAACTGCAATTGTCTGACAGATCTATTTGTAGTCTTCAGTGTATCCACAGGTGGCGTTACACGGTGGCTTGGATCCAGCTTTGGGCCACGTTTAGTGTTTGAGGCCTATTCTTAGAAAAAAGGTTGGGCAAACAATTTCCAGATTTTGATGCTAAATTGTTTTTGCTCCTTTAAAGTTGGTAATTGAATCCCTTTATGTTAAAAGCAATACTGCATATGTAACACTGATTTCATTTCAAACAATAACCAAAGGAAGGTTGAAGCACTGCTTCACAGCAGCCAAATTGTAGATTTATTATATAATAATCTTTGCATTTGTTTAGCGCCTAATCACGTCGTGGAGACGACTCAAAGCACTTTACAGAATATATTGTAAAGAGGATTACTCGGGTGAAACGCAGCAGCTAATTGGGCGCAGTTGTGTCCCACAAAGAGACATGGATTCAGTGATCAATTGTTTCTTTAGATTGTTTTTGGGCGATTGTTACCCTGGCGCCTTGGGACGTCCTCCTGACGTGAAAGGCGCTTTATAAATGGAATCTTGTTGTTGTTGTGGAAAGCGATCCGCCAATTGACTAACGACCAGGTTCCTACTTACTGCTAGGTAAACAGAAACGTGTGGAGTAAGGAAAAAAAACTTGCCTGAGGTTTCGCCCTGCCTGGAAATCGAAACTGGGTTTCTGTTCAAACTACACTCCTTCCCAACATTATAGCAGTCGCATGATCTGGATGCTTTTTAAACTGCTGAAATAATTAGCCTTGAGGTCACCACTTGGTAGAAAAATACAACAACAACTTGCACTTGCAAAGCGCCCCTCACACAGAATAGCATCCCAGAGCACTTGACATTGGTGAAACACAACATTGAATCGGGGCGAGGGGGAAGTGACCGTAGCCGTAGTCAAAGAGAAAGATCTTCAGGCGCTACCGAAGATGAGGAAGGAGGGGGCAAGGCAGAGGAATAGAGGAAGAGAGTTCCAGATTTTAGGGCATAGTGGTTCAAAGCACAGCCACTGATTGTGGAACAGTGGGCACAAGTAAAATTAGCATTAAGGAGCAGGTAGGTTTCCTTCTACTGCTCCTAGTTTCTCTGAGATCAGTTTTGACACCCCTGATCTCAGCAAAACAGGACCTGCAAGAAAATATCACCAAGGTTGATTTTGTTAAATGGGTGGTACTCAAGGGGAAACTCCATCTCCACTCTTTCCCCAACATTATGGCTTTTCCCTAATCTCAGAAAAGCAGCCCCTGCGGAGAAGCGTGTTCATTTGTCAAAGCACAAGACTGCCTCTTCCTTCTCCATCTGCCTGAAAAAGGAAGTGAGCAGGGGAAATTTGAATTCAACAAGTTAGATATTATCGGAAAACGGAAGAGAAACAATCTGAAAAGCAGCTTTTTTGCAACTCTTGAGGTAAAGTGTGCAAGTTATGTATCGATGAAACAGGGAGAAAAATACCGAGGCTGGAAGTGTTCGATCACAACAGAGATGTTGGTAAACCCAGAAGCTCAAACAGCAACTGAAAGAGAAAAATAAGTTAAATGTTTTAACATGAACCACTTCTGTTGCAAGGACATTTCCAAAAAGTTGACTGATCTTTCTCTTTCAGGTTATTTGAGTTACTGTATTTCCAGTATTTCTGCTCTTAAGCATCCAAGTAGTCTTTGGAATTCAATACACTAAATGCTTCTTTTACTATGTATTCTTAGGAAATGATAATCTTACAGTAAGTAATGCCTGGAACTTTTGCTTCCTGTTGAAATTTAACTTGTCTAGACTTGGCAGTGCTACCTGTAACAAGACTGAAGCTTAAAGTTAACATCAATATATTTCCCCTCAGATGAATGTGATTTATTTGGGTCGGCCCAGGATGTTTGCCTCATTGTTTAATAATAATTTGGTTACTCAATCCAAGACTGTTTGTGGAATGTTGCTGCTGTGTGCAATTGGCTGCCCTGTTTCGCCCAAACACTTTGAGACAACAACAGCAAGATTTCATTTGTTTAGCGCCTTTCACGTCGGGAGAATGTCCCAAGGCGCTGGACAGTGTACAGCATTTCAGATCCAAGCTGGTGTAAGGGGGGAGAAGGGAGGGAGGGGAAGGGGGGTGACCAATGGCATGGTCAAAGAGGAGGGTTTTGAGGCGGGACTTGAAGGAGGCTAAGGAGGGGGGGCGAGGCGGAGTGATTGGGGGATGGAATGCCAATGGTGGAGCGGGTGGGTCGGGGGACGTGGAACAGGTCAGAGTCGGCTGAGCGGGCGGATTGGTAGGGGGTTAGGAGGTCACAGAGATAGGGTGGGACAAGACCATTGAGGGCTTATCAAAGACATGACAAGGTCCTATATCAAATGCAATTATTTAATAATAATTATTATTGTTTGCATGTTGTATGATTTCACAATACCGACTGAGCCAGAAAGAGTAATACAAAATACACAGCGCCAGTGTTCACAATTATCTTACAGTCGATTCCTTGGAATGCCAATTTGAAAACTGTTAACGGTACTGAAAGGAAAAGTTGTTTGCAATCAGAAATTTTGTAATTGTTGTATAATCCCCTATCAAATTCCACCAAATTCCCGCTCTGAACGTCATGGGAACAGAAACGAGGAAGTTAGAGTTTGTCTAAAGGTTAAATTGCTGGATACGATATTCAGCTACTTTGCCAGTAATAGTGATAATAACCCTTGCATTTGATATAGCACCTTATCGCATCTTTGAAACGTCTCAAATCACTTCACAGAATAGTGAAGTGAATTGACTGTATATTTTGCGGATGAAACGCAGCAGCCAATTGTGCACAGCAGCGTCCCACAAACAGTCGTGGAAAAGCGATCCGTCAATCGACCAACAACCGGGTTCTGACTTATTGCTAGGTAAATAGAGGCGTGTGGAGTAAGGAAACTTGCCCAACGTTTCACCCAGGTCCTTATGTTTGCGAGGCGAATGCTCTAACCACTACGCTACAGTAATATGTTTCATGTGAAAGATTGCAGTGTGTTGCCTAGATGTTTACATCCTGTTGCAGCCATTACAGTAATGTGTTTGAGATGCAAATGAGGTTTATCAAACAACTATCACTATTGCAAGCTATTTTGCATTAGTGGACACAAGATAGCTTGCGTTATCGATGGGTGTGGGATAATCAGTGGACTTACAGTCGATGTTTCATGTAAAAGATTGCAGTGTGTTGTCTAGATGTTTACATCCTATTACTTACACGTTATAAATTCTAACCCAATCTTGCTGCTCTGCCTAGGATTGGTTTCTGAATTACAGTACACTACCGTAAAGTTATTTGAAAACAAAACTAATCTCCTTTGTTGGCCCAGTAGTGCCTGAGTCATATCAACCTGGAAGTCCCTCATTAACCAGTTTGTTAACCAGTTTCTAGTCATGGTTCAGCTCATTTGTAGTATTTGCTCTTTTCAGTCAAATAGCCTGCCAACGCCTCCTGTCTCACTTAGCATTTGAAAAATGGCAGGATGTGGATTCCTGACAGCTGCAGTAATCTCTTGAAATAAACCCAGGCGAGGAGAATATCCGGGTTTGGCTCAGTTGGTAGCACACTTTTGCCTGAGTCAGGAGGTTGTGAGTTCAAGCCTCAATTTGGGACTTTAAACTCATGGGCTTGGCTGATACTTGAGAGCAGCACTGATACTCGTGTGGTATATTGTCAGAGGTGCCATCCTTCAGATAGGATGGTAAACCGAGGAGCCCTCTGGTTGTGCAGGTGGACGTTAAAGATCAGATGACTCTTCCCCCAAATAAAATTGGCCATTCACTTCATGGCTGTTTGCAAGATGTTGTTAGGTACAAGTCGGCTGCCTCTTTTGCCTACAACTACACAATCATGACACTTCACATTAAAATCCTTGGTTTTGGGACATGACGACATCTCGATAATGCTATAATTCTTGCATTTGATACAGCGCCTTATAACGAATAGTGATTAATCTTCTGTGGTGGAGTGTAATGTGCCTCCCTTCCAATACGTGTATAGAAAAGTTACACTTGCACCACAAGTTATCAAATGTGGTAACACCTTCTTTTGTGTATTATGATGGTTTTCTGTCTGCAGGATGGCTCAGTTGGTACACTTTCACCTCTGAGACAGAAGTGTGGGTTCAAGTTCCACATTGGGGCTTGGAATCACACGTTCTAACCTGCTGCTACAGTCTTTATCAGTTTTGACGAATGAATAATAAAATTAATGCTTGCATTTGGTATAGCTCCTTATCACGTAGGAAGGATGTCTCCAAGAGCTTCACAGGATTTACTGTGAAATGAAGTGACTGTGTATTTGTAGCCAAATGCAGCAGCGTAATTGCACACACAGCAATGTCCCAAAAACAGCAATGAAATGAGTGACCCAATTTTATTTGGGGGATTGTGGGCTCGGGACCGGGAGAAACTCACTTCTTTTAAGAATAGTGCCATGGGATCTTTAACGTTCACCTAAATAATAATAATAATAATAATCCTTGCATTTGATATAGCGCTTTTCACGTCGGGAGGACGTCCCAAAGCGCTTCACAGAACACACTGTAAAGTGAATTGACTGTATATTTGTGGGCGAACGCGGCAGCCAATTGCGCACAGCAATGTCCCACAAACAGTCGTAGATTGAAAATGACCAATTTATTATTGTTTTTGTTTTTTGGAGGGATTATTATTAGGCTGTGGAGTAAGGAAACTTGCCCAAGGTTTCGCCCTGCCTGGAATTGAACTCAGGTCTCTCGCTTGCAAAGCGAGTGCTCTAACCACTGAGCTACAGGACTCCACAACAGGCAGGACAACAGGACAACAGGACTCCACAACCTAACAGGCAGACAGGACTTCAGTTTAACATCTCATCTGAAGAACAGCATCTCTGACAATGCAACATTCACAATATGTCCTTTGAAGCGCTTTAAGACATCTCAACCATATGATAAGGCACAATATCAAATGCAAGATTTATTATTACGCCCAGGGTGTTTAATTGGAGTGTCAGCTTACTTAGACTGTGTGAGTTCATGGGATTTGAACCCACACCTTTCTGACTCAGAGACGAGAGTGCTATTACTAAGCCAAGCTGACACTCTATAAAGAGACAGTCTGAAGCTGTGAATAATCTTCAGAGAACTTGGTTTAGTGAAGAGACAAGGTTAAATACCGAAGGAAACATTTTGGAAAGATGACCAACAAAATACATATCCATTGCATGCAAATGCTGGCATATTCAAATTTTTTTAAAATATAAAATATCACAACTGCATTGTTTTTTAAAAACTGCTTTCTATCTCGACATGTCAAAACACACCTTCTGACTAAGCCAAAGCATTTAGTATATTGTATGCATGTTTTATTTATTTTTCAAATCATCTGATGCTTGAGAATTCGCATCATTTAATTTATGGTGTATAGATTTGCCTTGGCTCATGTCTTTAAGCGATTTCCATAATTTTTAATTGTATCATTATGATTTTCTTTCGGTGGGACAGCATTTCCTTTTACTATTTACAACATCTACCACAACAAGCAAAAGAGGAACTAACAACAATTTTTTGGGGAGTCTTAACTACTGCTGTAACTTTCTCACCCCTAATGTCAAGTAATGGAAATTAGCTGTGCACATCAATTTCAAAAGATATTTATGTGGGAATGATTTGTTAGACCCATCTCTCAAGGCAATTACTTTTTGTACATATGTACATATTCCATGAACCCTGTGAATATGTTAGACTCCTAATTTTTATAACTTTTTTTATTTCTCTTGCTTTTCTCAGAACTATACAACTTTCAGAATTATCTTACTTTTTGAGTTGTTTGAAGGTTTAGTTGTCGTTACACATCGTAGGTAAATAAAGTAATATTTTAGAACATTGCTATGCTAGACAGGCAGGAGCATTGTTGAACGAGTCTTTTTTTTACTGAGAAGCGGCTTGTTTGACAGTGTGGTAACGATCAAAAAATTGTCTCTTTTCAGTTTTTCTCAGGCTGGTGGGTAATTATAGACGCCTCTCTCGTTTACCCAACAAATGAAGAAATGAATCATGCTTTTCACACATGTGGAGTCATGTCAACGATTGCCTTTTTCATGTAAGTAACAGATGTGAGCTCAAATATGCTTGTACTCTGAAGTTTGCTGTGAGTATTCGGTCTGTGGTGAATAGTTAAAATTATTGTTGGATGAATGTGCAACCAATGAAGACCTCACTGAGTTTTTCACAGACTCTCTATCACCATATGAAACTGGCTACCAGAAAGCGTCGTAGACGTATGTTGTTGCTATAATGGAAACATTGGGTGCGTTGTTCCTATGATGGAAAGACTGTTGAATCAATTTTAACATCTGAACCCTCACATACAAATGCCTTAATGCCCAGCACCTCTCTGCCTCTCTGACCTGCTTGTATCCCATTCCTCTTCCCTTCGATTAGCTGACCTAGGTCTACTGAGCATCCCTTGACAACAACAACAGATTACATTTACATGGCGCCTTTCACGTCAGGAGGACATCCCAATGCGCTGGATAGTCAGGGATCCGCACCCAAGCTTTTGGTTGGGATCAGTAGGGGTGGAGGGCAAGGAGGGTAGGGGTAGGAGGGTGACCGAAAGCACAGTCGAAGAGGAGGGTCTTGAGACAGGTCATAAATCATACTAGAGGGGGAAATTTCATCCCGCAATCCCTCTGCCTCACCCCCTCCCTTGCCTCCATCAAGACCTGTCTCAAGACCCTCCTCTTCAACAATACCTTCGGTCACCCTCTTACCCCTACCACCCTCACCCTCACCATCCCAACTCCCAGCTCGGATCCGAAACACTGATTGTCCAGCGGCTTGGGATGTCCTACCAACGTGAAAGGCGCTATACAAGTGTAATTTTTTTGTTGTTGTTCATGAGATTGCATGTTCACATGAGGAATCTCTTGTCAGGAAAACCCTGCTCTCTGCTAGTTACAAAATCTTACTTGAAATGCAATGTTTATTTTAGGATAAATGCAGTATCTAATGGACAAGTCAGAGGGGACAGTTACAGTGAAGGCTGCTTTGGAAGAAATGGTAAGCATTGCTCAAGTAAATATATATGTTTGACGATTATTATATCTTTTTAGCTACAGCTAATCATAGAATCGTACAATGTTGCAACACAGAAGTGAGCTGTTCATTCACTCCACCAAGTCTGGACTGGTGTTTCTCTCCTTATGACAATCAAGTCCCACTCTGCTGCGCATTTCCTGTAACCTTTAATATTTCTCCTCTAATTCCCTTTGAAAATAGTTTATAGATTCTACTCCAACTACAATTTGTGACTTTAACCTTCCATATAAAGAAATGTTTTCCAGCCTCCCCTTTAATTCTTTGTATGATTCTCTTAAACATTTTTGCCCTCCACTGAAAATAATTTGTTGGTGTTTATCCTATCATTAAAATGATGATAATAATAATCCTTGCATTTGATATAGCCCCTTATTACGTCCTTGAGAAGTCTCAAAGCGCTTCACAGAATATATTGTAAAGTGAATTGACTGCATTTTGTGGGGGAAACACGACATCCAATTAATTGTGCACAACAGTGTGCCACAACCAGTCCTTTATAATGTTAAGAAACCTCCAGCGAGTCAATCCTTGGGTATTTTCAGCTCGAGTCAAGCCTCTCTTCGCATCACTCAGAGAATACAGCATCACCATCCATGGATGCACACTCCACTTTACTAAGCCAGTCCAGAACCTTGCCATCTTGTGTAACGCTCAGCTATCTTTCTATCCCACATCCTATGTCATGACCTGCTGTGCCTTCCCCCACCTCCGCAACATCGCCCGGCTCTGCCACTGTCTCACACTGTCGCACTCTGTCTCACACTGAAGGCCGTTGAAACCCTTATACATGCTCTCATTACATCGAGGCTTGACTATGCAAACTCCCTGCTTGTCAGCTTCTTCAACTCCTCCCTCCACAGGCTGCAGATAATCCAAAACTCTGCAGCCCGCGTCCTCTCCCGCACCAGGCTCCATGACCCTGTCACCCCCATCCTCGCCCGATCGAAGTGACGAAGGCGTGGATGAGGGTTTTGGCTGCTTTTCTAAAATTACAAAGGTTTTTGCTCAGGCATTGCATACACTGCAGGGCATAGAATTACTATTAGCTTTTAAAATACTAGAATACAGGAGGAGCGATCATTCTACTCTAGAAAACCCAAAAGGACACTAGAATAGAAGCAGATCCTAAAGACAAGTTGTCTGCTGTTTTCTCTTAATCTGGAAATACTGTGTTTTGGGGGGAATTTGAATCATAGAATCTACAGTACAGAGGAATGCCAATCGGCCCATCGTATGTTTTGACTGTCATTTGAATTAATCATGTTAAAAGCAGAGCGGAGGTGTACTTGAGTTTCTGTCTCTCATGGTAATCTAAATTTAGCCTTCGCAAAAGATCCTAACAACAGAGGTGCTAACCACGGACACTGCTGAAATGAGGTGCATAATCAAAATGCTGGAAACCTCTTTATTGGAGACAGTGAAATGCATCAAATAAACCAATAGCATATTTATTTGTTGCTGCATGCGTAACCTTCAAAGCGCCCCAACACGTTATTCTACTTGAAAGGCACTTTATAAAGATAAGTTGTTTTGTTGTTTTAAAGCTAAGAAATCTGTCCCTATTTCGTTGTTGGTTACTGAGAGAACTACAAGCATCTTGTTTTAGAATTTACTTCCTTTGATGACTACATGAGCCTGTAATTTTTTCATTGACCTACGTGCTTTGTGATCGTGTCCTGTAGCATATGTGGAGGCCTGTCAGGAACCATGGCGGTTTATTTGACCCTCATCTGTCCTTTCTCCCCCATATTCATGACCTGCTCTGCTTGCCCGTGTCTCCGCAACATTGCACGACTCCGCCACTGCCTCACTCCTCACACCGCCGAAACCTCATTCACGCGTTCATCACATTTAGGCTCGACTACGCCAACTCCACGCTTGTCGGCCTCCCCAACTCGCCTCACAATCGAGAGGACTTGGGTTTGATTCCTCGGCAGGGCGAAGCGTTAGGTAGGTTTCCTTACTCCACATGCCTAGCAGTGAGTAAGAAGTTGGTTCATAGTTGATTGGCGGATTGCCGAGGGTAAATAATCCTTGCATTTGATACCACTCCTTATTACGTTTTTGAGGCGTATCAAAGCGCTTCACAGGATACACTGTGAAGTGCATTAACTCTATCTTTTCTGGGCCAAACTTGGCAGCCAGTTTGCGCACAGCAGTGTCCCACAAGCAGTGGTGGATTGGACCAAATTATTATTCTTTTTGGAAATAAAATACTTGAAGGGATTGTTACACCGAGAAGAAGAGCGATCTGCCAATCGAATAACAACCCAGCTCCTACTTACTGCCAGGTAAACGGAGCGCGTGTGGAGTAAGGAAAATTACCTAAGGTTCACCTTGCCTGGGAAATGAGTTCAGGTCCTCTCGCTTGCGAGACGAATGCTCCAACCATTACATCACAAGTTCCCACAGCAGCTACGTATTGTGCTGCACCGATAAGTGGAAAACCAGGGATAGCTGTGTTATTGGCTAATTTCACTATTTATTATAGAAACAAAAAAAAACTTTTGGCACTGCAGGAAATGAGCTTCCAGGACTGAATTTAGAAATTCCGCAAAATCTGCAGCGTCTTCAATTTTAGGGCCATGGTTTAAGGCTAAGATCATGAATTTTAGGGCCATGTTTAAGGCTAAGATCGTCCCTGGAATTGAGTGATGTTGTGAGTTTAACATGACCTCCGACAATGCAGCCGCAGGGAAGGGAATGGTTCTGTCCCATATTTCTCTATCTGGTGAGTTGGCCAACTGAGCCATGCTGTCAAAAAAAAACACAGAAGGAAAGAAAGAAGGAAAGAAAAATCAGAATGCCCCGATGTCCTCAGTTCCTCTCACACTCGTGTCCATGGCTACTGTTGGGAACAGATTTAAACATCTCAGACAGCTGTGTTGCACAGATCTAGAAGTAATACAAAATGGTGAATTCAGTTTGAATTATCGAGCTTTAGTAGGATATGACTCAAAACCTCCCAAAACAAAAATAACTAATCCTGGCACTGCTCCAAGCAAAGCCTGGCTACAGGCAGTTGCTTTAGTTTCTCTTTCTGATTGAAATTTGGTCCTCTGTTGGATGTCTCGGATCTAATAAAAATGTTGAAAACTGAAAACTTTGTGATTTGGATGCTAGGAAAAAAAGTTAAATCAGCTTAATCTATAGTTAGAACTATAGAAATGTGCAATACACAAGAAGGTCTTTCAGCCCATCGTGTCTGCACTGCTCCTTTAATGAATAATGATAATAATCTTGAATTTGATATTGCACCTTATCACGTCTTTGAAACGTCTCAAAACGCTTCACAGAATATACTGTAAAGTGTAGTGACTGTGTGTTTTGTGGGCGAACCGCGGCAGCCAATTGCGCACAGCAGCGTCCCACAAACATTCGTTGATCCTTTCAGTTTCATTTACCTAACTTTTCTCCCTATTGGGTGTCAGCCTAGCGCAGTGGTCGCGCTCTCGCCTGGGTTAGAAGGTTGTGGGTTCAAGCCCCACATCCAGACTTGGAAGCATGTAGTCTAAAATGATGCTCCAATGCAGTGTTGGGTGGATGTTGCATTGTCAGAGGTGCTGTCCTTCGGATGAGACGTTAAACCAAATTCCGCCTGCCTTTTCAGGTGGATGTTAAAAGATCCCTTGGCACCATAAATACATAGTCAATCCACTTTACAGTGTGTCTTGTGAAGTGGTTTGAGATGGCTCAATGACTAGATAAGGAGCTGTATCAAATGTATTATTATTATCGGTGTTCAGGCGTTCAGCCCATTTGCCTCCTTTCTCTGGAACTCCTTTCCGGAGCCTGCCTGCCTGCCTCCCTCCCTCCCACCTACCTACCTACCTACCTACCTAACCTCATTCAAAATCCATGAAGATCTACCTGTTTGACTGCGCTTCCAGTCATTTTTTTCCCTCTCCAACCCCCCCCTCAGCTTAGATGCCCGGTCATGACTGTTTAATGGGCTTGGGATGTCCTCCCACTGTGGAATACACCACATAAATGTAACATTGTATTGTACCCCAAATCGGCTTTTCACATTTGTTCTGAAATGTGTGTATGGTTGGACTGGCCAAGGGTGCAAGAGAGGCAAGGCTATTTTCAGGACACCAAATGCCTAATTGATTGGGATGTTTAAAAGCGAGGTAGATGTGTACTCGGAGGAAATAAGTGTATTATAGTATATGAAGAACAGAACACTTGCTATTGGATAATAAAAAAATAAATGAGTCCTGTAGCTCAGTGGTGAGAGCACTCGCCTCGGAAGCGACAGACCTGAGTTCAATTCCCGGGCAGGGCAAAATGTTGGGCAAGTTTCCTTACTGCACGCTCCTCTGTTTACCCAGCAGTAAGTCGGAACCCGGTTGTTAGTCGATTGACGGATGGCTTTTGTGGAGTAATAATTCCTTAAAAAAAATTGGTCACTCAATCCACAATCGTTTGTGGGACGCTGCTGTGCGCAATTGGCTTCCGTGTTTCGCCACAAAATATAGAGTCAGTTCACTTTACAGTATATTCTGTGTAGTGCTTTGAGATCTATTATTGTATTAAATGTAAGGATTATTGTTATTATTAAATGGAAGGACAGTTTTAACCGTAGTGAATAACCTACTAAAATCAAATGCAAGTATTATGATTATTACTCATGAGCACAAATGAAGAGCCTTGGTGAGAGTGAGAAGAAAGTCAAACTGAAAGGTCGAACCCAACACAGGGAAAGCTGGTTAGACATCATGAAGGAATGCTGCAGGGTGTTGTGTTGGGCAAATTGCCAGGCAGTGTTCCTGGACATGCAATTAATTATTGACGTAAATGTGTCTGATTTTTATTTTCCATCAGTGATTCCAGAAAATCAAAACAAAAGCCTTAATTTGTTTGTTTGAGGTAACACAATATTGTGGAGTATGCTGTTAACTAAGAATAGGATGTAGTATTTAAAAAATGATTTTAATGTGCAGGTAATTATTTTCAAAAAAGAAATTCAACTATTTTGCCCACAAATTATACAGTCAATTCATGTTAAGTATAGATTTTTTTTAGATTTAGATTCATAGAATGTTACGGCACAGAAGGAGGCCTTTCGGCCCATCGAGTCTGTGACGTCTCTTTGACAGAACAAGTCACGTTCACTAACCCCACTCACCAGCTTTCTCCCCATAACCCTGCAAACCCGTCTTCCCCAGGTACCTATCCAGTTCTCTCTTAAAAGTCCTGTAGCTCAGTGGTTAGAGCACTCGCTTTGCAAGTGAGAGACCTGAGTTCAATTCCAGGCAGGGCGAAACCTTGGGCAAGTTTCCTTACTCCACACGCCTAATAATAATCCCTCCAAAAAACCAAAAACAATAATTAAATTGGTCATTTTCAATCTACGACTGTTTGTGGGACATTGCTGTGCGCAATTGGCTGCCGCGTTCGCCCACAAATATACAGTCAATTCACTTTACAGTGTGTTCTGTGAAGCACTTTGGGACGTCCTCCCGACGTGAAAAGCGCTATATCAAATGCAAGGATTATTATTATTATTAAAAGCTGTTATTGAATCGGACTTCACTGCCCTTTCAGGCAGATCATTCCAAACTCCAACAACTCGCTGAGTAAAAAAATTATAGATTTATAGATTCAAATATGTTCCATGAAGCGCTTTGAAACGACTCAAAGACGTGATAGGGCGCTATATCAAATGCAAAGATTATTATTATCAATGTTAACACATTTTACGTGAAAAAAAAATGTGGTTTTGTTACTTTGCAGTACAGTAATCCTCACTTATTGAATGACCTGACTGTTATACTGCTCAGCACTTGTTTTTCCCTGTGCGTTAACCATTGTTACGATTCACAGGTGCAAGAATTTGGCTTTTCGTTGGCTTTATGGTGATGTTTGGATCTCTCATAGCTTCTATGTGGATCCTCTTTGGAGCATATGTTGTACCTAGTAAGTATTATCCTTGAATAATCCAGTCAATAAATGAAAATTAGTTATAACTGAACTCGCAGTGTATTGTGGCACAGTGTAACACATTAGCTATACTAATAAAGACAAAATGTTTGCCTGTCTGTGTATCTGCCAAGAACGTATTAATCGATTGACTTAAAGACATGCTTTATATCGTATCGTAAATATCTTGCAAGGGGGAGCGTCACGGGCATATTTGTTTTCATGGATCTCCTATCGTTGATGAGCTATATTAAAAAATGCTTTAAGTAAGCCCCCCAAAAAGGTATGCATGGTACTCTGCATCAAAGTAGCGACAGTGATTATACACGCTTCTAGGGAGATAACATCTATACTAATAAAGACAACAGGTCTGTCTATGTATCTGTCCAACCAAGTGACGTAGACACACCAACAGGAATCCTCCCAACCAGGTGTCCGAAAGGATATGTGTGCAAATATATGAACATGGGATGCTAACGAGTTCAATAGCACATTTTCTCAATTTTATGGGATAAAGATGCCTCAGAAGAGAAGATCAAGCCTTTCAAGGACAAATAAAAATGCCAGACGAAAGAGAAAAGGCCCATTAAATGAAACTGGTTGCAAGCATAGCTGGAATGGGTACAGCTAGTGCTATATATGCTGTGTTCGGCCAGTGCTTTGAAGTTTGAAGTGAATGGATATACAAAACAAATCTTTTTATTTCAGTTTAATGATTCAGTTTATACTTTACTAGTTGTACCCGTTGCAGCTAGGCTGGCAACCAAAGCATCCAATATGGAATGTAGATTTCAGTGACGCCCCCTCACAAACCATTTAACATGCCAAAACACTGTACATCTTAAGCAAAACTACCATACATGAATGATGAGCTTGTTTAGATCATAGCTCCTCAACGATAGGAGATTCCCCCTATGCCTCTATATCAATCGGTTATTGAGTTCTTAGCGGACACACAGACAGACACAAAGACATTACGTCTTTATTAGTATAGATTACTTGTTTCTAAGGGAAAAACCATGGACTTATTAATAATCCTAAATAATAACTTGCTTTTGATATCATGCCTTTCATATCAGGAGGACATCCTAAATGTAGCCACTTCACAGGATATATTGTAAAATGGAGTAACTATGTGTTTTGTCCCAGCGCCTTGGGACATGCTCCTGACGTGAAAGGCACTATACAAATGTAATTTGTTGTTGTGGGCAAACACGGCAGCCGATTTGTGCACAGCAGTATTCCATAAACAGCCGTGCAGGGACTGACCAATTTTATCTTGGGGATTGTTGGCCAGGACGCCAGGAGAGAGAAACGCCCTTTTCTCTTCAAATAGTGCCGCAGGATCTTTAACACCCACCTGAACAGGCAGACAAAGCCTCAATTTAAAATCTCATCCAACGATCCCTCCAACAGTGCAGCACACTCCCAGCTCTGACTGGAGCTCAGACTATATGACTTCCAAGTCCCGACATGGGGCTTGAACCAATAATCTTCTGACTCCGAGACGAGAGTGCTACCAATTGCGCCAGCGTAAGATTTTTGACATTTCTGCTACATTTTAACCTGCAAAGATCAAATAAGTATCTTCACTATTTTTGTTTTACTGTAATAAAGGCTGAATCTGATAATATTATTTTATAAGCACCAGAATCAGTGGACAGTTAATCTGCATTCTCTAACCTACCCTAAATCAAACTACTTTGATTTACGCACCTCATTTCAGCAATGTATGTGTTCCTCTTTTTTTTGCAGAAGTTAACGTCTATCCAGGACTGGCTGTGTTTTTTCAAAACGCATTAATTTTTTTTAGGTAAGTGGTGTGCCTGCTTTCTTGAAGCATCTGTTTATTGCATGGCTCCTGACGCAGCAGTGATCCCTTCTTAACTTAAAAAAAGGTTGCTGTACTTCAGTATTAATAATAGTAATAATCCTTGTATTAGATATATCGCCTTATCACGCCTTGAGACGAGATGTCTCAAAGAACGTCACAGAATATACTGTAAAGTGAATTGACTATATTTTGTGGGAAAAACATTTTGCCCTGCCGGGAATCAAATGTTTGCGAGGCGAGTGCTCTAAACAACAGGACTCATTAGGCTCTATGGTGTAAAGACTGAAAGGCAGCTATATACAATATGTTCAGCGACAGAGCTGAAAACAAAGCAAAGAAGTTAAGGGCCTGAAAAATTGCAATCTTAAAGATTGACCTTGTTCCTGCCTTACAAACATACTCTGTAAAAACTCCATTCCTGTCCTGAAACAAGATTTTTCAAATATGCCACTTTTTTTTGATTGAGATGTTTCTGTGATTTTGATGGATGGCAGGGTATTTTTCCCTCCGTACTTGAAAAAACGTTCATTTAAAACAAAATTGCAGCTAAAATTGGCAGATAATTAAAGTTCTGCTGTGTACAGATAAACAGTTCAAAAATCATGGGGGTCATACCAGTACAAAGGGTACTCTTAATTTCAATGAAAATAATAATAATCCTTGCATTTGATACAGCGCCTTGTCACTTCTTCGAGGCGTCTCAAAGAGCAGTTGATCAAGTTTTCCAAAGGATATGGTACAAACGCGTCATCGTTTATTAAAAAGTTCATTTCTTCATTTTCCCAAACTGGGCTGTGCAAACAATGTGAACTGCAAGAAAAGTCAAGCAAAGCAGTTTTCAGTGTTAGAGAGGCAGAGTGGAGCCTGGGCTTGTCTGGACGTCCACACGAGGTTCTTGTAAAGTATACAGATGAATAAATATCCTTGGGTTTTACAGTCAAGCTCACTAACGACCATTTTACCAATTATAATAATTTGGACACCAAAATTTTTGTGGGTCACTGCCATACGCAATTGGCTGCAGTGTTTTGCCCACAAAAAAAATACAGTTAATTCACTTTGCAGTATATTCAGTCAAGCCCAGGGTCCACTCTGCCTCTCACACTGAAAACTGCTTTGCTTGACTTTTCTTGCAGTTCACATTGTTTGCACAAACAGCCCAGTTTGGGAAGTTGAAGAAATGAAATTTTTTTAATAAACGATGACGCCTTTGTACCATCTTCTTTGGAAAACTTGATCAACTGCTCTTTATTAGTATGGTTTCAGTTACTCTCGCTGACTAACTCTTGAGGAAACCAAGGATATCAAGCAGCCATCTTGTGAACAGTGAATTTGTGTTCCCTTAGGAACTGATCTGAAGCTTTGCTCTTTTGGAGCAAACCTTTACTCCACACATCTCAGTTTACTTAGCAGTAAGTAGGGTTGTTACTTAGCTCAATGGTTAGAGCACTCGCTTTGCAAGCGAGAGACCTGAGTTCAATTCCAGGCAGAGGGCGAAACCTTGGGCAAGTTTCCTTACTCCACACAGAGCCTAATAATAATCCCTCCAAAACCAAAAACAATAATAAATTGGTCATTTTCAATCTACGACTGTTTGTGGGACATTGCTGTGCGCAATTGGCTGCCGCGTTCGCCCACAAATAAACAGTCAATTCACTTTACAGTGTGTTCTGTGAAGCGCTTTGGGACGTCCTCCCGACGTGAAAAGCGCTATATCAAATGCAAGGATTATTATTATTAATATTATTGTTAATCAATTGTCGGATTGCTTTCCGGGGGTAATAAATCCCTTTAAAAAAATAATAAAGCAACAAAATAAAAATAATAAAAATCTGGTTACTCGACTTACTGTGCGCAATTGGCTACTACGTTTCGCCCACAAAGCATGCAGTCAATTCATTTTACAGAATATTCTGTGTATTGCCTGAAGCACTTTGAGAAGTCTGAAGACCCGATAAGGCGCTATATCAAATGCAAGGATTATTATTAGTATTATTATTTACAGAATATTCTGTGAAACTCTTTGAGACATCTCAAAGACTTGATGAGGCGCTATATGAAATGCAAGGACTAATTATTATTATATAAGTTATTAAACATTCTGCATTCTTTTGTTTTGCAGTAGTCTGGTCTATAAGTTTGGCAGAACAGAGGAACTGTGGGGGTAAAATACCACTTAGCCCAGCACTGACTCAGGGTGTTCTTCTGCACAGGAACAACAATTATAAATATGTGTCATTTTACTTTATTTTTTTGGTCATCATATATGTGATGCGAAAGTCGGAATATTTTTGAAAACTGTCATTTGTTTTTGTAAGTTTCATATTGTACTACTACTTTGTAGTTACACTAATAGTTGTACTAAGTCTGATAAACAGAGTATGAAGCCCTCATGAAGTGGGCTGATATCTGTTGTGTGACACATGGTAGGAGTTGATTCATTGGAAATAAGTTGCCGAGTACGTCACATTATTGTACTTCGCAACAATCACCACTTTTATTGCTTTATTTTAAAAGAGAGAATTCCCAATCGTGCTGTCAAAAAAAAGGAAGGATGGTATACTTTGATTTCTATGAAATGTTCATGGATTTTTTTGGTCTATTTAATTGTTTTAAAAATAAACACAAAGCACTGCTGTTATGAATCAAAAATAGTCCCAACATTTTGTTATTTTGTTGTGAATAGTTTCCAGAGGAATAGAATAGCCACTGTTAAATATTGGCGGGTTTATTCTTTTTCCGTAAATCTTATTTATGAAATAAACCTTTTTCGGTGGCAGATTTGTTCATTTTCATTTAATTCAAATACAGGGTAAAGTTCATCTGGTGAAAGGCAGCTATTTGGAGACTGCACACTATTTGTTTCATGCAAAAACCCCCTGAGCATTTGAATATGCAGAACTGATTGTTATCATATACATTCTTCAACCTAAACAGAGAAATAGCTGAGCGCAAAAACTCCTTTGAAATGTCCCTAAAGAGTGCTCCCTCAAATAAGAGATTATTTGCGCATCTCTTACTTTACTCTACAGTTTTCATTCTTAGAAACGTAGTCATTGGGGGCAAGCTCTGCTCTGCTTGCTATAATTTTCTCATTTTGAGAATAGTTAATAATAACAACCCACAACGTGTTACTTCCAGTCTCCTGCTTGTCCCTCGTGCTTTCCATTCCATCATCGACGGCTGCACTTCTAACCATTACGCCCTGTAACTCTGGAACACTCGCCCTCCATCCCTTCGCCTTGCCCCCCCTCCCCATTTTTCCTGAAGACCTTCGACCGTGCTTCAGGTTACCTCCCCCGGCTCAGCATCGTGCTTTGCCACCATCAAATGCTCTGGATGCTCCCCTCCCTATGTGAGGGTCGATATATAAAGCGCTATATAAAGTTTTTTGTTGTTAGTAATGGATTAAATACTACAAAAATGTTAAGCATTGGAACAGTGCAGCCAAGGCAATGATGAAGGTGAGCAATGGGCTGTTTTAAAAGGTAAACTTTGTGCACCATCAAATTTTTATTCAGAGCATATATTTTTTCTTGCAACAAGCTCTCTTTTCCTAGGCCCTCCCCCCACCCACAAAAAAACACAGGCCATCATTAAGCTTCCCCTCAACCTTTACGAAGGAATTTTGTGTCCAATTTCAGACAGCGAAGAAGCAATCAGCTCCTTAAGTTAATAAAACATGCTTTCAAAAGAATACCATAAGGTGGTCTTGTGGTACCAACACTCAGCACTGCAGAAGAGTTTGCATTCACACTTCATCAACACAGATACACACACACAAGTTTCCAAGATTTCCTGGGATCACTGCAAAGGCTTCCTCCCACCTGTCTGCAAATTCCATGATCAAGCAGTGAGGTGGATATTTGGCAAAGCGGTCACAGGGAGGGACCTGTCGCTGGGCACCCTGGAGGCAGAGGTGGCTTCACAGCGGGCACATCTATTTGCCAAGGCCCCTCACATAAGGATCTGGATTGAACAGCTGGTTCTGAGTAAGCCTGGTACATGGCATTGGACTTGGACCTCAAGAAGATCAAGATGGCTGGTAAGACTTTGTAAAGGTCCTCCAATCTTGAACCGTCTCCTACTCAGGAAAGTCACCAGGGTACACCAGCTACCTCCGCTCCCTTAAAGCACAGGTGTGTGCCGTTGAATGCACCCGGCTTAAATCAAACCTAATGGTCCATAGCAGATCTGGCTGAACCTTATCAAATCTTACTGCTCTTCCCTCGCCTCCACTAACTCGTTGTTCTACTCCAGGGACAATCTTGGAGACCAAGGACAACCCCAGGCTCCTCTTCTCCATCACCAACCGGCTCCTCCACCCACCCGCTCATGCCTCACCCATCCTCACCTCCAATGCCAACTACGAGGCGATGCTGGACGTCCTCAAATCCAAAGTCCAGGGGTTCTGCTCAGCTGCCTCTGCCCTTCCGGCTACTACCCCATCCCCATCTCTCCCTCTCACCCCGGCCCTTACCCATCCCTCCCTCCACACTTTTGAATCTGTCTCCCACTCCTCTCTCATCACCACTATAACCTGCATGAAACCAACCACCTGCTCCGTCGACCCCCTCCCTACCCCACTCTATATCTCTCAGCTCCACCTCCTTGCCCCTCTACTCACAGACATCATAAACCTCTCCCTGTCCTCTAGTACTGTTCCCACCTCTTTAAAAACAGCCGTCAACACCCAACTGTACTTCTCTGCCAATCATTCTTGACTCCAGGGCCCACTGCTGTTCTGACTGAATGTCTGTCAGACATCAAGTCCTGGATGAGAGCTAACTTTCTTCAGTTGAACGTTAACAAGACCGAGGCTCTCCTGATTGGCTCCCGTCAGCGCCTCCACATCTTACTGAGCCAGTCTAGAACGTTGGCATTTTGTTTGACCCTCAACTATCCTTTCTATCTATCTGTGCCGTGACCCGCTCTGCCTTCCCCCACCTCCACAACATTGACCGTCTCTGCCACTGTCTCACAACGCAGGCCGCCGAGACCCTCACACACACATTTATAGCATCAAGGCTCGACTATGCAAACTCCTTGCTTGTCGGTCTCCCTCCAACTCCTCCCTCCATAGGCTGCAGATCATCCAGAACTCTGAAGCCTGCGTCCTCTCCTGCACCCTATGCCCAACCTCGTCTGAACCCACTGGCTCCCCACCACACAGAGGATACAGTTCAAAATCCTGGTCCTCATCTGCAAAGCCCTCCATGGTCTTGCTCCCCTCTACTTCTGCCACCTCCTAACCCCCTACCATCCTGCCCATTCCTTCCTCCCACTCAGCTCCTGTTAATCCTGCAGCCACAACCCTAACTAATGGGTAGGGTGGTCCTTGCTGGACAAGCAGCGGGAAAGCTTGCCAGACATATCAATGGCAAGCTATATGGTTTTAGCTGGTTAGACTCCAGCAATTACCCCAACGCACACTGTGGGCTCCCCTCCAAGCCTTGGCTCTTGCCAACCTGCGCCTAATACTTTCCAGAATTAGGTAAAGCAGGATGTATCCCTCCAGGGAGAGAGAGAGAGAGAGGGTGCACGTTCCATTCCAACAATCTATCTGGGATTTCCATGTGGAGGTGGGATGTGTGGAAATCTCAGCTTGGTTAGGATACCCTTTAGCTTGGTGATGAGTTTCCGCATGTGTCAGCACCACAAAAACAAACACTCGGACTTTTGGGAATAAGAAGAAATTGATGACTGTGGACTGTTCTCAGTGCCTTGGGGAGTCCTCCTGACCTGAAAGGAGCTGTACAAACATAACTTTGCTGTTGTTGTTCTCAATCATTTTTTATAGCTATTTTTGAGGATCATTAGGAATGGAGTGGCGATCAGAAGTAACCTTAAAAAGAATTCTTGAAACTAACGGATATGGTGGTAAATAAAGACTTCTTCCTTATTTTATGATTCAATTTTCAAAAGGGAATTGGACAGGTACTCGAAGAGGAAAAATTTGGGGTGAGTGGGACTGATTGAGTAGCTTTTCCAAAGAGCCGGCCCAGAAACGATGGGCCGAATGGCCTCCTTCTGTGCTGTAATCTATGAGCTATGATTCTTTCAGTCCCCAATTTGTCACTGTTAGCTGCTCTCCAACACTAGTATATCCAGTTGATGTCCACACCCCCCTCCCCCATTGTCGCAACATCTCATCTTGTCGCCTTCATCAAGTCTCGACTTGACTATTTCAATATTCACCGGACTCCCCAACTCCTCTCTACACACCATAGAGAGCTCCGCAGTCGGTATCCTCTCCCGCACAGTGTCCAGTGAGCCGATCGGCCCTACTCCTAGCTCAGCTCCACTTGCTCCCCACCTCAATCTGATCAGCCTCCCCGTTAGTTAATGAATTTTTCAGGCATTTCACTGACGGTGTCCAGAACATCATCCCTCCAACTTGCCCTCTCCCTCCCACCTTAAGCCCAATTTAAGCCTTACCTTAGCAAGGGTTATTATTATATTACTTCTGCTTACCTCTTGACTGTGTTTTCGGTCATCTTTTCTCCCCCTCCATCCTCCGCACAGGTGCCCTGCCAATTGTGAAAAGCACTTTGAGACATCCTCCTGATGTGAAGGGCATTGTAAATAATAATAATGATCCTTGCATTTTATACAGCGCCTTATCACATCTTCGAGATGTCTCAAAGCGCTTCACAGAATGTACTGTAAAGTAAAGTGACTGTATATTTTGTTGGTGAAACGCGGCAGCCAATTGCGCACAGCAGTGGTTTGAGTGACCAAATTATCATTTTATTTAACAACCAGATTCCTACTTACTGCTTACTACTACTTAGTACTTACTGGTAAACAGTGGCAAGTGTGTGAGTAAGTAAACTTGTTTAAGGTTTCAACCTGCCCAGGAATTGAACCCAGTTCTCTCGCTCGGGTAAGGACAGGATAAGCATTGTCTGTAAATAGTCTGTTAATTCTCTTAGTATAAGCTCACACTTGAAGTATAGCCACTTGAGTGAAGTATTAGAGGGCAGTTGACATTCATGAAAAAAACCTTGGTGTGAGAGCTGAGGGAGTGGAGTATAAATATAAATTTATTATTATTTTCATTTGCTTTTGGAGGGAATATTATCCCCAGAAAATAGATCTATCAATCAACTAACAACCAGGTTCCGATTTACTGCTAGGTAAACAGAGAGGCGTGTGTGCGGAGTAAGGAAAATTGCCAATGGTTTTGCCTGGAAATCGTACCCAGGTTCGCTCGCTTGCGGGGCAATGCCCGATACTACAGGACTCAACGTGTAACATATTAGTTAGACACTGGCTTCGCGTGCACAGTGTGGGGAGGGATTTTTTGAGCATTTTGAGGAGTGAGCTCGACCTATATTACTGATTTAGTCAGAATAAGTTATCAATCTGAGCAAGTGTTGCTGCTTCATTTTGGCCGATGAACTGTTTCTGCCACACTGGTATTTTAATGCAGAACAAAAAGTCCCAACTTCCCATTGTCAAATGATCTGTTTTTTGCCCCTCCCCCTCCCCCTCCCAACCCCCAACGAGTATTTCAGAAACCGTTTGGTTTTGCTGAACGGATATTCGACTGAATCTATTTACGTTGGTTTCACTGAAATTCTATAATAATAATCCTCGCATTTGACATAATACCTTATCAAGTTGTTGAAACGTCTTGAAGTGCTTTTCAGGATATACTGTAAAATGAAATTGACTGTATATTTTATGGCCAAACGTAGCGGCCAATTACGCACAGCAGAGTTCCACAAACAGTTGTGGATTTATTGTTTTTATTTATTTTGAAGGGATTTTTACCCCGGAAAGCAATCCGCCAAGCGACTAATAACCATGTTCCTACTTACTGTGCTCCAAGTTCATGTTTATTTCTAGGCAAACAGTGGAGTAAGGAAACTGGCCTATGGTTTTGCACTGCCCAGGAATCAAACTCAGGTCCTTTCACTTGCGAGGTGAGTGCTCTGACTACTGCACTACAGGACTCCAAAATCTCCCCATAAAACATAACTGAATCATAGTGACTGGAAACGCTGCTGATTTTGAGGAAACTCAGTGAATAGATTTTTATTGATGGGGTGGAGAGGGGAATTTCTGGCAATCCCATGATCTGCTGTGGTCAAATGTAAATTCCATCATAATGCCTGCCATAATTATTTCGCAATTGAATAATGCTTATTATCTTGAAACATCTCTCATCGGTGATGGAGTCTGACCTTGAGCCAGAGGGAGAAGGGGGTGGGGAGGTGAACACAATCAAAAAGGAAGGTCTTTATAAGGGGTTTGAAAGTGGGGATTTACAGTAAATTCTGTGAAGCGCTTTGAGGCGTGCTTCCAACGTGAAAGACACTGTATCAAATATAAATAGTATTATTATTTATTTACCGTTTCTGAACCTGCACTTGATGTTATTCATCATGTTATTTTTATACAAGGTAAAGTAACATTCTCTGTCTGCTGATTGTCTCCCATCAGTTTGCCAATTATTGAGGTCAGACCAATGGGTCTGGAGTTGCCAGGTATGATTTGAATATAGGAACCATATTTGCTTGCTTCCATTCTGCTGCACCCTCATCGGTGGTGTCTGACACCTTTGTGATATCTATCTGTGCTCCAATCATCTCCACCTGGCTCGGAGTCGTACTGCACCACTGTCAAGTGCTCTGGGACGCTGCCATGCGTGAGGGGCGCTGTATAAATGTAAGTTGTTGCTGTTGTTAGGCATCCTGGAGTACAGTTAATCTGTCCTGGTGTTAATTTGCTTGGCTTTCAGCACCTTGACTCATCCAATGTAAGGAAGGAAGTCTACATTTGTCCCGACATAGACAAATTTACTTGACTTGACACCACATTACTTTCAAAAAAAGGTTTTATTAACGTTTGAGCAGACAAATCAGCTACACAGTGTCCCTTATACAGATATACTATTATTATTATTATTAGATACTAGACAACAGACAGAATCACAATCATAGTTACCCGATTCGACTCTGGGCAACAGCAACAGCTTCTGGAACTCCCACAATCCACTCCCACTGGAGAAAGCCCTCCTTCCTTACGGGCCTCACTACTACTCCTCCTTTCACTTTTAATGGACGCTTTCTTCTTGGAGTAAATTCCCTCACCCCGTGTACATATCCGTAGATACAGCAGCATCGATATCGATTTCACTGGGCAGTGTGCTGACGCTCTGCACAACTCCAACTCTTTCAAAGTTTTTTGTCACTCAATCCACGACTGTTTGTGGGACGCTGCTGGGCCCAATTGACTGCTGCGTTTCACCCACAAAATATACAGTCAATCAATTCACTTCATAGTAAACTGCTGTTGTGCTTCAGTTGAGAATGGAACAATTTGGGTCAAAATCGGGGGGGTGGGGGAGGTGGGGGGGAGTAAAATCGCGAAGAGAAGCCCACCCCACGTAATATGCTTCTAAATGTCTTTCTGCATCAGAGTGCCCACAGGTTGGAATGTTGCACTTCTGGTAACTCAGCAGAAGTTACTATTTGCTCCTTCCCTCTTAGCCCCTCCAGCTCGCTCCACACTTTACACTTTTACGTCCTGCCTTAAAATCCACCCACCTCTTTGACCGTGCCTACGGTCACCTCTCCCCTTCCACCGTCCCCATTGCAATGAAACCAGCTGAAGATTCATACCACAGAATATAAAAGTATTACAGAGATACAGACCGGCGGGGGGGGGGAGAGATAAATATGTCATGTAATCCAAAACTGGGCTGATATTAATGGTTATTAATGATATTAATGGTTGCATATTCAGCCTGCATTGCCCGTAAATGTTAGTTAAATTAACAAAAGTCAATCCATTTCAAGCGTCTGTTCCGTTTGGGCAGGAGGTACTATTGTTGACTCGGTTGAGCATTTGTGCCAGAAGGCTTTGCTTATTTCCAATGTATAATGTGGTGTAGGGAGGGGAAGCGAGTTCTGCAGCTCGACAATATGTTTTGAGCCCTCAAACCTGTAAATTGTGCAAAAGTACAATAACAACACCCCAAGGCTGGTTTGGATAAAGAAGACCGATCCGCCCCACAGGTCACCAGTTGGACCGCCCTGACGTAAGGGATTCCAAGATACACAATGGCTTGTTAACTTGTTACCACATCCCAATGCACATGTTCTATTCATCCCGATTGCACCAAACTGCACCACAATTGCTAACCGCAGTCCCACGGTACAGAGCTCCAGTGCACCAAAACCTCATTCCATTCCAACAAGTCCAAACATTATGCAACATCAATTAGATAATTATTTGGGGAGGACAAGTTTGCAGGGCTATGGGGAGAGAGTGGGGAAGTGGAGTTGATTTGGAAGCTCTTTTCAAAGAGCCGGCACAGACACGACGGGCCGAATGGCCTCCTTCTGTGCTGTATAATTCTATGAACGTGCAGAGTGGGAATACAACATACCAATTGTGTCCCATTGCATTTGAGTTCCACATGCACAAAATGTCAGTGTAAAAGTTCAAATGCTTTCAATAACCAGCGGAAGGAAATTCTGTCAATTCTGCATCGTTGACACACCTGACAATGAATTCGGTAAGACTATATTTAGTCCTAAGAACAAAATGTGTTGCATCAGATGCATAACTACTGATGTAACCAGACCCAGCTATAAATTGATCACAATAGAAACTACCTGGTAATCCAAACATACGGTTAGTTCTGACTCGAGGTAACGTTTACAGAAAAGAACACATTAAATCACTTGCAAACTAGTATCTGTAATTCAGAAAATTCTACCAAACAGTTCAGGTTCCTACAACAACAAAGTTGACTTAATCTTAACAACTACACTCAGCTTGTTGTTTTATTTGTGTGCGCGTAAAATGAAAAATGAAGGAGAAATTTGGCTAACTATTTCTCTGTAATACAAAGAAAGTCAGTAATAATAATAATCCTTGCATTTGGAGTCCTGTAGCTCAGTGGTTAGAGCACTCGCTTTGCAAGCGAGAGACCTGAGTTCAATTCCAGGCAGAGGGCGAAACCTTGGGCAAGTTTCCTTACTCCACACGGAGCCTAATAATAATCCCTCCAAAAACAATAACAAATTGGTCATTTTCAATCTACGACTGTTTGTGGGACATTGCTGTGCGCAATTAGCTGTCGCGTTCGCCCACAAATATACAGTCAATTCACTTTACAGTATATTCTGTGAAGCGCTTTGGGACGTTGAGAAGACGTGAAAAACGCTATATCAAATGTAAGGATTATTATTATTATTTGAGAAAGTGCCTGATCACATTTTTGAGACGTCGCAAAGTGCTTTACAGATTATACTGTACAGTGAATCAACTGTATATTTTGTGGATGAAAAGCGCCAGCCAATTGCGCACAGCAGCGTCCCACACACAGTCATAGATTGAGTGACCAAATTATTATGCTTTTTTAAAAAGGGATTATCACCCCCCGAAAAGCGATCTGCCAATCGACTAACAACCAGGTTCCTATTGACACTGTTAAGTAAACAGAGGTGTGTGGAGTGAGGAAAGTTGCCCAACGTTTCACCCTGCGCGTGAATTGAACCCAAGTCTCTCACTTGCGAGACGAGTGCTCTAACCACTGAACTACAGGACTCAAAAGTCAAAAGACTTCACAAACGCTTTGGCCGCGCGTTCAACAAGTCCCCGTATTTCACACAAATAAACATTTTGAAATATTTAAAAATTGAAGATTAGTCCAATGGTTTTGCATTCCTGCTATTTTGGACTATGAACAACCATTAACTTTTCTGGCCAATACAAGCGGTGAAAAAAACACAGTAACCAGTTGCTTTTCTTTGATGTACTTACAGCCCTATACGTGTACAACAAAAAGCAGTCAGGTTAAGAGAGGAACGTAAAGCGAATTCATCAAATTCCATTTCCTCCCATTGTTTCTATCTCTTGATTATATTCTCATGGATCTGTGAATTTTTCTGGAAAGAGGTGTCCGTACCACTGGAGAAATGTCCAGAATCTACGCTGGACTGATTGCTGTCCAGATCCTCCTCTGTATTCCCTTCAGGTTGGGTATCAGCTGTGTTTGAAAATGATTTGTGATCTAGCTTTGTGACTATGAGCACTGTGGTTATTTCTGATCGAGATACAATTGAGAGTTTGTCCCAGTGATCTTCGTGCAATTCTTCCTTGTCCAGTGCTGCAAATATGGACTGTTGAGATGGCTCAGTCAAGTACTGCAAAATATAAAATACCTGCGTCAGTAAAACAAGGATGAACTCATTCAAATGCTTCCTGTGTGGAATCCTGTAGCGTATTGGTTAGAGTAAGCGAGAGGACCCGGGTTTGATTCCTGGGTGGGGTGGAACATTTGTCGAGTTCCCTCTGTTTACTTAGCTATAAGCAGGAACCCGGTTGTTAGTCGATTGGTGGATCACTTCTCTAGGAGTAATAATCCCTTTAAAAATAAATAAATAAAAAATAGGGTGGATAGATGTTTGTTAGGTCAGGGTATCTAGCGTTACGGGGCAAAGGTGGGTATTTGGGTATCAGCCATCATCGAATAGAATGGCGGAATAGGCTCAAGGGGCAGAATGGCCTCCTCCTGTTCCTATGTTCCTAATAATTTAGTCGCTCAATCCATGAATGTTTGTGAGGTGCTGTTGGGTGCAATTGGCTGCCACGTTTCACCCCAAAAATACAAAATTTTGTGGACAAAACACTGCAGGCAATTGTGTACAGGAGTGTCCCACCATCAGTCGTGGATTGAAGTGCCCAAATTATTATTTCTTTTTTGTTGAGGCGATTATTAACGCTGGAAAAGCAATCCACCAATCAACTAACAACCGGGTTCCTACTTGCTGCTGGGTAAACAGAGGCGCGTGTGTGGAGTAAGGAAACTTGCCTAAGGTTTTGCCCTGCCCGGGAATCGAACCCGATTCCTCTCGCTTGTGAGGGCAAGCGCTCTAATCGCTGAGCTACAGGACTCCAAAGAAAGGTCTGAGGCAGTCAAGTGAACAAGAGCACACACGGGCACCTAATCTGGCGTTCTGTAGCTCGGGGGTCACCAGCAATTAACAGCAACAACCTGAACTGGTAAAGATAAATCACTTGTAATAAAAAATTGTTCATACTTCTCGTATGTGTGAAGGGAAACTGTAGGACGGATACATGATGCGTTTGATGGTCCTGTGCACGAAGAATAGAAAGGCAAAGCACCCCACAGTCACCAGCAGGACAGAAAACAACGAGACAAAAAGAAAGCTGGCCGCTTTCAGAGCTCTTGTTTTGGCTGCGTATATAAAAAAAAACACAAATTGTAATCACAAGGGGCCGAGAATACAAGAATTCAAAACACAAGATAATAATAATAATATTAATGATAATAATAATCCTCGCATTTGATATAGCGCCTTATCACGCCGTTGAGACAAAAACAACATTTGCAAAGCTCCTTTTACGTCAGGAGGATGTCCCAAGGCACTGGACAGTCAGGAATCCACACCCGATTTGTGGGCGAAACCCAATTGTGCAATGCACCGCCCCACAAACACTTGGACATTCAAGTGACCAATTTATTATTTTTCAGCCTCTCGAGCCTGTTCCACCATTCTATAAGATCATGGCTGATCTGTGCCTCAACTCCAAATGCCCACCTTTGTCCCGTATCCCTCGATACCCTGACCTAACAAACATCTTATTTGGGGCGCTTTGGGACGTCCTCCCGACATGAAAGGCGCTCTGTAAATGTAATTTTGTTGTTGTTATTGATATATTTTTCTTGAAGGTGATCCGCCAATCGACTAACAACCAGGTTCCTACTTGCTGCTGGGTAAACAGAGGCGTGTGTGTGGAGTAAGGAAACTTGCCTAAGATTTCGCCCCAAAATAAAATACAAGTAGATTTAACAGTCTTACCATTTGCAGAGGTCTGGTTACAAAGAATAGAACTGCTTTGCCCAAGGCGAAAAGGGTTTTTGATGTAAGATTGCACTCTCAAGCAGTAGGTAGTCCAAGGCTGGAGTTCTGATAGAACTGTTACTCCAGTAAAAGATTTATTATAAACCTGAAAAAAAAATATTTTTTAAATATAAAGAAGTATTTTGCATTTTATCATGTGTCGCAAGAAAAAATAAACAGAATTACAAATGTAATAATAATCCTTGCATTTAATGTGGCGCCTTATTAAGTTGTTGAGACGTCTCAAAGCGCTTCACAGTATATACTGTAAAGTGCAGTGACTGCATGTTTTTGTATCTAGGCGCCTACAAAGTTAATGCAATTATAATGCAGTGGTTTGTGTTCATAGAGACCAGACTCTCTGCGTTATAATGAGACACTCTTTAAAAATGGCCAACAGATGAATTGACTGCGCATTTTTTATTACCCCTGGAAAAGCAATCCGTCAAAAGACTAACAACTGGGTTCCTACTTACAGCTAGGTAAACAGAGCCGCTTTGCCTTGCCAGGAATCAAACCCAGGTCCTCTCATTTGTGAGGCAAGTGCTCTAACCAATACATTGTGTATTTGTGAGTGAAACACACTCGAGCTATCAACAGGGATACAGACTCAGATCTGCCTTCACATTGTGCACTCTGTGGTCAATATTGCTTCTTGCACAAAGTAAGTGATGTCAGTGCTTCTTGCAAATATAGCGGGTGTGCATAGGAAGGAATGTTGACATTTTTTCGTGTTTTGGTTAAAAGGGGCTGCTGAGATATTGGACGCAAACAACTGGATTACAAAGGGGTTATTTGCCCTATATATTTGCCTTATATAGTTATGAATGCAAACTGTGATGCGGATCATTCTATTTAAAGGGAACTTTTTTTTAAACAGTATTTGTTTGCCAAACATTCATCACATTTGGAGTCCTGTAGCGCAGCAATTAGAGCACTCGCCTCGCAAGCGAGAGGACGTGGGTTTGATTACCAGGCAGTCTGGGAACTTAGGAAGGTTTCCTTACTCCATACGACTTTGCAGGAAGTAGGAACCTGATTGGTAGATGATTGGCAGATCGCTTTTCTGGGAGGAATAAATGCTAAAATTTAATTTTAAAAAATAATAATTTGGTCACTCAATCCATGACTGTTTGTGGGATGCTGCTGTGCACAATTGGCTGCCGCGTTTTTCCCACAAAATATGCAGTCAATTCATTTTACAGTGTATCCTGTGAAGTGCTTTGAGACGTGATAAGGCACTGTATCAAATGTAAGGATTATTATTATTATTATTATAGGATACGAATGACATCAAAGCCCACGCAAGGCACATTTGCATTTTGCAAATGATGCATTACTCCCTCTCCAATGGCAATGGCAATATCCCTTTTTAAATGTACCTTGGTATCTTCTGTGTCTTTCCAATAAAATACCCAGTAAGCCAAATCAGGATACATCATTTGCATGGACGTTCCTTCTTCTGTCACAGGGTCGAAAACGCTGACTTGCAGTTGACCTAAGAGAGATTCCACCTGCACCATGGCTGGCCCAATCACGGCTGAACAACAAAGGAAATAAAAATAGGAAATCCAGTGTTAATAATAATTTGCATTTGATACAGAGCCTTATCACATCCTCGACACGTCTCAAAGTGCTTCACAGAATACAGTGTAAAGTGCGCGGAAACAAATTTAAATTATGTCACACAAAAATGTTATATGAATTCAAGTCACAGTTTTTAAACTTTGTCCTATTTATTTTTTTGACATAAATAACAAGCTCCTCTTCAGAGTTCTTGCATTCAATACCATTCTTGCATTTAATATAGCGCCTTGTTACCTCTTTCACAGGATTTAGTGTGCAGTTACTGTACATTTTGCAGCTGACATGCCGTTTTATACCTTTGGGATATGTCTGTTCTTGTCTGGTACTAATTTTCTTAAAACTAACAGATATTTGAAAATGTGAGCTTTTCAGGTTTACAGTTTGAGTCAGAGTGAGAGGACAACAACAACAAATTGCATTTACACAGCGCCTTTTATGACGGGAGCAAGTCCCGAGGCACTGGACTGTCAGGGATTTGGACCCGAGCTGGGGGGTTGGGTTCAGGTGGGATGGAGGGCAGGGAGGGTAGGCGTAGGAGGGTGTCAGTCGGGTGGTCAAAGAAGAGGGTCTTGAGACATCCCTTCAAGGAGGTAAGAAAGGGAGCGAGGCGAAGGGACTGTGGGATGGTGTTCAAAATGTTGGGGGCAGAGAGGCTGAAGGCTGGCAGGGGAACGAGGAGCAGGCCAGAGCCTGGTGAGCAGAGGGAGCCGACAGGCCAGTAAGGGGTTAGCAGATCACAGAGGTAGGAAGGAGCCAATCGACTACCAACTGGGTTCCTACTTACTGCTGGTAAACAGAGGCATGTGGAGTAAGGAAACTTGCCTAACATTTCGTCCTGCCCGGGAATCAAACCCAGGTCCTCTCGCTTGCGAGGCGAGCATTCTAACTGATACGCTACGAGACTCCACCATAACTCCTATCACGGTGACCTTGCTATAACAGGCTATAGGTTAATCGGCATTGTATGAGATTTGCTTACAGTCTCTATATGGAGAGAAAGCGTTTGCTTCAATCCATTCAGAAGTTTGGTTTCCACGTTCAGCTCTGACTCTTATGAAGTATGTCGCAATGAAGGCTAAATATTCTAACAAATTGCATTCTGTTTCGGTGATGTTTGTACAGTTCTCTGCCTCGGTCCAGTTTTGGTCATTACGTCTCTCGAATAGCCTGGAGAAAGAAATAAGACTGAGATAGGATACAAACCCAGCAAAGCCCAAACAATAGAACATAACTTTTTGCATTTGATGAAGCGCCTTATCACATCTTTGAGACGTCTCAAAGCGCTTTACGGAATATACTCTGAAGTGAATTGACTGTGTATTTGTAGGCGAACGCGGCAGCCAATTGCGCACAGCAATGTTCCACAAACAGTCGTGGATTGAGTGACCCAATTATTATTATTTATTTTGAAGGAATTATTGTCCCCGGAAAAGCGATCCGCCAATTGACTAACAACCAGGTTCCTACTGACTACTAGGTAAACAGAGGCGTGTGGAGTTAGGAAACAGTTTATCTTTATTTACTGTCAAAACCCCGCATAAGGAGACTCATGTGGAGTATAAGCACTGATGTGAACTGTGGACTGATGTGGTTAAGGTGAATGGCCTGTTTCCATGCTGTACAGTCTATATAAATCTATATTAATTTGCCTCTAAAGACAAAGTGCTCTTCATGAACCTCGCGCTGAGTAACGTAATGAAATCTAAAGGTTCGTGTTACACTTCCCCACCTCACTCCTTTCACTGCCCGCATGAAATTTCGTAAGAGATTTAACGTAACATTTTGAAGGAAGCCATGAATTTTTCATTTCACGACTGGGAAGAAATAATAATAATAACAATAACAACAATCCTTGCACATCACCTTATCATGTCGAGCCTTCTCAAAGTGCTTCACAGGATATATTGTGAAGTGAATTGACTGTATCTTGTGGGCAAAATTCCACCTGGCTCTAGATTTATTTTGTTCATTGAGCATTTCAGAGTCTAGAATTTGACACCTTAAGAAAAGAGGAATTTGCTAGGGGAAAGGAGACCAAAGTTCAACAATTTCGCCTTCCACCATCTAATTGCGTACAGCAGTGTCCCACAAATAGTCGTGGATTGTGGGACCAAATTATCATTATTATTTTTTTTGAAGGGATTATTACCCCCAGAAAGCATTCTGCCAATTGACTAACAGCCGGGTTCCTACTTAACGGCACAGACTGCGTGGGTCGAATGGCCAGTTTTCGTGCTGTACAATAAATCTATTTTAATCTTTAAGTCAAAGCACATTCTCTTACCCTTGGTACTGTACAGAGTAAGTCACACGTTCATCATGAAAAGGAATGGAATTCCACTTGAGAATATGTTTCAGGTTGACGGAATCGATGGTCACATTTCCTGGTGTAGGTAATTCTCCGAGCACTAGATACAAGAATAAATATGAAAAGTACAATAAAAATCCTTGCATTTGACACATAGTGCCTTATTATGTCGTCAAACCGTCTCAAAGAGGTTCACAGGATTTTACGGTAAAAGTGCAGTGGCTGTGTATTAGTGACAGCTGAATTGCACAAGGCAATATCCCAGCGATTTTATCTGGAGTTTTGTTGGCCAGGACACCCGAAGAGAGAAACTCCCTTCTCTTGTCGGATAGTGCCATGGAATCTTTAACGTCCACCTGAACAGGCAGACGGGGTCTCAGTTTAAGGTCTTATCCAAAGGACGACATCTCCAACAATGCAACACTTCCCCTGGTACCACATCGGAATGTCATCTTAGATAATTATAATCATAATAATAGTAATCGTTGCATTTGAGACGTTGAGACGTCGAGAAGCACTTCACAGAGTACACTGTAAAGTGAATTGCCTATATTTTGCGGACGAAACCCGGCAGCCAATTGCGCACAGCAGCGTCCCACACACAGGCCAGGATTGAGTGACCAAATGCTTTTTTTTAAAGGAATTATTACCCCTGGAAAAATGATCCGCCAATCATCTAATCATCTGGGTTCCTATTTACTGCTGGGTAAACAGAGGTGCATGGAGTAAGGACACTTGTCTAACGTTTCGCCCTGCCCGGGAATCGAACCCAGGTCCCCTCACTCGTGAGGCAAGTGCTTTAACCGATACGCTACAGGTCACCACAATAAGCTTCTGTGTAAATAAAAACGGAAAATCCCTTAACTTCTCGCTGTTTATTTAGAAAAAGATCCTAAACTGATGCCCTGTGGTTGGTTATCCTCTCCATTGATCAGTGCAAATATGTTCTCCTTTTCGGTTTCAACCAAAAAAAGGTTTGAGTTTTTTCCTTCACTCTTCACAATTTTGAAAACCCCCACAAGCTGGTTGTTGCCTCCTGACAGCCCCAGACAGATAACGACCCCGGATGATCAGAGCGAAGATTTTTTTTGAAGCAGGATGAGAGAGAACTGGCTCCAGCCTCCTGCTTGTCCCTCGTGACCGCCGTTCCACCATCAGTGGCTGAAAGCGCAGAAACTTTGGAACACTCTTCCTCTATCCCTCCTCCACCTTGCCCCCTCCTTCCCCCATCTTCAGGTCGCGCCTGAAGACCTTCCTCTTCGATCGTGGCACCCCCACCCCGTGCTCCGTCACTGTCAAGCGCTCTGGGACACTACCCCACATATAGGGCCCTACATAAATGCAAGTTGCTATTATTGTGACACATTACAGTAAGTGCAGAGAGTGTGGCAACCCTGGTTTTACAGTAAATGGCTGCGTTGCAAACTCCTCACGAGATTCAGTTCTTCTTTGACTTAATGCCCCTCCCGTCCCTCCCCCGACAGATTGTTGATCTGGTTTCACCCTGAATACCTCCTGTTTTTACGAATCACTGAGTGCTGCGAGAGCTGCTTCAGACCACCAAAAGTTCACAGTTATTTCCTGTCGGTTCAGAAAACAGTTATGGTTGCAAATCTGCTGTCACGGGGCTTGCAAGTGACAGGCACAGCAGGTACTTTACTGAGGCTGTCTGTGGTGGTGGGGGAAGGAGTGGGGCCTGCAAGATAAGCTGGAAGCACATTTTTATACTATCTTATTAATGATAATAATCCTTGCATTTTATACAGCGCCTTAATCACGTCTTCAAGACGTGTAATTTGTGGGCGAAATGCAGCAGTCGATTCTGCACAACAGTGTCCCACAAGCAGTCGTGGATTGAGTGACCAAATTTCATAGTTTACTTATTTTATTGTTTGAAGGGATTATTACCCCCGGAAAAGCGATCCGCCAATCGACTAACAACCAGGTTCCTACTTACTACTTATTTATTATTATTGAAAACAGAGGTGTGTGGAATAAAGAAACTTGCCCAACGTTTTGCCCTGGCCGGGAATCAAACCCAGATCCTTTCGCTTGCGAGGCGAGTGCTCTAATTTGATGAACCCTTTTGTCTTGTCAAGAGAAAATAAAGACACTCCTCAAAGAACCAGAGGCCGAGAATACACCCAGTGTACTTCTAAGAATTAATAGAAATCTTTAGGGCAATTAAATGATTAGTCATAAGGGAAATAAGAGGTACAGTACTGAGATAAAAATGCCACAATTCATAACAGATTTGATGTCACAATTAACAGTAGGTTGGTTAGGTTATCACTGATTGTTAGGATCACCCAAGTTGGGAAAAGTTCATAGAATCATAGAATCTTACAGCATAGAAGGAGGCCATTAGGCCCATTGTGAAAATGCTATTCAATTAGTCCCACTCCTCCAAACTTTCCCCATAGCCTTGCATTTTTTTTCTTGTCAAGTACTTAACTAATTCCCTTTTGCACGTTATTACTGAATCGCTTCCACCACCATTTCAGGTCTGCGTTCCAGAGCATAAAAACTCTCTGCTTAAAAACAATCTCCTCAGCTCCCCTCTGGTTCTTTTACCAATTATCTGTGTCCTCTGGTTACCGACGCACTCGCCAGAGGAAAGTTTTTCCCTATCTGCTCTATCAAACCCCCTCATTATCTTGAATGCCTCTATTAAATCCTCCCCTTAACCTTCTCTGCTCTAAGGAGAACAATCCCAGCTTCTCCTGCATCTCCACGTAACATTACTCCCTAATCCCTGGTACCATCCTAGTAAATAGTTCAGTAACCCTCTCAATCTCTGAGCCACTCAATTTACTTGTCAGACTGTGGAGGAAACTGCCCCGGCCCCTCCATTGATAGTTCATTGCACATGAGAACTGACATTTCACTAAACAACACATGACATTTACACGGCGCCTTTCACATGGGGAGGACGTCCCAAGGTCCTGGATGGTCAGGGATTTGTACCCGAGCTGGGGGTTGGGATCAGGAGGTGGTGGAGGGCGGGGACGGTTAGGGGTAGGAGGGTGGGCGAAGGCCGGTCTAAGAGAAGGGTCTTGAGATGGGCCTGGAAATGAGGTAAACACTCGTTTCACTTGTAGCTTTTGAGGGAAACGATTCCCGTTATTGACAACATCTCGGCTTTCTGCCTGAACTCCAGCGTTTGAGCTCCAGTCTGAAACATGTCGGCTTGGCTCATTTTTGGTGGCACTCTTGCCTCTAGATCACAATCACAATCTGGCTTTCAACCTCCACATTGGGGAGGACAAATTTGCAGGGCTAAGGGGAGAGTGGGGGAGTGGGAATGATTTGGGCAGCTTTTTCAAGAGCTGGCATGAACACGATGGGACGAATAGCCTCCTTCTGTGCTGTATAATTCTATGATAATTCTTCATTGAGACTTGAGATTCACGGACTAGGCTGACACTCAGAGCAGTGCTGTGAGTGTTGTGCATTGTCAGAGGTGCCATCCTTCAGATCAGACATTAACAAACCGAGGTCCTATCTGCCATGACACTATTCCTTCAGAGAAGAGAGCTTCTACCAGTGACCAGGCCGACAAAGTAAATTGGTGTTCTGTGTTTTTGTTGGGATGTTGCTACTGCGTAGAAATTGTTCACAAATTACACAATTTCTACACTTTTTCAGCAAGTTCCTATGAAGCACTTTGAGATGTTGTGGAGTCCTGTAGCTCAGTGCTTAGAGCACTCGCTGTGCAAGTGAGAGACCTGAGTTCAATTCCAGGCAGAGGGCGAAACCTTGGGCAAGTTTCCTTACTCCACACAGAGCCTAATAATAATCCCTCCAAAACAAAACAATAATAAATTGGTCATTTTCAATCTACGACTGTTTGTG